AATCCCTGCTGGAAGAACGAATCCCTGCTGGAAGAAAATTAATTATTATCCAACATCAAGATGGCAAATCCCTGCCCGACGGAAGACCTAACCCACACCGTAGCGAAGACGGAAACAGCTGGCATATCCCTCACAATGCGCATTCCACCATTCTGGCGTGACCGACCACGTCTATGGTTTATTAGCTTCGAAGCAGCTACCAACGACATGAAGAAGGGACAGGCTCAGCTCGCCCAGATGGTCATCGCACAGCTCGAACGTCAAGACATCGAGCAAATCATGGACCTCCTGTACAACCCGCCGGAGACGAATCAATACGACGCAATCAAGGAACGTCTCATATCTGCCTATGAAGAGTCCGACAGCCGACAGTTCCAGAAACTACTGTCCGAGATGGAACTCGGCGATCAGAAGCCTACGCAGCTACTCCGCCGCATGCGTAACCTAGCCAGAGACAAGGTCCCTGACTCCACGTTACGACTCATGTGGACCAACCACTTGCCATCACACATCAGATCCGTCCTGGCCGTCAGCGAATCATTTAGCACAAAAACTGAGCTGGAAGAGCTCGCTCTACTCGCTGACAAAATGATGGAGCAGTCCGCGTCAACTACAGAAGTCTCAGCAATACAACCATCACCAGCACAGTCCACGTCATCATCACACACCGATACACAATACCTTATCAACGAGATAAGAAAATTATCATTGGAGATCGCCGAATTAAAGTCAAGACCAGCATACAACCCCGACTACCGCCGCCGCCGTTACCCATCTCAGCAACGCACACGCAGCACGTCACGTTCACGGAATCGTGATTCATCATCACCTTCACCATTCTGCTACTACCATCGGCGCTTCAAAGAACAAGCTCGACGCTGCACACCTCCCTGCTCATTCAAAGCAACGACCTCGGAAAACTAAACCGAACGTTGGCGGAGGCGGCTACCGGCGTTCAAGAGAAATCACACCGCCTACACATCACCGATCGAAACACAAACTTATCTTTTTTAGTCGACACGGGTGCCGACATATCCGTGCTACCGAGAAGAAAAGGAGAAGTTGGAACGCCGCTACCATTCAAACTGTACGCTGCGAACAACACAACTATAGCTACGTATGGCGAGAGAACACTAACTCTCGACTTCAACTTACGACGTCCGTACAAGTGGACATTTATAGTAGCTGATGTTTCAAGGCCAATCCTCGGAGCAGACTTCCTCAAACATCACCAACTCATCGTCGACTTAAAAAACGGAAGATTAATCGACGGCGTCACGAGCCTAAAAGTCAACGCCCCGGTACGAGTGTCAGACGTACCTACCGTACGCAGCATCAATATGTCACAATCATACCACGACATATTAGCACAATATCCCGGCATAACAAGACTAACATCAATGAAATTAAACTCTAACATCAACGTGCAACATTACATCGAAACCCGTGGACCACCAGTTCATTGCCGAGCTCGACCAATCCCACCTCATCGATTCGAAACAGTGAAGAAAGAATTCGAAAATATGATTGAGCAAGGACTATGCAGACCTAGCAAGAGTCCATGGTCATCACCTCTACACATCGTGCCTAAGAAAAATGGCGATATTAGAGTATGTGGTGACTATCGCCGACTCAACTCGATCACTATACCAGATCGATACCCAGTGCCACGCATCAAAGATTTCACTCACCACCTATCGGGGAAAACTATATTCTCCACGGTTGACCTCAACCGCGCTTATCAACAACTCAGTGTGCGAGAAGAAGACGTCGAGAAGACCGCTATCATCACGCCAATGGGACTATTTGAATTCCCACGTATGTGCCCCGGTTTGAAAAACGCGGGACAAACGTTTCAACGCTACATACATGAAGTACTACGAGGATTAGAATTTGTTTTCCCATTTATCGACGACTTACTACTTGCATCTGAAAATGAAACTCAACATCGAGAACATCTCCACACCGTATTAAAACGCTTAGAAGACAACGGCATTACCATCAACCCCGCTAAATGCAACCTAGGCAAACCTGAAGTACAGTTCCTAGGTTACACCGTATCAGCTGATGGAATCAAGCCGCCGCAACACAAAATCGAAGCAATCACTAATTACCCGAAACCAACGAACATCGAAGAACTAAGAAGATTCCTCGGCATGATCAACTTCTATCGTGATCACATACCGAACGCCGCATCGAAGCAAGCACCACTAAATGCCTACCTACACAACGTCAAGAAGCGCGACAAGACTCCGATCACGTGGACCGAAGAGGCGACGCAAGCATTCGAGCAATGTAAAGCTAGCATCATAAACGCAGCTCTACTCGCTCATCCATCTCATCACGCAACACTCGCCTTATTCTGCGACGCATCAGATAACTCTGCCGGTGCCGTACTACAACAATACCTACATAATACGTGGCAACCGCTCGGATACTTTTCCAAGAAATTCAACGACGCGCAGAAGAAATACTCCACTTTCGATCGAGAGCTACTTGCAATGTACATGGCAGTCAAACATTTCCGGAAGATATTCGAAGGTCGCCATCTCATCATATTCACCGACCACAAGCCGCTAACATATGTGATGTCCAAGACTCAATCAAATTCCGAAACTCAGAGGCGAACAAGACAGTTACTATTCATCAGTGAATTTACCACCGACATTCGACACGTGAGCGGCAAAGACAACATTGTTGCCGACACCCTAAGCCGCATAGAATCCATCACATTCCCATCTGCAATCAACTACAACGACATAGCGAGTGCGCAAGACAAGGACAGCAACATTAAACAACTGTTATCACAAGAAAACGTAACTTTGAAGAAAATACCTATACCTAACAGCGACATCGAACTATACTGCGAAACATCGACCTCTTATGTACGCCCGTACATACCTAAACCATATAGAAAACAAGTATTTGACAGTGTACACAACATCAGTCATCCCGGTACACGCACGACTCGCAAACTCATTACTCAAAAATATTTCTGGCCATCAATGAACGCAGACATCGGTTGCTGGACTCGAACTTGTATACTTTGCCAGAAAAGCAAGATACAACGACATACGCACTCGAACGTCGGATCTTTCCCGCCAACCGAGCGATTCCAACACCTACACATTGATATCGTCGGACCGCTACCTACAACACCTCAAGGTCACAGGTACTTAGTAACGATGATCGACCGACTAACTAGGTGGCCCGAAGCAATACCTACCGACGAAATATCAGCTGTTAGAATCGCCGATATTGTGTACCAACACTGGATCGCCCGATTTGGATGCCCGACTACCATCACAAGTGATCAAGGTCGTCAGTTCGAGAGTCAACTATTTCAAAACCTAACTAAATTAATGGGAATCAAGAAAAATCGTACTACACCATATCATCCACAAAGCAACGGCATAATTGAACGTTGGCATCGAACACTCAAGACTGCATTACGCGCCAAACTCGCGAGCGCAAGTACATGGACCGACGTACTACCTACTGTACTACTAGGACTTCGAGCCGCGCTACACTCAGACACAGGTGTGAGTGCCGCCGAACTTACCTACGGCTACAATCTACGTCTACCTGGCGAATTTTTCACTACAAGTACCACCTGCACACCTGCTACTTTGGATTATACCTACGTTGACAACCTACGTAATATAATTCAACAAAACAAACCGCAAGTACCTACGAAGCATCACAGCAGCAATAAAAGCGTATTCGTGCATCAAGACCTACTCACGTGCAGCCACGTATTCATAAGAACAGATGCAGTAAAAAAACCACTTCAATCACCATACGAAGGACCCTACAGAGTGTTACAACGTACTGAGAAGGTATACACAGTACAATTACCAGAGCGTCAAGCAAATATATCAATCGACCGATTGAAGCCTGCATTTATACTCACCGAAGACATTCAAGATACTTTACCTCCAACCTCCAGTACAGTTACCTTCACATTACCTCAACCCAGCGTTACCAAGCAATTACCATTACCTTCAACCACCATTACCGAGAAAACCAGCAAGATTACCAAGAAAACACATGTACCGCAACCAACAGCAACGTCACATCCCGGCGATAAGAAAACTCGCTCGGGTCGTGTCGTCAAACTGCCGGTACGCTTCGCTTGAGGGGGAGTACTGTAGCCACACTAGCCATAGCACAAGCTACAAGGATTTAGACCATCGTTTAACAGAAACCAAGAAGCAGACAGCTCTGAAAAGAGCTATATTATTCAACGTTTTTGACCACCTCTGTTAACACAGACAGCTCTGAGAAGAGCTATTTTATTTCACGTTTTTGATATGCTCTGTTAACACAGAAAGCTCTGAAAAGAGCTATTTTGCTGAACGTTTTTGATCTTCTGTCTACAAGAGACGAAGTAACTCGCCGACGCCGCTGCCAGTATCACGCGCCGACCAACGCGCGTAGGTATCGCAGCGCGGCACGGCGCACGGCGTTTACATCTTCACGGCTCGACGGTCGCAGGAGGAAAGGACAGAGGCACGCGTTACGCAATATTTATAGCGGCGCGAAACTCAGCGCGCGGCGCTGCGGAGGCGCGTCCTCTTTGCACGGACCTCTCACTCATCGACTATCTCGCTCTTTTATCGGCTATCCTTTTCTTTCCATTGTTCACATTGTAAATAAAGTTCTGTCCTAAATAGTGTAACGCTATTGGCTATAATTTAGGCGATGTTATTGGTGTACAAATTTCTAAATTTTATTTATTTTTAATTTAATAGTTTTAATTGGTTAATGTACAGAATTAGTTGTAAGTAGCACTAGTACCAATTTTTGTATAAAAACAACCACCTCCGGCTAATAAATTCATTCGATCTACGACAACAAGTTGTTTCACTAATAACAACTGATCTCCAAACTACTGATGTCGTTAAAAGTACGACAGGCTCGACACAAGAATGAGTTTTGCCTGTAGTTGCTATTTGCTACCGGAGCACAAAGAGGTGCGTGCTTCCTAAAGGATTTCGATGGAACATTGAGGGACAACTTTTCAAGGAGTTCAGGGCAGTCAACTCTACCATTCGCTATGGATAGGATGTAAGTAACATCAGCTATCTCGCGACGTTTATAAAGTGTAAGAAAGTGAAATTGTTTACAGAGTTTAATATAGTTATCATACCCAGGTTTATTAGGAATTGCCAAACGATATATGTATATAGATATAATAATTATATATAGATATAATAATTATATTTCTGTAGTGTATGTATTATCCGGAGCCGCGCACAACTGAACGGGTTAGGTACCTACCGTTGCTCCGGCTTGAAGCAGGAGTAAGAAGGGGTTGGTTTTTAGTCAGTAATAGGTTACCTATTACCAGTGGTGTAACTATATCGTTCGGGGCGCGTGGCATATTCATCAAATGGGCCCTCTTCGCAATAAAAACAAAGAAGTTCAGATGAAAACCTTTGAACGGGATCTCTTCCAGCAGTTCCAGCTATCTAGGGGCCCGTGACATTTTGCCTATTTGCCTTGCCACCCTGTAGTTACGCCACTGCCTATTACTGACTAAAAAGACATATATTTTAGTATGTACAGTAATAGTCTGACACTCCCTCTCGCTCGCCTCATCCAAGGCGAAAGGAGTCACTGGATATTACATACTCAATGACAATTTAAATTAATGAAGTACCTACTTACTAGGTAACTTATATAATACTTATTAGTTTTAAGCAAGCACATTGTATGCAGCACGTTTTTTACTTTTACCTACCTAAATAGATAGGTACCAACATACCTACCTATTTATGTAAAACGTTGTAAACCCACCGTTCCGTTCGTCGTCATCAATCAGTGGTTATTTTATTTACCTTGATAACATTTAAATTATATATGAATGAAAGGAACCGCTTTGGTTAAGCAACGTCGCTCACTGTCGCTAGTCTGGGGATGGGCGACCTCGAGGCTCGAGCTGGTAATTTGAGTTTAGGAAAAGAAAAAAGTCTCCAAGCGCCATATTTGGTGAATATGGTGGTTGCTGGATGGTATTTGTTGAGTGTTTGGTAAAAAATTCGTTCACCTATATTTTTTTTTTTTTTTTAAGGGGGGAAAATCATCGAATGACTGCTCCCGCCTGGGTGAGGCGGAAGGGAGTGTCAGACTCTTACTGACTAAAAACCACCCCGTTCCTTCTCCTGCACGTCGAGCCGGAGCCCCGGTTACCCGTTAGGTTCTCCGCGACTCCGAATCGGCATCGGCCCTATTGGGCCCCATCTGTGGTGGTCTGATGACTCTTTGAGGCGCGCGCGGAACGCGACGCGCCGTACGCTCGGGTCTGTTTCTGGTCGGACGGGGAGCCACCCATGCTCGCCGTCCGCAGGCCCGCGCTTACGGTGGCCGGAGATCGTCCCGCGATCCCCGACGCCCGGTGTGTCCTTCGCGATGGCTGGGTTGCGAGGAGGCAGCGCTTCGCTGCCTCACGCGTCCCGCCTCCTCCTTAGCTAGCATGACTGCTTCGCAAAAGGAGGAGACGGCATCCCAGTCCCCCTCGCTCCGCATCATGGCCTGCACTAGGCACCTATATAGCGTTGTGCGAAGGCGCATTGTCGTAGTGCAAATTTCAAAAGTTTTCTTTCCACAAATCTGGCCTTTTTCGTCGAATTTGCTCTCAAATAATATTCTTTATTTACCGTTAGACCTTCCGGTAAGAATTCAGAGTGCACAACAGTACAACACCGTGATAGTCAAAGAAAACAGTCAACATTCATTAAAACTTTAATAGATACCTAACATTAAGTTGTTTACATTTTGTGACCATTAAGTTATTATCATTTTGATATGAGCTTATGGCACCGACTTCTAATTTCTTATCTATCAGTTGGTGGGTAACCTATCAGTAGGTATGTACCTACTAATAATAGTTACCTATGTTTTTCTCTTTAATCTTTGTTTTTTGTTTGTTTTTAGTTTTGGGTTTTTTGGCGGCGGTTTTTAACGTAGTTTTTATTTTGTTATTTTTAGTGTAGGTAAAGCTATAATAAACCCGTTTTAAACTTATAATTCACATAGGTGCAAAGTTCTTATCAATACAAATTATACAAGCCCAAACACAAGGTAGTTAATGCACACCGTTGAGGAGTTCTCTTAAAAATTACCTACACTTCTGCATGATCAGGGCCTTAATGATAGTGTCAGTGACAGTAGATGGAGATCTACTGTAGGACAATAGGTTGCGGTCACCGGTGACCGCTTGGTGTTTGACAGTTTGTAGAGGCTGCAATATAAAGCCCAACGTTACACTGGCGCCTAACTCGTGGTGCCCGAAAACCGTGGAAATTGTGATACATAGATGTCAAGTTCTTATCAATACAAATTAATAAAGCTCAAACACGAGCTAGTTACCTACTACAAACCGTTGACGAGTTCCCTCGACTGTCTGTCGGCTCCATCATCACGTCGAATTCAGATCCTCATCAAATTCTAGGTACTGTTTGAAAATCTTTACCGAAAAACATAATAGACGCATTACTCGCCTCTACAATTTTCGAAAGTTCCCCTCGGTTTCGCTAGGATTCCATCAACAGATCCTGAACTGATGAAAATGGGACCCTCTCGGGAGTGTAACCTTTCGATCAAAACGAATAATTTTGGAAATCGATTCACAAATGGCGGAGTAATCGATAAACAAACAAAAAAAAGCAATCATTCGAACACAGTAGGTACCTACCTCCTCCTTTTTTTGAAGTTGGTAATTAGCTCCATCGCGCTAATCTCCTCGGTCCTCTGGTCGAATCGAATTGAATAGGTAAGTCTAATTCGTTTTGTGTTGGATAGTCCATTTATCGATGAAGACTTTTTCCGCTGGTCGGTTCTATTATTGACCCTTGCTAGTAAGGTAGATAGATACCTATTTAGATGGATATATATACTTACTTAATATTATTGCAGTGAATTGATTTTAACAAAAATTTAGGACATCATTAGGTATCCTCAACCCAAAATTAACAATTAACAATACAAAATGTGATTTTGAAAAATTTAACTATGCTCAAGCAATGCTATAAAAATTATATGATAATGTTAAAGTTATTATAGGTACCTACTTACACCGTAAAATTTATTTCGTTTTCGGTTTCGTCCCGCGGCAAAACAATTAGCCAAAGGAGTAAGTAGATACTATCGATGTATAAAGTAAAAACAAAAAAATGTAATTTCTTTTTGGGTTAAAAAAATCATCGCACGTGCCACATGACGAGAAATACCTACCTAAAATCTGTTAGTGCAAGTACCTAAGTAGTACTTCAATACTTACTTAACTTTATTCTTGCAGCTGTTAATTAAGTGCTACATTAAATATTATTTTTATCTGGCTAAAGTAGCATGGTAGGTAGATAAAATAAGCAATAGGTAAAGGCATATCACTCATTCGTTTAACTTTGGAAAAGTAAAGTTGATCTTGTAAGACAGGTTTGATTTTCCGCATTGCTGTGTTACGATACGAAAGAGATTGATTTCGTAGAAGGGTACACCTACTTAATAATAAGCTACCTAGCCGTATCGGTCGTAGCCGTTCTAAAGCTCCTATAAAAAGGCAAGTGTAGTAGGTAAATACTATTACCGTTTTTATTTTATAACAATTTGACGTGCTTGGTGTGGTGGCTGGGTAACAGATGCCGTGCCGCGTAATGTGTAAAGGGTTCAATTCCCTGCACGGAGCAACTATTTGTGTGATCCACTTTGTTGTTCCGGGTTTGGCCTGGTCAAGTGTAGGTATGTAAAATGCATCTCTTTGTAATGTGAAAGTATAGGTTAACATTAATTAATAGCTTAGGTAAGTTATTGACTCATTTATCTATTCTATGGAACAAAAGCAGTTTAATTCATAACAGCTTGTTTTCCTAACATACAAGTTTGTTATTAGTTTTTGTAAAAGTAGGTAGTAGGTAGTATTTTTTAAGGGGGGTAAAATCATCGAATGGCTGCTCCCGCCTGGGTGAGGCGGGAGCCGGGAAGGAGTACCGGAGTGTCAGACTCTTACCGACTAAAAACCACCCCGTTCCTTCTCCTGCGCTTCGAGCCGGAGCCCCGGTAACCCTTTATTGAGTAAATATGATGTAGCATAGTGGCTTCTTACGTTTATGAAATAAGTTGGTATATCTATAGTCATAAATGTCTACATACAAAGTACCTTCTATCTATCATTACATAGGTTAGGTTACGTATGAACGTACATAGCTTTAGACATTTACTTAATCTTCAGGTGCACAGTGCATTCGCATTTGTGAAAGAACAGTAAATGCGAAAGTAAACCTAATGACGGACGTAATTTTTGTAAGCATTAAGCTAATGTCACCTTTCTTAGTACATGCAATAGGTAGTTTGTAACTGCAAGAAAGTAGGAACTAAGTAGGTAACTACAACTACGAAGTTAGATGCATTAAACTGTCAAACACCAAGCGGTCACCGGTGACCGCAACCTATTGTTCTATAATTGTGTCTACAAAACCGGTACTCGACGAGTTAAACTGTCAAACACCACGAGGACACCGGTGACCGCAACCTATTGTTCTTTATTTGTGTCTGTAATGTCGGTACTCAAAGGGTTCATAAGTACGTACATGTCACATGTTCAAGAGCCTAGTTGAAGTTTAGTGTAGATAGCTTCGATATTTTACGGAACCATTATTATAAATTTATATTATATTGTAGAGTGCAGTGCGATGCGCGCTCAAATACGGACGTGTTGTTGCAGTTGTACGTAAAGGTCGCGGCGTAAGTCGCTGCCCGATATTTCGCAATGAGTTCACAACAACTTATCGCAAACGAGCTATTGGCGTTTATACAAAATGCTCTCGACACCATGGACGAAATCAGCATCATGCAGATTTGTAGGTCGAGTTTCAAAGAAGACGAGATCAGCAAAGGCAAGATGCTACTCTACCAGACGACTGGGAAGCTCGACCAAATGCCATCGAGGAGGAGAGATGGTACGGATAAGAGCGTCCAAGACATCATCACCTTTCTGAAGGCGACCGACCCTGACGACGTGCCGACATTCGTGGCGAAGGAGCTACACAAGTTGCCACCCGTCACATTCGACCACGTAGATGTAACCAGGCTGCTAAAGGATATCACATCCTTGAAGTCAAGCTTGGCCCAGATGCAGAGCAAGTTGGAGACGTCTGACACTACCATCCAGGAACTGCATGCCGAAATAGTGTTGTTACGCAATGCTGTTTCGGAAAGTAGATTTCAAGGCGAAGCCAACGTGAACACACGTCGCGGGGCGCAAAATGCTTCAGTCAGCAGTTTTGCATCGGCGAAATTTAACACATCGCTTATTGCAAATAATGATGTCGATGCACCGTGCCCCGACGCGCCCCGTGTCTCTCCACGTGCAGAGCACATGTCACGCGAAGCTATGTCGACCCCCAAAGTAGCTTACGCTGCAATTGCTGCCGCAAACAAAACAGCTGCGTCACAATCTAAGCAGCCAAAAGGGGGTAAGCAGAACCGTCGCTGTGAAGCCGTAACAAGGATTCCGATACAGCGCTGTCCAGAAAAGCCTGTGTGTGATGAGGAGGGCTTCATCAAAGTTCAAAAGAAGAAGCCTACTTCACGCAATCAACGCGGTACCGGACTGACCGGACCTAACATGCTGCGTCCAGCTGTGCCTACGACGCTGCTGTATGTGTCCCGATTACACCACTACACGAAGGTTGAGGAGATCGTGGAGTATGTGAAGATGAAGACCAATTGGACCTTAAGGGTCGAGAGGTTGGAACCGCGTCACAATACCAACTTCAAGTCGTTTGTGGTGCGAGTTCCTACTCAACATCTCGACAAATTCCTGGAGGCAGAGTTTTGGCCGAAGGGTGTTCGAGGTCGCCTACGTGACACCGACCAGCGTATTTTAATGTTTTATATTATAGTATTATTGTATTCATATGGGCCTTCGTTGCCTGATGTAAATGAATAAATAAATAAATAAAAAAAATATATAAAATTTATGAATATTCTTTGATAGGTACCTACTCTTTAATATGGTACCTCTACCCCTTTCTTTATCATTATTTTTATCTTATAGAAGGTAATATTTTATTTTATTCCTTAAGGTGAATGTTCCAGGGTAACGAGTTGCGAATCGCAAAAAACTTTGAATATTTTAATTTCACGGGCTACCCTGTGTAACATTCAACTTAAAGTATCTGGAGGGCTTAGTACGAGTTTGTTTTATGTTAAGCACGAGATACGAGTGCGCGTTCGGCGGTCTGATTGGCTAGCTCCAATGAACCAACCACTAATAATGCCGAACGCGGTTTGCTTCGATTAATTTAAACGTAAAAAAACTCGGACTAATACCTTTGATCGGGTACTCTTCCACGTAGCATTAGTAATTAGCTGTCGACATTAGTACCCTATCTGGGTCCATCTCATCATCTCTGGATTGAATAACTCCATATCTACCTACCAACAACTAACGTCAAAAAATTATCTTAATTCACAGGTTTTGAATTGAGAACGATTATTAATTTGAGTTTCAGTTTACAGCATATCTTAATCATTTTAGTTACCTCCTATTTATTTGCAATGGGTTCGACGGTCTCAGCAGCATGCAGTGATAAATTAATAGTAATAACAATACTAAAATGCTACAGCGCAGTTATATTCTGCCGCTAATGAGTCAATGAGACAATAAAACAGCTTGAAAAAATATTTTAGCTGAATTATTACATCCTTATCCAATGAAGGTGTTAGGTACCTAATGTACCTATCACAGTGTTTTTGTGTTTACCTTTTACCTTCATTTACTTTTATTGTCCACATTTGATTAGTAAGTAAATCACCACTTACTTTCTACTAACGTTAGATAATGTTTTTACAGCGTATGCCAACTATGTAATACAGGTGATTTGAAACTCGACTTATAGCATACCATGTGCATATTTTTTAATTATACCTAGCTACCTAACAAAATGTAATAAATCTCGGAACCCGTTAACTTTGGGACGGACATATAATATGTGGTCTAATCAGCGACAGCTGCATTTGAGCTATTCTATTCTAACTCGTTCTAACAGAAATACGTAGTTTCAAGTCACTTTGTGTAAGTAGTTTGTTTTATATTAAATCATTAATTATTTTGAGTAATCTTCTCTTCTTATCTCTTAATTCAGGGGAGGCGTCACTGCCTACTGTGAAGATCAGCCATGGTACCCGGTGCGCAGCATTACGTTTTAGTAACGATCGTAATCATCGCTATTATATCGCCATGCCTCAGTATCCAGCCAGTTAGTATTCATTGTTTTATTAAGTTTATAGTTGAACACCTTGAGCAGAATTAGGTCTAGCGAAACCTAATCCTACATGATCAAGCATTGTAAATATTGGGAAAAACATATTTGGGGCTTTTAATTACCTAAGTATGAAAATTCTCAGAGACATGGAGGCGATAAGGACATATAGGTACGACCATGGTACGACTAACGACAGCATCATTGGATGTATCACATTCATGAGTATCTCTGGTTTGGCACTATAGATCTATGCAGAACTTTTTACTGTATGGATCGATGATGAAAAATCTCGGAGAAGTTCAAAATGGAATGTAGGTACCTGTAATATCTTTAGGTATATAAATTAAGCTATACAGATATTATGTGATTTTTCAGTCCACAGCCGATGAAATCATCGAAAAAGATCGTAATGCCAGACAATCTGCTATAAGAGCAGGTAGACACGTTGCCGCGGCTCCAAAAAGGGGATTTTTTGGAACTATATTTCATGTCATTTTAGAGGTACGTACCTATCTATTAAAATTAAAAAAAAAATCAGTGATAACTTAATAGGTAGGTTACATTACATTATTTATACATAAGTACAGTCTACTACGATTGTTATTGACAATAAAGGTTATTGTTATTTTCTACAACATATTAGTCAGAGGTGCATACAAACATGTCTATACGGTTACGAAATAGAATAATGTACCTCTATATAATATTTCGATGAGAGGCCTTAGTACGAGTTTTATTTACCTACGTTTAAAGTAATCGTAACGAGTACGCGTTCGGCGTTGTGATTATTGGTTGCTACATTGGTGCCGGCCAATCAGAGGCCTTAGTACGAGTTTGATTTACGTTCAAAGTATTCGAAACGAGTACCAATGAACCATCCAATCACAGCGCCGAACGTGCACTCGTTACGATGTGTGCGTTACCCAGGCCAGATGTTGTCGAAAATGGTCATTTGAATCTTATAAATAATTAGTTGTGCGGCTTCTGTAATTATTGCGCACATTTTTAAATTTGTTGCGCTTATAGTTTTTTAATTATTTCACAAAAACATTTCCTGCTGGGGTAACGTTATCCCAGCTAGACCTTTTTCTTTCTAATGGGAATATTTAAATAATTACTAGCTATAAAATTAGTTGTCTAGATGAAGTAAATGTTGCGCCTTGTTTTGTATTTGTTCTTTCATCGGTTGCGAACTTATTTGAGATTTTGCTGGGGTAACGTTTTGGATTTTGCTAGATCTTTGAAATGGTTAAGCGGATTCTTATCGTATTTGGTACATGGCTTTTGATTAATTAGTTCAAATTTTTTGTGAAATAAAATAACCAAAATAATAAATAGCTTAAAAGTTATTTCATTAAATAGAAAAACACTTAAATTGGCCCCAGCACTCTCAATAAGAGCTCTAAAAACTTACTTTTTTTAAAAGCTTGTAACTGCCTTCAAATGTATGTGAAGTTGTATTAGTATCTTGTAAGTATTGACCAAGTTATGATGATATTGAGTTTTTCGCGAGCACGGCCTTGATGCGCGCGGTGTTATTTGGTCACTGGATTGGATATTTCAACTGAATGTTGTGTCAATAATTAGTTGTTTAGTTCAGTTATATATCAGTAAAATTTCAGCTCAGTACATTGGATAATTATTGAGATAATACGATTAAAGTCATTATGAAGAGAATGACCGTGGTAACCCGACCAAGTTTAGGTGGTTACGAAAAAGCGAAAACGCAGAACATTATGGTACCTTCTAAAATATTTAGGATAGGATTACGAATTTAGTACAGACATGTACACAAGTTTTAAAAAAGTTACGTAATTATTAAATATTTTTTTATTGACAGGTAATATAATAATTTCAATTGTACTTTTAAAGTAATATTAAGCTGATACTTAAAAATAATCACAGATTAAAATTACAGATAGTAATTTAGCTTTTTTGAAATTTTCTATTATTTTTTAATTAAATTATAGATTTCAGTATACACAGCCTACACAGTTACAGTTTTATTTAAATATACACATATTGGACTGGGTACTGATCACAAACAATTAATAGAGTACAATGGTTTTTTTCAGTTAACACTAAACATACGGTACGTACAGACTATATAACATAAGATGAAACGTACGCGCACTCTACAAGATTAATTATGTGATTATAGACCATGTTTAGTGCGATATGCAAACAATTCCTTCACCCTTTAGCCCTTCACCCCACCCCTTGCGCTTCCTACCGAACGACATGTTATAATAGTGATTTTTGATAAGTTTGTGCAACTGGAAGATAATAATAATGTTTTTATAATACAGATATTATTATATTATTACTGTATTTAACAGTGTACGCGTCTGTACCGAAATTGTAAGGTGTATTATACTAAACATTTCAAAAGATAGTATAATGTTCTGCGTTTTCGCTTTTTCGTAACCACCTAAACTTGGTCGGCTTACCACGATCATTCTCTTCCTAATGACTTTAATCATATTATCTCATTAATTATCCAATGTACTGAGCTGAAATTTTACTGATATATAACTGAACTAAACAACTAATTTTTGACGTAACATTCAATTCAAATATCCAATCCAGTGACCAAATAACACCGCGCGCATCAAGACCGTGCTCGTGAAGAACTCAATATCATCATAACTTGTTGAATACTTACAGGATACTAATGAAACTTCAAATACATTTGAAGGCAGTTTTACAAGCTTTTAAATAACGTTTAAAGTAAGTCTTTAGAGCTCTTATTGAGAGTGCTGGGACCAATTTAAGTGTTTTTCTATTTCATAAAATAACTTTTAAGCTATGTATTATTTTAGTTGTTTTATTGCACAACAAATTTGAACTAATTAATAAGAAGCCAAGTACCAAATATGATAAGAATCCGCTTAACCATTTCAAAGATCTAGCAAAATCAAAAACGTTACCCCAGCAAAATCTCGAATAACTTCGCAACCCATGAAAGAACAAATACAAAACAAGGCGCAACATTTACTTCATCTAGACAACTAATTTTATAGCTAGTAATTATTTAAATATTCCCATTAGAAAGAAAAAGGTCTGGCTGGGGTAACGTTACCCCAGCAGGAAATGTTTTTGTGAAATAATTAAAAAACTATAAGCGCAACAAATTTAAAAATGTGCGCAACAATTACAGAAGCCGCACAACTAATTATCCATAAGATTCAAATGACCATTTTCGACAACATCTGGCCTGGGTAACGCACACCGTTAGGATTACTTTAACCCATTAGAAGTTACTGTACTCATATGAGTACACCTAAAATTCTACGCATAAACTTAATATCTCTTGTATTTTTGTAGGGTAACTCTATTATCTTAATTCATTATAAAATTGTCTAACTATATTGATAAATTATATGTGGGTAGTGCGATATTTTTTTATATTTAGTGACAGTTGAACTTGTGTGAACGAAACGGCGTGGAGGTAAGTAAATTATTTTAGATATTTTTGATAAATTTGTGCTAATTACGATGTGGGCAGCGGAGCAGATCCAAATAACGCAACCAATTAATAAGCAAGTAGTTTATTAAAGGTTACAATGATATATTAAAACTAAGTACTTAAAACTAGGGTCCTAACGTCCCGATGTTAGGCGACAAAAGGCGACATGAGAAGTCAGCGAACGGTTTTTATAAATCGATCAATTCGTGTTGCGCAATCTCGATGAATGACGATTGTATGATGTTCCTGGTATCTGAGGGCTACCTCGGATATTACACCTCCCCCTTAAGATGAGCAACTATTTACTAATATCTATGGCAAAAGTTGCTGCTCTCTTATCCGTTTCTGATAATTCAACAACTTCTTTATTTCCTTTAACTTTAATTGTCTTCATTCGCCGTATGAAATCCATGCTAAGCAGTGCACCTGTACTTAACAATACAATGATCATGACGTATAAAGGTATTGTTGTGTGGTATATGCTCGATGAATCAGCCGATTCCGTTTCGACATATCTTTCCATTGTAATTTGCCTTTGAATATTGTGTAATAATGTGTTCAGATCAATCGAAGTCAGGTGGTAATCCGTTTGCTTTTTCCGAGTATGATTAGTCATCCGTGGGAGCGCTGTTATTTCCACAGTGATTCCGTTAACTTTGTCGTCGATATTAACCAATGTAAATTCTGTGGATTTGATTTTGCAAGATTTAGGGATAGTTGCCAGGAAGCTGCCGTGTAATAGTTAATGTCTTTCTTTTCCACAGGATAGCAGAACTTTTGTAGGTTGAGGAAATGATATTATATAGTGCCTGCTATCTAGCTCTAAAAGAGCCTCCTTGTTCAGAGAGATAGGCGTGACTTGGCACGTTTCATCTACCTCCTGTAATTGAATCAGTTTATCTATGCAATCCAATCTGGAACGAATTTATTTGCTGCTCGCATATATGACACTTGTCTACCTTCGAGCATTCTGCCTCTGTGTACACGAACTCCTTCAAGTTGGTCGCTACGTAAGGATAGGATGGAAGGATAATTTTACTATCTTTATTTGGTACAGGACAAAGTCTATATAAGTGGAAAATAGTAGGAATAGTGATAGGGAACTTTAGGACGACCACGATTTTCCTATCAACATAATAAGACTCTAAGCTAATTATATCATAGTAATATCTTATATCTAAGTCTATGATCTGATCTTGGCTATAAAGGTGCTTTAATTTGCTTATCATATTTCTTAATTCTCTTACAGATAAAATAGAATGGTGCAAAGACCTAGAACTACTAAATGCTAATATATTTTCTAACCTATTAATTTCGCCAGCTAACTCTTGTATGTTATCGCTCAGGATAACAAAAAGTTGAGCTATTTCTGCATTTTTAACGCTCGCTCATTATCAGAAGTAGTCATATTAATGACGTACTTAAGAGCTTTATCTAACCTATGCTGATTGATACTTAAGTTGTTCAGTACATGAGTTTGTTGTTGTGTGAATTCTTTGAATAATGAAATATGCTCATTAATCTTAGTTGAAATTAGTTTATCATTTTTCTTTAAAATATTTCCAGTCTTTCGGAATGCCGTTCGTCACTAGAGTTCTAGCGGCGGCTCCAGTAATTTTATTTAGTATACCATTTAATAAGGCCACGTTAGATAACTCATATCCGGATCCTGAGTTGGCATAATTAATTACCAATTTATCACATAATGCTAAAAATCTAATTAATGTATTACAATTACCATCAAACTCTGGTACCAACCTTAATGCCTTAACTATTTTATTAATCATTTCGTCTTGATTGACGGCACCTTTTTGCTCCATTTTATCTAAACTACTTAAATCCTCTAAATTGCGAGAAGCGTCCCTCTGCGCGATGCGGGAGGACGACCTCAGGGATTCGATACCCTCGAGGGATCGCGATGATCGTGGGTGGAAAATTTTGGGATAGGATATAGCTACCGACTGTCAGAAATTGTGCAACTCACATGAACATATCGGTGGCTTCCCGTCGTATCGATATCTGGATACACAGGATCTCTGGTGGCTGCTCTCGTTGGTTCAGGATTATCGACGACGCACGTTAAGGCGTGGACAGCGCGCGCGGTGTGTCCCACACGATCGTAGATACGGTTACACGCACTGCCTCGACAATCCTACCGACTGCGCCAATTACGATGTGGGCAGCGGAGGAGATCCAAATAACGCAACCAATTAATAAGCAAGTAGTTTATTAAAGGTTACAATGATATATTAAAACTAAGTACTTAAAACTAGTGTCCTAACGTTCCGATGTTAGGCGACGAAAGGCGACATGAGAAGTCGGCGAACGGTTTTTATAAATCGATCAATTCGTGTTGCGCAATCTCGATGAATGACGATTGTATGATGTTCCTGGTATCTGAGGGCTACCTCGGATATAACATGCTTAATAATAAGTGTTTTTTTATTTCACGGGTATAGATATAATATGACAGTAATTTATAAAAAATAGAATAAGTAATTATACATTACTGAAATAAAACTAGGATCATGTGAATATTACTGTACTCAGTTGAGTACAATGACAACATAGGTAAGTAAAATAATTGTTTTTTTTTTCAGATACTTTGCAATGAAGAGACGTCTATTTACAATGCCAACTTACTACAATGGGCTTCAAGAAGCTATCGAAGCTGTGTTACAGGATAGCGAAGATGATGACTGTGACTTTGCTATCATACCACCTGATACAAGCGTGTTGACAGATGAAGAGGAAGGTGCTGACGATATGACGGCCACTTTTATACCGCAGGACTTACCTGGTACTGTTGAGGTACTTAGGAATCCAGACGATAGTGACGATAAACTGCTACCAGCTAAAAAGAGACGACTAGACATTGCCCGCCAATCTACTTCAAAATCAAACCCTACGTGGCGGAAATGTGCTCCCTCGTACTTTTCCTGAATGCCTGAATCCTATAGAAATATCAGAAAAAAACATTGATGACGATATTCTTGAGCTGATAATTTTCAAATAGATTCCTTAGATTTGAAGAAGAATTTTTTTAGGAAAGGATAGACGTAGCAATACCACGTTTATTCCAAATTTACAATAAAAGTATGGGAGGTGCGGGTGAACTTGACCAGTCTGTCGTATTATATAGAATTGCTGTTCACGGTAAGAAGTGGTGGTGGGTGTTGTTCACCTATATGTTAGACATGGCCATTACTAACGCTTGGCGATTACATGTAGTGTGTAATGAAAATTCGATGGACCAACTAATGTTTCGACGTTACATTGCACGATATTATTTACGCCAAGGTGAACAAAAAAATTCGCGCCCTACTGCATCAGTTGTTGAAGCGCTATGTCAAGATGAAGTTGGACACTATCCACAAAAAATTGAAAAGCAACTACGATGTGTCCTTTGTCACTCAAGAGAAAAGTAAAAAGTGCTAAAAACACTTTGTGTGGAAAAATCGTGTTTTGAAAATTTTCATACTTAGGTGGTCAGTGTACTCAATTGAGTACTCCCCTGAATTTTCATGAAAAATACAATTTTCCATTTTTTTCTTGCATTCATTGTTCTTATGCTCTCAGTTGAATACGAAAATAAACAGAATTAAAAAAAATATTGTTACTTTTTATTTGACCTTTAATGGGTTAAACGTAAAACAAACTCGTACTAAGGCCTCAGAGGGCCGAACGCATACTCGTTTCGAATACTTTAAAACGTAGCGTACATCAAACTCGAAGTCCTAAGGCCTCTGAAGACCTTCAGACTACTTCAGAGTTGTAACGAGTAGGTATGTACGTATGTTACGGTATTAGGTAAGCCTGGTAAGCTATTAACATATTGGTTGATATTGGCCAATAATAGTCACCTCACTTTAACCATGCAATTAATCTTTTTTTTTTCTTACAGCAAATCAACGATACAAAAAGCGCATACAATCAAATATCTGATTTAGTAAACAACCAATTTGCAGATGACAATGTAAGTATATTAGCTATGCAATAAAAATTACCTAAGTAAAAGCTAAGGTGGACGATTAATATCGGGATCGCGTGATTGTCTTGCGACCAAAACTGCTGACAGAAGTTAGTTCCACATTCATAAGCTTAAGTATCGAATCCTTCTTTTCAAGGTTAACATTGTAACAGTCCCTAATTTAATATCCTATTTAATTAGATTTGCATTAGTTATATCATTATCGAGCAATTATAAGTGCAATATATAATTAGGAACGTTACCAATGAATCACATCTCCATTTCGGTAGTACAGCTACATTGTGAAATATTTTTGGAATACCTAATTAGGTTAGAAAGAGTATAGAGAGAATGTGGTTGTGGCCAATTAAAACGTTTGTCTACACTTTTATTAACCGACTTCCCAAAAAGGAGGAGGTTATCAACTCGGTTGTACTTAGGTTTTTTTTGTATGTGTACGTTACCTGATTACCGGTGTTTGCGGACGGATTTTGATGATTATTTTTTTTGTTGGAAAGGTTATACTCTCGGGGTGGTCCCATTTCGAACGTGATGATAAAGTCGGTGTCACAAGCCCATAACAAAATATAACTTAGGTTAATGGTCACATTGAAGGTCATACTCTATGTTGAAGGTTTTTAATGAACTCTTTTATGACTTAACAGGCAGTGACAACAACTCCAGATCCTTCAAATAATGGCACCACAGAGTCACCGAAAATTACTAGAGCCGAGTTCCTAAAAATATTAGATCGCAATCTCAAAGGACTGAGTCGCCTCCGGAACTTAGAGTGGCGAGAAGCCAAGAAGGTAATTAGATTACTTTTAAGATTACTTTTAGTTTTTTCTGCTTCGGTAAATGGGGGAAATTCTTAACTTCGGTGATGGTTACAACGTAACATAACATCACTCCTTTTATCCCCTAAGGCCCAGGGGTAGGCAGAGGTGCACATTATGCCACTGTACAATGTAACACCCACTTTTCACTATTTATGTTATGAGTCCCATGTAATAGGGGGTGAGCCTATTGCCATATACCGGGCACAATTCCAGACTCCATGCTACTACTGAGATTTTTTTTTTAAAAACCCAGTAATACTTTGCCCGACTCGGGAATCGAACCCGAGACCCCTTGCCCGACAGTCGCGCTTGCGACCACTCGGCCAACGAGGCAGGCAGTTACAACGATTAATTAATTATTAATACTATCTACTTTCCGCATGGTTTCACCAGCTGCTTATGTTCTATAGATAGCAGCGTGATGTTTTAGGTATATAGATATCTATGATTTTGGAGAACAATTAAATTCTGGAGAATAGCACTGTCAAAGGAAGAAACTCTTCAGCTTTATAATTTAGGTACTTTAGTAGTAGTAGTAGTAGTAGTAGTAGTAGTAGTAGTAGTAGTAGTAGTAGTAGTGGTGGTAGATAGTCAAAGGTCGATAGTAGGTAGCGTTTTCGCTGGGTTTGATGTGAATTTATATGTTCACGAATTTTACGAAATCACCTACCTCAGTAGTGATTGAACAGGAAAATTTGCGTAATATAGAATTTATCAACATTAAAAATGTTTCATATAATAATTATAACATTATATAAGTAAATATACCATATCGTATAAGTTATCATAACATTAACGATTACATTGATTATCTACTGTTTATATGAGTAAGTATCATTATCGCACAACTATTAATTAAAAAATATAGGTTCATTTAAAACTGATAATGCTTAGTGTGATATTTTCTATTTTTAAATAGGTACGTTGGTGAAATTAATATTAGGATGTTTCAAATATTCCAACTTATACAGGGTGTCCCTGAAGTCGACGATTAAATGGCACCAGTTGATAACTCTTGGAACCTTGCCGATTACCTGGTGTCATTTGATCGTCGACTTCAGGGATACCTGTATAGTCAAATTAAAACTCTTGTTTCGGAATGTCAAAAGATATTTAATTCATGTTTTGTAGGTACCTACGAGATTAGCGTATTGTGACGTAATAATAATTGCACGTCAAGTAGAATACTGTTTTTTAAGTTTCTGGAATAATACGATAATTGAGCATGTCAGAAAATAAGTAAATTAAACTGATTCTTTTTTATAATGTTGAAAAGCCAAAATAATATATTTTTGACAATAGATCTAAATATTACGAGTTATTGTGTGTTTTCCTGTCGTACCGTCACAATATTTGTATGACGAATAGTGTACTTAATTATTTAAAACCGCATAAAAATATTAAATTACAATATACCTATTATTATCATATCAATTAATGAAAATGTAATTATTTTTAATATTTTATAATACACCGTGAAATTTATATAGTTTTCGTCCTGAAGTAAAATGGTTCTGTCTTAGTGATACCATAGTTTTACAAAGAAATAAAATGTTTAAAACAAAAAATAGCTGATGAACCATTGTAAAAACCAAACTTTGATAGTGTACACCCCTAGTAATTCTCAAAGAGGTAGGTATTTCTTGGTAGATGGCACGTGCGATGAAAATAGTGCTCACAAAGTACACTATTTTCATCGCCCATGAGACACATGTAGTGTCTCATGTGCGTATTTCGATGATTTTCTTTTAAATTGAAAAATGTCATCTTTTTTATTTGTTTTTACTTTATAATTATATCGAAAGTAGAAATATAAGGAGTCTTATGGCAAGTTGCCCCGTGACGAAAACGACATAAATTTCGATGTATTGGTTGGTCGAAATAATTTATTTTTGATTGAGGAAACTACCCTATTAATGTTGTAATGTCAATTTTTCTATTTCAGGATTCTGCAGCAAGTATCAGAATGTACAAGGACGAAATATTCAGAGGGAAGAAAGCGAGAAGCACAAGATAACATCTAATCGCATTGTAGATTGCTAGATATAACGAATAAATTAATACTTTAAGCGCCTACTTCACCACCTACGTACAGGGTGTCATAAATATGAAATAATATTATTACCTATGTCATTGTCACTTAAATACACTTTACGAAAATAATATCATCAGCGGAAAGTTCCCATTCTAATCTTTAAAGCAAAATAATTATAAACTCAACACCATTGCAATTGGATTTGGAACATCAATAATTGCATAGGTAGGTACTGAACGTATTATATATTTCATATTTACGACACACGCTGTATAAGAACCTGGTCAACTTATGTGACAGGTAGTTTATACAAATTACGTTCTTATTTCTATTGAAATGTTACATACGGCTATCCAGATAATGTGAAACAGCCTAAAGTAGGTATTAAAAACGGTGAAGGTACTTTTGACTATGACTACCCCTTGAAAAGCATAAAAAATGCGTTTATGGGAAAGTCCATACAGAAGTCACTCATTACAACTATTTGATATGAGAATTATTAAAGATAGTCTTTTGACGATGATTGTACTTAAACGATGTTTCATAGTTGTTGCAGTATTGTCAAATAGTAAACCCAAAAATCATTGTAAAAGTCAAATTATATTTAAATACATAGAAAACTTTCATGTATATTTATTTAACGAAACAACAGTAATTACACTATATTCTAATTTAAACAACAGAATCTGATACCTTTTCTTGTTTTACCTTCTTTTTCTTTGGATAGATGTGTAATATTGCACGACAATGAGGATACAACTCAAATTTAGTCTTATGTATTTCAGTTGTAAGTCTCTTTTTGACAGACTCTTGATTTAGCATCATTTGTACTGCCTTCTCGTGAGTTAGACTTAAGAGGTCGCTGGATTTTAATTTAAGTTCACATCTGTCTGCCCCATCAACCTGAAACAGTGAATTTTACTTTATCATTTATTAATTACTCAAAAGAAGTTTGGTAAATCTCTAAATTCATCGATTTAATGTATACCACATAACATAAAAGTGTTGTTTACAAAGATATTAATATAAAAATACTCACTTTACACAAAAATGATAACTCATAACTTTCATCTACTTTTGGCCAAGTCTGTTCGAGTACACATTTTTCCCAATCAATCAAATTCGATGACTCTGTCAATCTATGAGGTGCAGATTGTAAGCCAGCCCAGAGCTCAGAACAAAAGTGGGGAGTTACTGGTGCCAACATAATTATTAACACTGCTAAAGCCTTTTCATATTCCTTACTTTTAGTTATCACTTCAGGTGGTACTTTATTCTGAAATAATAAATTAAAACATTAACCTCAAGTAAGCGAGTGGATAGGGCGACAGTGAAGCATTACTATTAAAGTAGAAACAGATCTCTAGATAAAACAGATATTACTGGATTATCGCCATTGGACTAGCAAATTAGACTGAACTGAAAACTATCAACTAAATAGAAGTGGTAAAAACAATCTATACTTCTACAGAGCTGTTAGAGGACTAAAAGAATGTATGTGATGTTATTTTAACTAATGAAAGGAAAATAATTACCCTTAGAACACTAGTCAAACTTTGGAGTCTTGAAATGCCCACACTAAGTTTTTGAGTGTGTTTGAAATGATAAGTTGTAGTGGCAATTAAATAGTTTCTTGAATCCCATATTTTGTATTCATGTTTATGAAATTCTTCAGGAGTCAAAGTAGTCTCTACGGGTAAGTTATTACGATGATTCAAAAATTCCCTCATGGTCATCCATAATCGATGTTGCCAATTTAACACGCCAGGTAACGCTGTAAACAAAAAAAAAAACACTTAAAATTTCACCTTTTTGAAAGTCTCTAGTCGAGAATTTTATTATACTTCTCATGAAGAGAAGTATAATATGCAGCAACTGCAACTGTATGAACAGCTGAAATTAGGTGAGCTGTCTTGTTGAAATAAAAAAATTTGAAAAAGTTTTGTAAACAAAGAGTTTGTCTTAAATTTTGCATCGCCAATAGAATTTGGTATTCGGAGTCACTGAAAATGTTAAAGAAGGCTTACGGTTATACGACTTTATCAAAAACTCGTGCTTATGAGTGGTTCAAAGCGTTCAAAAGCGGTCGAGATGTGATGAAAGATTTGCCTCGCTTTGGTAGGCCGTCAACGTTTACAATTGAAGTTAACATAGCAAAAGTGAAGGAAATAGTGACTGAAAATCCCCATTCAACTCTGAGAGGGATAGCCGATTCTGTATCTCACGAGTCGATGCGTACCATTTTAACTAATCACTTGGGCAGCTAGCCGAGCAGCAACATGTTTCATAAAACATGTTGCTGCTGGGCTAGTTCCAAAAGATCTGAATTTTCTTCAGAAACTCAATCGCATGGAAGTCGCTGAGGACAAGCTAGAACGAGTCAGTTCGGACCCAACATTCATGAAACGCATTATTTCTGGTGAAGACGTGGGTTTACGAGTTTGACATGTAAACTAGTCTTCGAAATGGCGCCTTCCAACTGAACCGAATCCGAAAAAAACACGCCAAAGTCGATCAAAAGTCAAAGTCATGTTGACTGTTTTTTTACTATCACGGTGTTGTGCACTATGAATTCTTACCGGAACGTCTAACGGTAAATAAAGAATATTATTTGAACGTTATGCGGCGTTTAAGAGAGCAAATTCGACGAAAAAGGTCAGATTTGTAAAAAGAAAATTGTTGGATTTTGCACCACGACTATGCGCCTTCGCACAAGGCTATCGTGGTGAACGAATTTCAAACACTGAACAAATACCATCCAGCAACTACCATATTCACCAGATATGGCTCCTGCTGACTTTTATCTTTTTCCTAAACTTAAAAAAAACCGACTTCAAAAAACCAAAAACGAATAACAAACAAAAAGTCAAAACTAAAAAGCAAAAAATAACTATTATTAGTAATGATAGGTTCCATACAAAATTATTCATTAAAACCTTAATAGGTACCTAATTCACAATTTTGTGGGCATTAAGTTATATCATTTTGATATGAGCTTATCGGCACCGACTTCTAACCTATCAGTGGGTGGGTAACCTATCAGTACTAATAATAATTTTTTTGCTTTTTAGTTTTGACTTTTTCTCTGTTATTAGTTTTTGGTTTTTTGAAGTCGGTTTTTTAAACGCAGTTTTTATTTTATTATTTTATCGTTTTCAGTGTAATGCTACATATACCCGTTTTGTTACTTATAATCTACATAGGTGCAAAGTTCTAATCAATACAAATATACAAGCCCAAACACAAGGTAGTTAATATAAACCGCTGAGGAGTTCCTTCGACTGTCTGTCGGCTCCATCATCAGGTCGACTCCAGACACTTATCAAATTGTAGTACTAGTCGAATCATCTGATGGTAAGCAATCGGCGTCGCCCATGGACTTCCAGAACACCAGAGGCATTGCAAGTACGTTACCGGGCTTTTGGAGATTGTTGGGGATTAATTGGGGCAATTGGGCTTCCGGTAACCTTACTCACACGACGAAACACAACGCAAGCGTTGTATCACATCGGTTTTCTGTGAGCCAGTGTTATCTATCCGGTCGAGCCAGCATATTCGTGCCGAAGCATGGCTCTCCCACACTTCAACACACGTGCGAGTGTTGCTGGCGTTTTGACTTTTGAGAATTAGGATGACCAGTACCTATACTATGCGAAATAGTTATGATATTTAAATTGCCAGTTTGTCAGTCTCCTTTATGTTTATCTTGTATATTGCCTTGCGATAAAACACTGCAATGTATTGAATGTTTGATAATTCGATCTAATATAATAACCATTCGATATTATGAACCTTCCAGTAATTAGGCGTTCGATCTATAGTAGTATCAATATATATATTCGATTACTTGGCATATCCACCCTTGGGATAAACATAATAAACATAAGTATTTAGGTTATACTCACTTGCATCTGACCAGCGTCTGGGCGTCGCTGGTGGTACATCTGCCAAAATCAAAAGACGAGTAGTGTCACAACCATATGTGGCAAGTAACCTTTCAGGATTTTCGCCATTGTATTTAGATTTACTCATTTTTTCCCATTGTGTTACCACAGCATTACCTGTGCTCTTTTCTTTATAGTATTTTCCAACCTTTTCAACCTGATCAGGGGGTATATATTTCCCAGAACACTTCAATTTAAAAGATTGCCCCATTACCATTCCTTGTACCACTAGTTTTTGAAAAGGCTCTTTAGTTGGTGTCCATCCAAGTGAATGCAAGAAATAACTCATAAATCTAGCATAATATAAATGCAACACAGCATGTTCCTTGCCTCCAACGTAAATATCGACAGGCATGTGATTAATAACCTGTTCCTTAGAAAATGGCATTTGTTCATTAGTTGGATCCAAGAAACGATAATAATACCATGAAGAATCCACGAAAGTGTCCATAGTATCAGTTTCCCTTATAGCACTAGATTGACATTTAGGACATGTACATTTTTTCCAATGCTCTAACTTTTCTAATGTTTGTATACCTGTACTAGACTCAATTTCAGGTAGTTCTACAGGAAGGTCTTCATAAGGAACAGGAACTGCACCACATGTTTTGCAATGAATTATTGGTATAGGAGTTCCCCAATATCTTTGTCTAGATATAAGCCAATCTTTGAGTTTCGAGCTAACAAAGTGACCACCAACATTTTTGTTAAGTGCCATATCAACTGCCCGGCTATTTTCACTCTCAATATCAATTTTCAATTGTTTACTGCTAATAGGTACATTTAAAAGATTAGCGATTTTTTTGTCTTCTTTATCAACTTGTGAACATCCAATGTAAACATTCCTACCTTCAGGGTAGTTAACATCATCAACAATACAAACAGGTAATTCACGATTTGATATAGGGTTCAAGCATACAAGTGTGACATTTTTATGCGATTTCAATTCCTGGATTATTGGATGACTAGAATTCATTGTTATGAAATCACCATAAATAAATTTATAAGGTTCTGCAGTCCAAACATCAAATGTTTTCATTTCACCATTAACTTCGAGTTTAAAACTCACTATGACTCCATCACATTCTCCAATCCAATGTTTTTGTAAGTTAATAATATCTTTCCAATTTTCCAACTCTTCACTGTCTAGCCCATCATACAGAGCTTTTGCAAACTTTGTTGTTTTTATAAACCACTGAGTTAAGTATTTTTTTTCAACTTTAGCACCCGACCTCCAGGAACAACCAAGATCATCAACTTGTTCATCAGCCAATACTGTCATGTCTACTGGATCCCAATTTACTTGTGCCTGAAATGAGGGATAAAATATTCCAAAGTTAGCAATGTGGGTAAGGATCACAATAATAATAGTTTTTTTTTTTTTAAGGGGGGAAAATCATCGAATATATTAATCTCACATCACATCGAAAATAATAATAGTAAACTGACTATTTTATATTTATACTTAATCAACTTCAAAAAAGGAGGGGTTGTAGTCAGTTTTTTTAAATATACCTAGTTTTAGAATTATGACACAGGATTATTAACCTATTGGATGTTGTGTCAGACATGATGCCCGACGCTAATGGAGGACTAACCTAAAGAATCAGGAAAAAGATTATGCCAAGTAAATATTAAGATGAGAACAAGAACATTACCTTACTTTGGTAGGCTAAACCTTTTTCAAATAACTTTAAAAATATAAATTGTGTCCATTTGTAATAGCTAGGATCACATGTAGAGATTTCTCTTTTCCAATCAAAATTGAATCCCAACTTCTCTAATTGATTTTTCATAGAATTTATGTTTGATTTAGTCCATTGGCTAGGTGGAATATTTCTTTCAATTGCTGCGTTTTCTGCTGGTAGACCAAAAGCATCCCATCCAATAGGGTGAACAGAATACCTTCCATTTAACTCTTCAAATCTTGCAATTGTGTCTGAGATAGAGTATACCCGAACATGACCCATGTGCAAATTCCCTGATGGGTAAGGAAACATAGGCAACACATAATATGGCTTCTTCCCATTGTTGACTGCTGATCTTTTGACAACACTAGACCATTGCTTCTCAATATTCATTTTAATTTCAGTGTTTATGTCCTGTTCCTAAAATTTAAAACATAAGTGATGATTTTAAAAATACCTCTGACTAAATAATACATTCTGGTTGATTCATATTTCTAAATAATACTAGTATTAGGTACAGGGGCGTAGCTAGCGCCGTATCTGCCGTATCAATTATATTAACTTTTGTGAGCAAAAATATAGAAACTACTAAATAAATTATAATGTTTTCGGCTTACTCACGTAATAGTTTGATGAGGAACTCGACTAGTTTCAAGTCATGCTAGAGGCTCATATTCATGAGCAGCAGTTCGCGACCCACGACGCGGCGACTGTCGCGCTGCTACTACTACTGAGTAAGCCGAAAACAATAATTTATTTAGTAAGTCTCACAAAAGTTACAATACAAAGATCTGATTTTCATTTTTGATTCATGATTTCAATTTATATTTCAGTGATCACAAAATGCATGCGTTCAAAGGTTGGCAGAAACCATGTGGAAAAACTAAAGTAGTCATTGTCCAATAATTTGGGCAGAGGGAGTTGAACTAAAAAGTCCGATTTTAATAAAAATTATTAGCATATTATGTAAAAAAAATTGTGAGAAATTTTTACCTTTCATAAGGGCCCTAAAGAAATTTATATACGGGCCCCACCAAGATAGGCTATGTCACTGATTAGGTAGTTTTAAATATTAGTAGAGATACAGTAAATTGGCATTTTTAAGATACCTACTATAATCAAGTGTTGAGACCATTTAGATTTAAAGTAAGTATATGTAGAATTTTGCTAGATAAAAGTTTAATTACCCATAAACTTAGACTGCTTTTTCTTCTGTACAGAAAACATTGCTGGAAGTTGCGAAACCTATGTGCTCTTTGATAATAATTAGTCATTTGAAATATTTTAACTTTAAGAACTTTCATGATTTTCGTTTAAACATTAAGATGTATCAAATTTCACTGTTTTGTATTGTTTAAGCTTCTTATTCTTAGTCCATTTAATATGGATGCATAATTTATATGGTTCCTTCTAGTTTTAAGTCACATAACATGAAAATATATTAATAAGTTAATTGTTCTTCTTTCGGGAAACGCACCTATATCTCAGTAATACACACTCGTTGTCGTTTTCTTTTCTGACGTTTTTTTGCCTTTGTCATTGACATGTGTCAGGTTGCAACCCTCAGAAAACTAGGTACACTTGCGTGCAAAAAATCGTTACACCCTTGCTTCGATTCAGAACCCCGTAACTAACGTAAGTAATCTTACAATTATCGAATAAACTTCAATTGATCAATTTACTTTAATACATCAATCTAAGATAACAATAAGTGAGATTCTATTGTAACAGTAATAATCAATTAATATTTGATTATTTTATAACATTGTTTTCCTTCTCAACTTAAGGTCTAGGTCGTTTAATTAAAAGAATGACTGTGTCGAAATTCATTTTCATGATCAAGTCGTATATATATTACCTAGAACGACTATAGCCATAGTTCATAGCAGTCGTAGCGCGTAGCAGCATCCGAATCCGAACTAATGGGGCAGGCAGGACTATAACCATAGCGGTATTTCCAATCTTTAAATATACATACACCAATGTATACTAAGTTTACCCTTTACCCTCTTACCCTTAAGTGTGTCTCTGATTAGTATTATAGTTATCTGTTATCTGTGCCATGCTGTCTATGCTATTTTTTTTTTTTCTTCTATGGCAATTGTCTATGCTATGTTGGCTTATCTGTCACGCTGTCAAGTGTCAACTGTCTTAACCTAATCTTCGTTCTTCAACTTCAAACTTCAAAAATTTTTATTGTTAATCGTTATTCGTTACGTTCTTCACATCACAATCAATCTTCAAAAAATCTCTTTTTTAAGCCAGCAAAGCAAATTAAGAAAACATCTGAAATGGCCAGGCCAGGGAAAGAGGATGCTGCTGAAGATGCAAAGAAGATAGTAGACGATGCAAAGAATTTTATTGAAAAGGCAATATCAGATATTGGGAAAACGTCTGCAACAAAGCAGTTAATTTTAGGAACTACGTCAGGGTGGTAAGTGACTAAGTGCACTTTGCATTCATCTGTTTCTTTTAATACATACCTACATCTCAATTAATCATTGTGTTTATATAAAATCAGATGTTAATAAATAATAAAATGGTACTTAATTCGCAGGTCGGTTGATTGGTATTGACATTTTGATATTTTGTTACTTAACTGTAGTTACAAGGTCACATCTTTGTAAATACCTTTGTTGTAAGGGTATGACTCAGACTATGACGATGTAATTTTAAATGTTCAATTTCACTTATTACAGGATAACTGGTTTTCTATCTATGAAAATAGGGAAGATAGCTGCAGTTGGTTTGGGAGGCAGTGTTATTCTATTACACATTGCCAGCCAGAAGGGATACATTGATATTAATTGGGATAAAATTAACAAGAGAGTTGATAAAATCAGTGATAAGATAGAAAAGGAAGCAACTGGAAAATCTCCTGATTGGATTGAAAAAGTAAGTACAATTTCATCAATAATTTTTTGTTTGACACATTCTTGCTTTATGACTATGAAAATTTCAAATATCTGCACAATTTCATCTGAAGAAGCTCACTTATTTCGCTTCAGTCACTTTGCCCTTAAGTCTATACATTCCAAACACATCTATCCTTGCCCAGTTTACTTTATTACTAGAGCTAGTTATCTTGAAGTCTGTACATCTAATTTATTTTATTCTAAGTGTAATGTAAATGGTCCCAAAAACCATTTTAAAATACCTATAAAAGTAATTGTTATAATTTTTTTGGGGATAATTTTTATTTGACCTGATAATAATTGAATTTGTATACAAATTCACCTTGAATAGTATCAAGGCTACTTTATACACAAAGGCTTGCTTTAACTTCTTGAGTGCTGATATATGAGACACAACAGAAAATACATTGTGTCTTAGATATACATCCATATGGCATACAATGGGTTAATATGACAATTTAGTACACAATCAAGTAGACGCTATATTTCACTAAGACACCAAATGATGGTGCAACCAGTCGTGCCATCATGGTGTCAATAAGTTATCAAATAAGACACCAGAGCCACACATCAGATAGCAACAGTATAAAAAAATTTAAAAATAGATGTCATCCACCCTTATAATACTTGTGTCCAAGCAGGTCATGCGCCATATTGGTTGCATAGCCAGGCGGAAACCAGGGGAGTAATGCTATAGAATTTATTCAAATTTTTTACCAAATGTAAGCATTTTTAATAAGTAGTTGGCAGTTGCTTTACATGACCATGTGCCTGAGTTATAACCAAGTTGAGATAAGAACTGAAATGCTATTGCAAACTTTGACTGCATGGTTGAGTAGCTGGGCAACTGGTTGAGGCTCAACATATCACAGGGTTGCATTCCCGCATCTCAAATTAACATATACATGAAGGACATGTTAATTTGTAAGTTTTTAAATTTACCCATAACAAAATAAAGGGGGGGGATGTCTTTAATTTTGTTAAAGTTATATACACACATTGTTACACCTATCCCGTTTTGGAATTGGAAGTGGCAAAATATTAAATGACACTATTCTCTTTCATATTCAATAATCCAAAGAATTTACACTGAAATTGTATATCATTGAAATAAACAAGGTAATTCTTTACTACATTACATTTCTTATAATATTTTAATCCCAACACTTTTTATATAAAGCAACACAACATTTATACTCAGGCAGAGATATGTAATTTAAAGAGAATTTAATACAGCAAAATTTGACAAGATGGTGCCAAGGAGGGAAGTAGGAGTTACATTGATTTTTGTTATCATTTATTAATCCAAATAATTAGGAATCCATTTAAAAATAAAATACAATAAATGGAGTCTTTAGAATGGACAAGTACTAATGGGTCTTTATTAATGCATGTGTTTTAACTAAATAGAATCACAGGACTTTACTTAATCTGGGTCTATTTTTAATAAATTTATGATAGATAAATATTTCAGATAAAGAAGTCAATATTTCAAATACAGTTTATTTGTTACAGGTATTGCTATTTGTCAAAAACAATACCTATTATTCTGCAGGGTTTACTGGAGGATTCTTTTTTGGTATTGCTTCATCATGATTTAATTTTTAATTATTATTGTGAGTTTGTAAAATTATTCTACCATACTTTATTATTTTATGATTATTTAGATTAAGTCTATAACTTTGTACAAGTGTTAATTTTGAAATGTATTATTTATTATAAAAAAGAAGCAGTTAGTAGAATATTGATATACCTATGTATATATATGCTTGTGGACTTCACATTATGGATAAAAACTAGATGCAGAATAAACCTATTTTAGTTTAACAGAAGTGATTATTTTTTTTATACATATGCATTACAATCATTAGTTTTCATGTTCATAATAATCAGGTTGAGTATTAACTCATGCAAGGCTACAACTAGTGTAACTTTGATAACATACAATTTCTAAGCAAGACATAATTACAAGCATCAAGTCACACTGAAATGTTAAAAAACAGTAATAAAAGGTCATTTTAAATATATACCAATGACTACATTTCAGATCACGTTATATGGGAAAATTGGATTTATAAATAAATTACACACTGGAAAACTTTGAGTGACATCATCAGAAATAAACAAAAAACTAAAAAGCACTGCAGAGCAGATTTGACTACATCCCTTAAAAAAAAATTATCAATTGTTTTTTTATTATTTATTTATTATTACATTTCATGTGTAGTCATTTAGTATTTATTACATTTCGTGGGGATCCACGCGTCGTGTGTCTAAACGTGGATACGTTTAGACACACGACGGGTTGAAGCAAAGTCGTTTGTATTGGTATTCACATTCACTTAATAAGTAATTTATAAATGTATTGATTATCTACTAACAAACGACATTATAGTATTTTGCATAAGTTAGATATTTTGAGAGTAAAAGTATTCATCCATGAGCAAAGTATAAACGCACCCATTAAAATGGCAATCACTTTTCAAATAAAGAAACCGGTACCGAGACTCGGTAGTTACGAACTAATATACTACCCCACATTACTTTAGCTACAAGTTACATTGCATCTGCTAATTCATCTTTATCAATTAACGACTTTCCATTCGCAAACTACATAATTATGATTTTGCGAAATCTGTGAATTTTTTTTTTTTTTTTATGGAATAGGAGGCAAACGAGCAGACGGATCACCTGATGGTAAGCAATCAGCGCCGCCCATGGACACCCGCAACACCAGAAGAGTCACAGGTGCGTTGCCGGCCCTTTAAAAAGGAGTACGCTCTTCTCTTGAAGGTTTGAAGGTCGAAGAATACCTAATATCTACCTATTTTACCCCTAATTTGAATCGTTAGTTTCTAATGATTCAAAAGGTTTTTGTGATATATGAGTGTGGTACGGCACTCGAGACGTCTTAAATTTTCCGCAATATTTCAATGGTGTCGACAGTAGTACGTTCGTAGATAATTCAGTAGCTATATAGATGTGTTTTGTTAAAGGTTGAGAGATTTGTGGACCGCAAATTGGACAAAGCTGAAGACCTATTGAAGAAAAAAGAAGTTAAAGCTAAACGCTGGGTACACAACATAACTGGAGATGATCACTATCGTGCTACTGAGTCTCACGTATTTCTGGCATCGTTTGTTGCCGGAATGGCCATTGGTCTCCTCTGCGGGAAATAGACTGTAAGTCAGGGATAAATAAATACTAATACGATTTCAAAAATTATTAGAAACTGTTAATTATAAAAAAAATCTAATATATTGACCACAATATAGTGATAGAATTTGGAACCTAGATATGTTATATAGCTTGTTGAATATAAAATATAACATTTTATTAACTTCTCTATTTAAAATTCAATTCATTTGTCGTTCTCAAGGAGCATAATAATGGAATTCGTTTTTATACAATTTGTTGAGGATAAAAGTTAATTTAGTTTCTCCGACAGTAGAATGATACCTACTGGTCGCAATGGTTCATTTTAAATAAGTACAACTAAAACGAAGTATCGAACTCGTCACAGACTATATTATATTTTGTTTTTTATATATTAAAATTATAATATTGAGAAAAACCAAATACCATATAGTCACTATGGTTTAATATCAATGTGATTGGGATTTATGGATTTCTTTGTTGCATACCTCCCCCCACCATTGAACCTAAGAGTCTATACACACGTACCAACTAACCACACCAAAACAAAATCACGTAGTCGAGTTTTTAATAAAAAATGTTAAGCTCAATTCTCACTGACCACATTTTATTGTTTAACCGTGTGCAACCGTGTAACATTGGTCGCACTGCATCCTCCGGCAACTTGGCAAACGAGTGGCAAGCCATTTTGCGATAATGTTACATAATATTGAAAATACTTAAGGAACTAAAACCGAAATCGACCTATCTGAAAACACAATAACAATGAATTGCAATCAGTATGAAAATCTATAGGTAGGTACATTATTTGGATCTTTGTGAAATGAATATCAAGGACATTAAAAAAGCGGACGTAATGTCACTTAAAATGATTCGAACACCAAATATCAGTGGTGTATTTATGTCGTGTACTTGCAACGCCCTAATGACGAGTCATGCCACACGACGGATGTCCTTCGTGTCAATGTGTGTGTATTCTGCATGTAAGTCTATAGTAGCCAGGTACCAAATTCATTATTTTAAGAGACGCACGTCCGCCTGTTTGTTAATGTCCTTGGTGAATATTAAATAACATTCGATCTAAAAGTAGTTGCAGCAACCAGCGTCACCTTTATTGATGAATACAATGTATGATGTATGTAACCAGTATTCGTTGCTGCGATGTGGTGTTCTTAAGTGTGAATAGACCCTAGATTTTAAAATCATCTCATTTTAGAAGTATTATTATTATACCTATTTAAAAATCGAATAATTATATAAATGATGTATTAGTAGTACCTGCTATATTCGTCACAAAATAAGAGGTCAACCCTGACATTTGTTAGTCTCTGTACCGCTATCACTGTAATTTGTTACGAAAGTCCACGTAAGAAATAAAAAATCTAATTCATAATATTAATTCATTACTACGCTACTTTGTCACAACATCAAATTAATGTCGAAATGCCACCGCCGCCATTACAATCTTAGGTTGGTTATCTGCCAGTAACTTTTAATACATATAGGTAGTACAATACATTTATACATTAAATACATTTCGACATTTTATCTATCAATATTTTATTACACATGTATAAAACATCTATTAAGGAACCAAATTTTAAGAGTTTTAACTAAGAACCTATTAATCTTTAATATTGTCATGACATTGATTCGTCAATGCTCAACGCAGTTTTTGGCTATTTCGGAAGTTCTTGAACTGTTCCGATGATTACAAACTAATTAATTTAACTTGCCACACGGGAAATTCCATTAATTATCGAGATAATGGACGTTCACCATAGGTGTAGCCACAACTTAACGCGATAATTTTAAAACGACAATACCGCTTGGCGTTAGGCGATAGTTCAGGTGGCGGTACATCAAAGATGAACGCAATAATTGACGCGACGAAGTGGTCACGCTCCACTACGTTTAGTAGTGAGCGTCGAGAGCGCATCGGGAGCTGACGTGTTTTTATTTTTTATACGAAGGGTTTGCAAATACGTATACAATGACGACGGAGTAGAGTAATGAGAAAGTAATCACTTTTATGGAGATTCTGCAAACAGAACCATTTCTGTGGGATCCAAAATTAAATAAAAATTAATACTCATGCTATATAGAGCTCTGTCGTCGTCCATCTTGTTTGAAGTAAATTCAACGCCGTTTGTATCGCCAATAATGAGCATTCACGTTGACCGTTGAAGTGTAGCCACCCACTTCGATACCGCTAAAATTATTGCAATAATTATAGCGATAATGGACATTCACGTTCAACGTTAGTGTGGCCCCAGCATTAGGAATCTTCAGTCAAAATTGAGCAACCAACCTTATTTACTCTCACTACATGGCACTGTCAGAGTTGACCTCTTATTTTGTGACGACTATAGGTCAACCTCAAGATATTTGTAGTGAGCATTAGCGTAGGATTTAATCTCTGTAAGAAGTAATATACCTAATCCTTATAAATAAATTATTTAAATAATGATGCTGTTTTTTCTTCTGAAGATTTTAGTGAGTGCGTTACGCCAGCCAGATGTTATCGGAAATGTTATAGATAATAATTAGTTGGTCGGCTTCTGTAATTGCTGCGCATATTTTTTCTACATTTTTAAATTTTATAAATAGATAGGCACAAGAATAAGTTACACTACTTACTCACTTTACATACATAAAGCTACCAATAAATACTACAATATCCAAAGAGAGCTGTCTAGCTTGAGCACCGATATACGAATGCCCCTTTTTACCGGTGTATTATTTTATATATAAGTACCTATACTATATGCTATTACATAAAGCTGACGAGTTTGTTTAAACGCGTTTATCTCAGGAACTACCTACTTGTTCAATTTCAGATATTCTATTTGTGTTGGTTAGTCCATTTATCGAAGAAAGGTACAGGCTATAAAACATCACGCTATGGTCAATAGGCGCCGAGCAGAGCGTGAAATTTTTTTATTAACTTGTTTCGTCATAGGGATCGAATCAACGTGAACGAGTACTATGGGACGCAGTAGCAACCACGAGTCAAGGAACGAGTGATTGATCGTATGAATAACGTGATCGAGTGAACATTAACCGTTTAAATAAAATCGTTAACCTTTTCGCCGCCAACGCACACAAAACGCAATGCCTCGCCAAGCGCCAAGCTATAAAATGTATAACTAAATATACTGCAAACAGTAGTGATGGGCATATCGTCATATCGATCAATACGATTTGTACGCCTAAAGTTAAGATTTAAAGTTGATTTTACGAAAATAAATAAAAACTGATGAAATACTTCCAGATTTGTTTTGTCACAGTATACTTAATAAGAAAAAACAGTAGGTATAAATTATGAGTACCTATCAAAGAAACTAATATATAACTTAATTAGAACTATAAGGAATGGGGTACATCTCTATTTGTATCGAGGTCTCATTCTTTAACTTCATATCAAGTTATTGGCACTGAGGGCACGTTGAATTCGATTCTGATCAGGGATGGGGTCTATGGTCTTTCTTCTATTTTTGTTTATACCTGTGTTTTTTTAATAACTTCAGTCAACGTTTTTTACCGTAGGTAGGTATCTAAGTGGCAGAATTTTTATTTGTTTTTAAAGTGTATTTTGAAATGGAAAATAAGTATATAAGTATTTAAATTCTATCACGCTTGAAGCCGTGTACTACTTATCAAAGCATTGTTTTTTAAGTTCATAATATACAATATAACGTTCCGTTTCATCCATTTGTATGATTTTTAGACGAATTGCAATTAGGTTTCCTTTTATTCTTTTGAATTTCTAAAAAAAATAAAATTACAGTGCTTCCATTGTATAGAGTACAAAAACAGTACCTAAATCTACTGTAATTACAGAACATCTGGAGATACTGAGCTCATCGCACATTTTACATACTTATTGAATTACTACCCTTTGATGAATAAGCATTATTATTATCATCCAGTTAGACATACCTCAGAATTATATTATGTTCTGGTTCAATGTTATTCACAAAATAGACTCTGAGTCCGATTCCACACCTTGCAAAATTTTTAGAAGTTCGTCGGAATCAAGTTCTTCACTCATTTTTCTATTTATTTTAAGTGAAAGAAATAAAAGATGCGTGCGCGCGAATCCGATGTTGTGCTGCACTATGCCAAAGTGACCTTGACAGCGGCATGCCTATGACGTCACTGACTGACCAACTTCTATAGTAGTTCGTGGCACTCCATGGGTGGCGCACAGGGGCATAGACGATCAATTGTTTGGTAGAGATGGGAAAATAATTATCGACAGGAATTGGTAACAACTTTGGAATTAGGTACATATCGGTATCTACCTGAAGGTAGAAATTCATCTACTATCCTTTGTAATGAAGTATATAACTAAGTTCACAATTAATTGACCTCATTGTTTTCGATATTCGTAACTTTCTGTATTCATAAATATTTCAACGGTGAAATCAACCTTTTCGGCACATTACTGGCCAACTTGATATAAAGTGATTGGCGTTCTGAGGAAAGTAACAAAATTCGGAGTTTCTGTTTTTGTCGATTTTAGGACTAACTAGGGCTTAGTTTGTCCTAAAAACTAGGCTTATTTTGTGTAGAAAAATAGAAAACAGGGTAGTAGACAGTGCTATCTTAAATAATAAAATGAAATAAAGCTTTTAATCACAGTAAATTTATCTTAATAAGATGGTTAAAATGAACAACTTCTATAGAAGTTGTGGCGCTGGTGGCACGAAAATCCCGAACTTCTATAGAAGTGATCTTTATTTTGTTACCTATATTCCATATATATTCCTAAATAACTGTGCTGACTGTAGGTACCTTTGTATGTTTGTTTAACCGCTGCTAACGTCGGATTTTCGGAGTTTACTTACTGGGCCGAGTCTATCTCCAACGTACCTAGACCTGTTAAGGCAGTCCACGAAAATCTGCAACGGATGTGTTGGCCACATATTTTGAAGGGGTTGTCGTTGTTTTTTTACTACGAGGATTGTGTTTGTTGCATTGTTTCACCATTCAACGTGTGTACTTACTGCATAGGACAATAAAAGATTGATGTTACAAATGTATTTTATTTAATTATTAAAATATTGCTTTATGATAATAATTAAATAATTCTTTTGGAGTTAAACTATACAAATATTCTTTATATTTGTTGATGTAATCTTTTTTCAATAAATATACGGCACTTTTATACTGGCTCTTTTGTGATAGTGTTAGGTCTGTCCAATTTAAAGTGCTGGATCCATTTACAGAATTGAGCATAAAAAACAAATCTTTACTAGTTCTGAAACAAAATTGTTTTATTAGATACATTATCCTTTAAAGTACTAGTTTTGTTAGTATCAAATAAACTTTAATTACGGCAACAATGTGTGAATTGTGAAAAATCCTCACTTTGACAACATAAAACTTGTCTCAAAACCTACATATCATATGGCGCCCGCATCTATAGAAAAGAACCCAGAGTCGATTAAAATCGATTAAAGTCATTTATGAACAAAATATTGGACCGCATATAATTATGCTATTCGTTTTGGCCAAAACCATAACTTATCGGGCCAACAGCATTTCAAAGTCAAAGTCAAAATCATTTATTTCCATTAGACCAGGAAGGCACTTTTGAACGTCAGCAATAGAAATTTAAAAGTGTACTTACTTACTAGTTTCTGCTGGTACTGCTACTTAACTAGTGGCTGACTGTTCCAAAATGCATCGCGACTCCATCAGTCGTTTTGCCGTGTTTGAATAACAAATTATTACAAATATATAGGCCTATATACTCTGTTTTTTATATATGTATTGTCCTTTGTGTTCTATGTGTGTACATAGATGACGCCGATGACGGGCAAACATGTAGGTATGGGAAACGTAGGTACTTCCCTACCCACCGACCAATAACGGCCAGATGTATGTCGTTAGAAAGCTCTTTTCATGACTATCATTTACTATTGGCTACATGGAGGCTAGTCTCAATTCATTGAGGGGAAATTGTTATAGTTACTTGATTGATAAAGGACACTGCGAACCAAACGTATGAAGTCTGGGCCCGCCCCTCAATAGCAACAGGTGATAAACCGTTGGATAAGCTTCTTAAATGAAACAACAGTTGCGAATATACCTATGGTGAAATGGAAGACGACGTCCTTAAGTTATTTCAATCCGAGATATTTTTCAAGGAAATTGTAAGTACCTACAAGATTTTTACATTATATTGTCTTTAAAGATGTTCTTTCTACTTAATATTAGAATTATATTGGATACTAGACGATCTCATTACTAAATTAAATAATATCACGCCTACGAGTTAGGTTAGTCTTTGGATGGGTGGCAATTTATTAATAAACTGTCTTTTTGGTAGGTAGGTACCTACTTATAGAAGGCGTAGAGATGTTAAAAATGAGTTTTGGAATGTTTATCTTACAATTAGGTGAGTTTATTTATTTATATTACAGGGCATCATATACCCTAATAATGCGACAGCTAAGAACTTAAACTAAACATTCCAAACAAACCAACACCAACTAAACAATATATAAAAACAAAAATTAGAAAAAGGTATACATCATTTACGATCATTATTATCTTAGGTAGCTCGGGAACATTTTCTTAGCAACATTATAGGCATTACAAAGTTTTATTCTGCATAGCATTACCTATACAGGGTGACTTGAATTTTATAAATAATTTAGTAGCTAATAAACCGAAGAAGTTTTTTTAACCCTTTAACCGCCAAGCTTCTGAACTTTCAACTTACCTCCAGCGCCACGTCACTTTAGGTATAAGTTGGAACAGTGTTGGGAACACTTAATATCGATGCATATATTCTTTATTAAATAAAATCAATGTTTTATTTACCTACTTAATAAATAATCTAAAAATTTTCAATCTTCAAACGAAGTATACGAAAATGTGTATTCGGGAAATGGGCACGGCGTCGTCCGTTCTCCTGCTGGCGACGGTGACGATGCTCCACGAGCATGTCGTATTTAATTTAATAATTTCATGTAAACTTCTGAGCGGATTTCCGACAGTACGGTTTCCAGCTCAAAAGGTTTTAAAGATGCAAAGTATTCATTTCGTGGATCACTTGGTCTCTGATCAAAAACTTTTGCGTCACCATCTTCTAACTTTGCATAATGGACACATTTGGTTTTGACTGTGTTGATTTATTTGAGAAATAACAAAAACCCAAAAAAGGGCTTACAACACTAGTTGCATTGAGTGATAAATGTTTAACGTGATTTTACGGTGACGGCGCTAAGGCAACTCACAATACAGCGCTATAATCTCCTTGGCCGCACGTAATATTACGATGATGGCGACCGGCGATTGTCCGCACTAGTGCGGTTCTGCGTTATGAAATTTTTATATTATTGTTATAAATATTAAATAATTTTAAACTTAAATACATTTTAATTAGTACAAATACTTGCATCAAAGTAACACTATGGTTATTTTCTAATGAAAGTATACACTTTCATTGCAAATAGTGACAGTAATATCTATAGTGCCTTGTTTGTTCTTAGACAACCTATTAAGTATTTTTCGAATTCGCCCCATCCCTAGTACTCGTAAAATTACGTGATTGGCGATACAGATAATGGAGACGGTGACCACAATTTAATTAAACCTCAAATTTCACAGTATTTATCACTCAAAACATTGAGAAATATCCATAACAATAAAGATTATACCCTACATCTTGAAATTGACACATTTTATATGGAGTTTGTGCACTATAAGAAGATTTTTAATAAAATAACGTGATTGTACGTATGTGGCGATTCGGACACAGCTTTCGAAAACCGTAATATTACGTTGTCGGCGGTTAAAGGGTTAAGTATTTTTCGAATTCGCCCCATCCCTAGTACTCGTAAAATTACGTGATTGGCGATACAGATAATGGAGACGGTGACCACAATTTAATTAAACCTCAAATTTCACAGTATTTATCACTCAAAACATTGAGAAATATCCATAACAATAAAGATTATACCCTACATCTTGAAATTGACACATTTTATATGGAGTTTGTGCTCTATAAGAAGATTTTTAATAAAATAACGTGATTGTACGTATGTGGCGATTCGGACACAGCTTTCGAAAACCGTAATATTACGTTGTCGGCGGTTAAAGGGTTAATACTTTGTACGCTCAGTGTAACATCAATTTTTTAAGCTAAATGCAGTTTTTTATTGACCAAATTAGAAACTCAAAACAAAATTTAATACTTATTTACTTGCTATTTTAAAACGAATAATATTTCTGCCAGTATTAGTATTAAACTGTCAAACACCAAGCGGTCACCGGTGACCGCAACCTATTGTTGTATAATAATTGTGTCTACAAAACCGGTACTCGACGAGTTAATAAATGTTTATGATGTATTGACAACAAATGAAAACTAAAATCACTTAAATCAAACCAGTAGTTTTTATGTATTGATGTTTTTATTGTTCGATCATGATTTTTTCACCAGAACCGAAAATGTTGAATATCTCAGAAACAAGTCACTTTCGGACCAAAGACCTCAGGGCTAATTTTGTAGGCAATTAGTTGTATTATCACCTCCCGAGAGGAATACGTCGAGTTACAAGTCACCCTGTATGTAGATAGCTGGGTATCTTATTCCAATTGAGAGGTGGGCCCAACATTGCCCATTATAACATTTTCCCCACAACAAAAACTAGATACTAGCCCTCATAATAACAAAATAGTAAAAAAAAGCTTTCTAACGACATACGTTTGGTTGTCTTTGGTCGGTGGGTACATTCTGCCCGTCATCCTTTTCGCATTTATAATAATAATAGACGTGAGAATCGAACCCGCGACACTGCACAGCGGGCGGTCGGCGGTTATCAAACCACTGCGCCAACCGTACAGTCATTTATTTACATACAAAAATAAAAACTGCGTTTAAAAAACCGACGCCAAAAAACCAATAACAAACAAAAAGTCAAAACTAAAAAGCAAAAAACAACTATTATTAGTAGTGATAGGTTACCCAGCCACTGATAGGTAAGAACTCGAAGACCTCATGGAAATGGGACCATCTCGGGAGTATACCCTTTCAAACAAAACAAGAATTTTGGAAATCGGTTTACAAATGGCGGAGTATGTACTGCACGAACAAACAAAAAAAAATACAATCAGCCGAACATAGTACCTCCTCCTTTTTTTGAAGTCGGTAAATAGAGTAAAACTCATAGGAATCGAAATATTTTCAATCAACCTTGGAACTGTAGTAGCAGAGAACCTACAATATTTAGGTTTTGAGACAAAATGTAGATTACAAAATAAATATGAATAATTTTACAAATTAAATATGAATTTTATATGTAAGTTTTTATTCATTATATCGATGCCTTTCGGATCCCTCTTTTGGCCAGAAGCCGATATATGTAAATACATACACTTCTGGACACATCTATTGGCCCACCTTAGAGTTTAGGTTTTGATGGCCCCTACCGAAATATGATTGCTAGATTCAACAAAATCTGTTGATGCAGTTTTAAACCTGATACATTTTACCATCTTTTTCGATCGTATTGTTTTAAATTTGAATTCAGAATACCATGACATGGAGCTACGCCTAACAAATTGGGTATGCGCCTTGTTAAAGGCAATTGCTTTTTGAATAAAAAACATGTTTTATCAAATAAAGAATAAAATTAATAACGCGTGTTGCCTCCATGGGCATCTACCACAGCTCTCATACGATTAGGCATAGAGTTTATCAACCGGTCTATGAAATTTTGAGGGATCATCTCCCATTCCTCTTCTATGGCAGTTTTCAACTCCTGCATCGTCTGGGCAACTGGCTGACGAGCCCTAACATGTCTTTTTAGTTCGTCCCAAATGTCCCAATGGGGTTCATGTCTCATCCCGAAATGTTCCCTGACGATGCCGCCGGCCGCATGGGTTCTTGCATTATCATGCATAAAAAGGAAATTTGGGCCCACATAGTCCGCGTATGGTATCACGTGAGGTTCTAAGCACTCACTAATGTACCTTTCAGCATTTAATGTTAGCAGCCGTGGTCCTGTAACAACCTCAAGTTGAGTTTTGCCGCTCGCGGATATACCGCCCTAGGCAGTCCATGAGCCACTGCCATAAGCAACCCTCTCTTCAAAGCAGCATTGTGAGAAACGCCCTCCCTTACGTCGGTAGACCTTCTTCCTTCCATCATTGCCATGTAACACAATTTTAGACTTATCAGAAAAGAGTACACGGCTCCAATCTTGCTGTGTCCAATTTAAATGACTGCGTGCGAAAAGATTGCGTGTTGTTCGGTGGGCTCGCGTTAGTTTGGGCCCATTAGCTGGCTTGTGTGGTACCATATCGCGTACTATTAACAGAGACTTCTCCGAACGGAGGCCTTAGTACGAGTACGAGTTTCATTTACGTTTAAAGTAATCGTAACGAGTACGCGTTCGGCGCTCTGATTGGTTGGTTCATTAGCGCCGGCCAATCAGAGTGCCGAATGCGTACTAAAACAAACTCGTACTAAGACCTCAGTTCGAACGCTCACAGTTACTCCGTGGATGTCGCGAAGTTGGTTTTGTGTCTCAATGGAGGTACCTAAGGCGACGATTTCTCAAGCTCGTCGTCACGATGAATCGATCCTGCCTTTCAGTTGTGACCCGAGATCGTGGCCTTCCTTGGCGACGAACAAAGCCGCCAGTCTCTAGGTACCTCCGATAAACATTTCGGACTTCAGGTGAAGTATCCATAGATTATCGATAGAACCTTACCTTAATGTTAAGAATAAGTAATGTTTGTTGCAAAACCAAAGATATCAATCACTTTTTCAAGAATTAAATCCAAGTTAACCAATAAAACCAAGTTTTCTTAGTATTCGATTGTTTGATATCAAAAAACAGGCTCCAAATTGTGTCCAAATAAATACTATTGAATGAAATTGTTTAAAATTAATGTGCCAAGTTCAAAACTGCATAAAAACTATTTGCTCGATCTAATATAAAATTTTAGCTAGGACCAAACGAAACTGAAAATAGAAGGAGGGCCAAAAGATGTGTCCAGAAGCGTAGTTTCATCTCCATTACGAGGTGAAAAACTCTAATTTTCCTGGGTCAACTTCTATGGGTTAAGTTGGTTTAACAAATGTTAGATGTTTACATATCTTACATAAATTATGGACACGCCTCTGTAAGCAGATATAAAATTCAAGTTCTATACTTACTTTATTGTGGGAGGTGACGGTTCTACCAGAGGCATGCGAGGTATTTCTTCTACATTCCTAAGGGATTCATTGGGACCATGTTCTTGAAGTTCTTGATCATTTTGCAAATCCTTGACACTAAAAATCAAATGACATTAATCTAAAAATTAAAATCACCTTTTTCATTTCTTAAGCAACAAAATTGGAAATATGGTATGGTAATAGTAAGTAAAATAGATAATATATTCCGTCTGGGTTATTATATTTTAGTAGGTAGTTGAATGTAAAAATGTACTTACACATTATCTATTATTAAATCTTCATTACAATCATCAGTGACCAAGTGATCAGTGACATTATTGCCTATTACTTGGTGTTCATCTGTGTCTATTTGCAAGCACTCTTCTTCAACCTCTTCTTGACACTCTTGAATTGGTGAATTACTTTTACCAAATTCCTTGCTTATCTGTCTGTAATTTTTATGAACATTGTAATGAGTTAGTGGACAAGGCACACCATGCATGGTATTATATGGGTATAACACATTATGGGTGAATTCAAAAAGGTCATCTACAAAGGCATGAAAAAGTAGAGTAAAATAATTTCTTTGTATTTCTCAACTAAGGGGAGTTTAAGTAAGTACTTACTACTTGGTTTACTTAATAGTCTGCATAAACCAGAATAAAATACAAAATAATGTGAAGCACAAGAAGCAAAAAATATATTATTGCTTCACATAATTTTCTGAAAAATATGTCATATTGAATAAAATAAATTGTCCAATGTTTTTTACCCAGATACATTTTTCACTTTTAAGAATGGTTCTGCATTTTTCAACTGATTAAAATAGTGTAGTCTGAACTTGTGTTCTTTTTCCTTATATGCTTTGGTAAGTTCCTGTTTCTCAGCTTCTGTTAAAGTCAACCATGACTTAGTTGCTTCAACTAATACATTAGGATGCTAGAATAGAAAAAACATGATATAAATACTTTCAAAACTCAAAACTTATAATAAATCTCTCCCGATTGATTTTGATCATCATGGCAAGTCTAACTAGACTAGCCTATTATGTAGGAGATATTATATTGTATAGTGCCCAAGTGTGTGTGTAAACACAAGTCCACTCTCTGTCCCTTAATCCTTAATCGGGCCGAACAAAAAATAACTTTCATGGTTTAACTCGTCGAGTACCGGTTTTGTAGACACAATTATAGAACAATAGGTTGCGGTCACCGGTGACCGCTTGGTGTTTGACAGTTTAAACTGTCAAACACCGGTCACCGGTGACCGCAACCTATTCTATAATTGTGTCTATAATGACGGTACTCCACGTGTTAAGTGTAAGTTCTTGTATTATGTTAGATAGCAGTGTACATAAAAAACAATATAAATTACTAAAACTGGAAAGAAAAGGATTTTTCATGTGGGAAATTATTTCCGTTTGCCCGATTATGTCAATAAATTTTAATAGACTAGAACATGGTAGGAAAATAATTCCCGATTAAGGGTTAACTCTCTGAATATGACAGGACAGCATACGGACACAACCGGAGAGAGATCAGGCCCAAGAATAACGGCTTTATGTGCTCTCCAAGGTACAGGGGTCACATACGGCCGAACTTCCTGACTCCGGGCTAATAATGGTAATTTTACTCAGAAAATACCATTAAGAAAGAAGTTACTTTGGCCGATACTATAAGATATATACTATAATTACTGCGATAAGTTGTACTTAAAGCGATGTGACCCAACCACAGCGCCAACTGTGCAATTTACAAACTAAACACTATAACAGTGAGTGCTAAAAACTTAATTTTTCGGTTTCACTACCTCCATGTACCTGATAAACTTATGTGACAGGTAGTTCATACAAATTACGTTCTAAATTCAAATTTATCTGGTAGATAAGGGCTATCCAGATATTGTAAAACAGGCCCTCAATCTATAAAATAATAATAACACTAAGTACGAAGAAACAACATACATATTATGTTAGTACCTTGGTATCAGAAGTGCCTTTTCTTTTACAATATTGTTTGATATAATATGTGTAAGCAGTTTCAGGAAATTTCAAAAATTTTCGCTTGTAACGCTTGGTTTCCATTTTTCTAACTTCAGTTTCCCGATATTAAATAAACGAAAACAACACACAAAAATAGCACAATCAACCAACCAAATCAACAATCTGAATCAACATTGATTTGACATGACACCATTGATTGACAGATTTTTACTATTTTTAGACATTGACAGAGGTCTCTTTCGTCGACGTCAACGTCAATGCAATGCAATACCACTGATATAAACGTATAGATGAGAAATACCTACGAAAAAACCTGACTACCAATTCTCCTGTGATTTCTAATGGCGAGTTGAAATTGACTTATCAGTAAAAGTTCATTATTATTTATCTAACCACCCGCGCATTCGTCCCCATGAAATTCGTTTTCTGTGGAATTTTTAACCGACTTCCAAAAAAAAGAAGGAGGTTATCAATTCGGCTGCATGTCTTTTTACCCATTTCGCCCATAATAAAGTATACCTTAGGTTAATGGTCATGGTTATAATCTGTCATAAAATTGTACACAGCTTAGGTAATACTATGATAAGGTACCTATTTGTTACGGGTTTAACTTTGTTTAAAACTTGTGGCACCGGCACCGACTTCTTACCTATCAGTGGGTGGGTAACCTATAAGTACGTATGACTAATAATAGTTATTTTTTGCTTTTTAGTTTGCCTTTTGCTTGTTTTTAGGTTTTGGATTTCGAAGTCGGTTTTTTGGGATTCATAGTTTCTGATATTATAATGTCTGGGGTTACACTATTCCAAATATCATAATTATAACTTTCATAATACCACCTACCAAGTAGTCAACATTTATTTAAAAAGTGAAGTTAATTACTGAGGGTTGAACAATAAAACTCTTTAAACGTATTCATATTGCCTATGTATACAGTTTGTATGTTTTTTATTTGTTTGTTACTTGATTACTTCTACTACTTTTTATCCCATGGGACCACGGGCGAAACCAAAGCCGGCTGAAAACAACCTGTAGGTATATACTCTCTACTCCAAGTATCACCAGCCAAGCTTAAAAGCATATGCAAAGGGAAAAAAAATTTGTTTTACTCTTAAAACTTTGAATGCCTAAAAATATTGTTCCGAAATCAACTGATGTAGTAATCATCACTATTTTAAGCTAAAATGTTATCTTGGTATTTTATTGGCGTAGAATGACGTGATGAAACAACAGTCAAATTGTCGAAAATACCTACATTTTACATCTGCCCATAAACAATGCAACCATTCTCCATCCATAGATGTAGTTCATAGAGTTCAATAGTGCTGTTTCAATCAGAGTGTTCTATATTTTGATTTTATTTATTATCTGTCACTGACAGGTCGTAGACAGAGACTATAATATTCTCTGTCTACGGTGTAGGTTATTTTACCTGTGGTCAATCTGTTTAGTGTCAACTGTCAATTAGTGTTAATAATTGCCAAAGACTACAATCTATGGCTACAATATTATATCTGAATAATTGCCAACGATTGAAATTAATTCCAAGAGTAGTACGTTAGTGAAATTATCCAATATCCGATAACTTGCCCTGCCCAAAGAGGCATAAAAGAATAATACAACCGAAATATAACATACCTAATCTCTATCTCAGTCTATCAAAATTTTCGGTGAATTGTTTCTGAAATGTCGAATAAAAAGTTTGTAAATCATTCATGTTTGTGAAATCATATGCATCGTAATGACACGTTTTATATAAATTTACTTTGTGTTTTTCAGGTATGGCCTCATATTATCTGATAAAAGTAAGCCTAAGCCCACATTCCAGGCTTCAAGGAATGTTTTTGGAAACGATTCTGATTCAGATGACGAATCCAAGAAAAGACTAGCTTTGCCTCGACCTAGCGATCTTATGAATAGAAAGGTCAGTCAAAATCTTTCTTTTGTGAGCTGTAATAAAATTATAATTATGCTACTTTAATTTATTTATAATATCATATCATTATCTTATAATTCTCAGGCAAAATTGACCCAGGAAAAAGTTTTGAATGAAGATCCAACGGTTTACCAGTATGATGAAATATATGAAGAAATGGTTAGCAAAAAAGATAAGGAGAAAGCTAAAACAAAAGAAGAAAAGAAACCCCAATACATAGAAAATCTTATGAAGGCGGCTAACAAGCGTAAAGTTGAGAATGAAAGACGTATCGAGAGACAAGTCGGTATCATTAATTTGTTGGTTATGTTTACATTTAGTTTTATTAAGGAAGCCATAAGTAACATCTAAACTTATAATATTTATTTTTAGGTTCAAAAAGAAAGGGAAAAGGAAGGTGATGAATTTAAGGATAAGGAAGTATTTGTGACATCAGCATACAAAAAGAAATTGGAGGAAATGCGGTTAGAAGAAGAGAAAGAGAAAAGAGAAGAGTATTTAGAGAATATAGGAGATGTTATGAAACAAAAAGATTTAGGTTATTATTTATTAAATTAACTTTATATTATTAACTCATTGAGTACCATCATTATAGACACAATTATAGAATTGGCATAGAAGAAAAAAAAAAAAAACAATAGGTTGTGGTCACCGGTCACCGCGCGGTGTTTGACAATTTAATGTAGCTTAACAGTCAAATATTAATAGTAAAAGTAGTAGATTCTTTGCTAACATGGTCACTATTTAAATATCTGAATACTTAATATTAATTTATCTCTGTTTTTTCAGTTTAGAAATAACTAATTAAATTTAATACACTCTTATCAAGCAGTTGTTTTTTTCAGGTGGATTTTACCGTCATTTATATGAACAGAAGTTAGGAAGAGATAAAACCGAAGAGAATGTAGAGGCAACAAAGCCTGAAGAACTAGAAGAAAACCTCAAAAAGAATGATTCATCTACAAATCCTGATACACAAAAGAAAAGAAATTATAGAAAGCGAAAATCATCAGATAGAACCCGATTGTCAGATGGCGAAATAGAAGACTCTGATGAAGAGATTAATCGTGTCAATTTAGATGATCTTAGATTGGCAAAGAAACAAAAATCAGACAATATAGATGCAGATTCAGATTTTTCCATAGATGAGTCTAGTGATGAAGAAAAGGACAAAAAAAATGAAGAAACTTTAAAAATTAAACTGGAAAAAAGTGAAAACATAAATGTAAAAGACAAAGACAGTAGTCCAAAACAAATTAAAAATGAAAATACTGAAATTAAAGAACCTGTACCAAAAGAGAAGATTGATATTTGGAAAAAGAGAACTGTAGGAATAGTTTTTGAAGAAGCTCTTAAAAGGTATTATGAAAGAAAAGCAGCCAGGGGTTGTTGATTAAATTGGGCCTTTATTTTGTAAGCCATTTCCTATAATATTAAACATATTTAACTGTATGTTATGCTATTTTATTTCATTCTTGTTTACACTACAACATAGTGCGCCTTGCAGTGAACTGAAAAAAGAAAAAATAGTTAACACATATTATGCGACGATAATATTAGTCGTAAGTGTAAATTTTACCTATAAATTCAGAGACAGGATCGTTTTCTCCTTCAGCCCTCATTGTGCCAGTAATTTCTTCATTCTCAACCATTGGCAATACTAATTGCACAAATTCTGGTGTGTAAGGTGGTGCTATCGCATCTAGAACCTGTTGTAAACGCACTTCATAAGTTACAATAATATGAAGAAAAAGAAATAATTTTTTTTTACCACAATCTTACCTCTGTAATAAAGTATCTAATCAAGGAAATATCAGTATCACCACGCTGCCAACATTGTTTTATGTAACGTAGAACTGGTACGACGCAGCCCCTGCTTAGTAGGTTTACCATTCTATCCAATAACATTTTCCTTAGTTCCAACTAAAACAATAAAAAAATTGTATTAAATGGTGATCATGCACTATAACACAAATTGTGTATTTTTATGTTACCTGTACTAAGATTTCTAATTCATCTTGTGGAGATTCGAAAAGTTGTACAAGCAATCGTAGGAGCCTGTGGTGCAATAATTGATGACACGACGCAACTTCGTCCAATAAAGCCAAATGCACAGGGCAGTGTTCGGTACACAATTTGAAGTAAGAGGGCTCAGTGACAACACATTCTACCCAAACTAAAACGCCCATTCCAACGACAGGAAATCTGAAATAATGTGAATCAGTTGTAACAGGATTTTAATATTTCTAGCTATCTATAATAATTATCGTGAGACATACTGAATTAATTGAAAATAGTGATTTACTCAATGTGTGGAGTCGGCCACGCAACTGTGTACGCCTTATTCATAATTATTAAATTCTTACGTGAGTAAACCTAATGATTTTTTAAATAATTTTAAATTTATTAATATTTCTAGCCAAATTACTAGTACACAGAGCTATAAATTGTTAAGCAGTAGTACCTTATACAATGATACAATGTCGGTAATTCAGCAATCAATTCACTAGAGCTGGCAGAGCTGCTACAAACAGCGTGCACCTTTTCTATAGCTTGTACTGTAGCTTTTAATTCATCCTTCACAGGCCTGCCTGGTGTCAGTCCTTCGCAGACACTTGCAGCATAAGCCAATAAATACATGTACTTTGATTTATGTTCTGGATTTATTTTACTCCCTGATTTAAATAATGAGTCGACTAGTAGTTCTGTAAAACAAACAATGTGTTAAGACAATGTTAAGAAACTCAATATTAATATTGTTATCAAATATTAATATTATTATTTACAATTTTATTGTATTTTTTGGCAAGCAATATTTATATTTTTTAAATCTTAGCGAATATGGATTTTATATCTTATTTTCTTATATTTTCAATTATAGGTATCTTCAGTCATCTATATAAAAAACGGGGTTTTCGTGATTCAGCAAAATGGTAGGATTTGTCAGAAAATATTTGAAGCCAAATTGTGGATCTGGTAATTATCTACAAAATGTCTCAATACTTTTATTCCCAAGAGTTACGCTTTGGAGATTTAAGGATTAAAAAATTTGAAGTCGGTATCATTAATAGGTTAATTAATTATAGTCATAGCAGAAAATGTAACAACCAATTAATTAAAGTAGACACTTAATAATCTGTATTTTTTAAATATTACTGAAAAGTTTATTTTCAATTATTTACATTTAAGAGAATATATTATTTACTAAATCATTATATTATTTAGACTTTAGAAGACTATCTTTAGTACTAAATCATGAAGCAAGTACAAAGTTCTAAATATATTTGAACTCTGGGAGTCCTTCTCTCGCGTATCGCGTTTGAAACACGTTTCCAGCATTTTTTATTTGAATAAATACATGCATGCCTACATGCATGTCATGGCATGTCTATATTTGATTGTAAAAAGAAAACACACTGTGCATACCCAAAAATTGAGGAATTCTTAGCAAATGTACTGGTGGTGGTTCAGACTGCGTGTAAGCTCTGAATAACACTGAAATATCGGCAGGGTTCAGGGCACCGCGAGATAACATCGCGGCAAGGGCTGTTCGAGCGTTGCGCCAAGATTCCCCAGATGTGAGGGCCAATGTGATTGGGGTTACATCATGTCCACTAAAGATTATATAAAAAAAAAAACAATTAGTACAAGATACAAGTTCTTAATTTAAAATACTAGACAAATAATTTTTTGTGAATAAATTTGTTTCTTGTCCAAAAAAGATTATAAGGCTCACCTTTGTTGAGCACAACGAGTTATCTCTTGGCCTAGTCTTTTCATGATAGCGCCTCCTCTAGGCTCTTGTGAAAGTATATGCACAATCACTTGACTGTACACATATGTGTGAGCACCATGGCAAACCATTTTCTGAAATAATCCATCTAATCTATACATCTATACATATAAGTAAAATTGGATCTTCTGTTTGTAATATTGAATTACCTGCTTTTACTACATGCATATGAATATACACACAATACATACACCAAAATAACATTTTTTTAAAATTTCTGTCTGTTCGTTTTTATTAATCGTTGAAATGGCTGGACTGATTTTGACGGGACTTTTATTGGCAGGTAGCTGATTTACTGAAGCTACTCTTTTCATGCAGATGAAGTTGTGCATACAGCTAGTTGAGAATAAGCTTATTTATTTTTGAAATAGAAGTAATAACTAGTTCATCCTTAATAAAGATAATTAAAAAAATAGAAAATCATGATAATACATACTGCACATTCATTAACACTGTTTTGCCAATCATCAGAACTTTGCAAAAACCCAACTATTGCTGATTTTAGAACTCTAGAAAATACTTCAATTTGTTGAGCAGCTGTAGATATGCTTGTAATTTCTCCTTGAAATCCAGCATCTGATATTAACTGAAAATGATTCATAACTTATTAGCACTAATTTCAACTTTGAAGGAAAAATGTGTTCTATGTTATATTAATCACAGTTGTTACCTTGATGGTAAAGTTAAGCATAAGACAATCTGGATACTCTTCAGCCAATCGGTAAATCAGTGACCTCCATGTTGGATGTTCAATCATTTCTGTCAGCCAACCTGGAGTCTAAAATGTATTCAATTAATTCAATGAAAAACCAAAAGAATTCTTTTAAGTGTTACTTACTTCTCCCTCTTCAGTAAATATAGTGTCAGCCTTTTTTGGATCAAAAGTTTTCAAAATCATATCTTTCAAATGGTTTTCAACCATTGCTTGTACCTCTGTCACTTTGACTCCTGAAATCAAGTACTAATCATAAGTAATTACTATTAACAGGATTCTTAAAAAAAATATTTTCCTTTATGACCAAAAAGGGATGTTGACAGAAAATTTAAATGAAATATCTAATTACTTCATCAGTTAGATAATGAAAAATGTTAGCCACAAATTTATTTGTTTTGTTGTTTAAGAAAACAATACTTAGATAAAACAGACTATAGAGGAGGTCATGCCATGTCAACACTTCCTATAAAATGTAGTAAATGATGATGTCACACAATATTTGAAATCAATATTTATATACATAAATCATAAATCAATGAAATGAAAATATGTGCATCTAATGTTTTAAACTAATCTATCAGAGGGACAAAATAATATAGAATATAAACATCATTATGTCTGCCTGTTTTCGCCAATCACTCCTTAATTTTGAGGAGCCCCTAAGTTAAGTGACATTTAACAATATTTTAATATGCGCCAATCTTTAGGAGTCTCCTTAAAGTACAAAAATGGGGTTAGTTTTGGTGCTACATCAGACTGTTTGCCTTTTAGTTATTATATGGTAGAGGAGTGGTTAGTGAAAACAGTCATTAGTGTTTGGTATATCAACTAATTACGAATAAGTAGGTGTAAGACTATAAATTATTTGTAAGTAGTGCAAAGTATTATAAGGAATTTCCAAATGATTTAGTTTGAAGTATACACTTTAGACACACCTCCAAGTATTAGCCATTCAGCAAGTAAATTTGCCATTTGTGCCACAGCGTTGTAGTTTATTGATAGCTGTTCAATAACTTGTTCTGGATTTCCACCAGCTTGGAAGTATCGTTTAAGCTGTCCAAATATTCCAGGTTCCATAATATAATCTGGTGTCTTGAACTTTTCAAGGCATTCATGTAAAACTTCTTCTGGGTTTTCAATGATATCTTCATTGCCTTCTTCCTGATAAAATAATTACACATAATTGGAAATGTGTACAAACTACAAATTAGAGTATCATACCTATTATTGGCTATGTGCAAAGCGAGTAGTGGTGGACAGATAATGACTGCAGCGCACAACACGGCAGAAATTGGAAACAAGTGGGGATGATCAGCTGTCAAATGTGTTGATTGCAGTACAAAATCAAAGCAATGAAATGGACTATGGCTTGAATTAAGTAAGCTCTGGTCGTTATGTTCTTCCACATTTCTTACATCACAATCATCATCATCAACAGCCTATAAATGCCCACTGCTGAGCAAAGCCTCTTCTCGCACGGAGAAGGTTTGAGCATTAATCACTATGTTTGCTCAATGCGGGTTGGCGATGTTTTTCCTTGACAGTTTGTCAGTGATGTCTAATTAATCTTAGCAAGTACATTTAACTAGGTTTCGAACCCGCACCCTCATGCATGAGAAGCGGGCGTCTTAAACCTCTGGGTCACCACAACACTTCTTTCATTTCTTACATGCTCGGCTGATACTAATTTATTGCTTTTTGTCTCAGTTTGTGGTTGGAAACTAATATTATGTGTAATAGTTTCAAAGCCGGTTTTTATTATTATATTCATTTTACAGTAAAACTATTGAATAAATTGCACTTAAATAATGTCAGCAATATTATTTTAATTTTTGGTTTTATTTATATTTGCAAAGAAAACTAAAATGTTTATATTGTTATTATTTTGACAGCTTCCGCAAATGTTGTAAACGCTACGCGTCGCGACCATCGTGCACATAGCCAATATATTTAAATACTTTTGAGTACCGTTAGACACAATTATAGAACAATAGGTTGCGGTCACCGGTGACCGCTACGTGTTTAACAGTTTAATCACAAAACAAGACTTTATGTGGTCCTGATTGCGTAATGAATTACAAATAATTGTACTATTTAAAATTTCATAAACAGCATAATAGCATAATAGCGTTTAAGTGTACGATAAACTATTATAATAAACAAATTACATATTTAGGTGGTCAACATACTTCATATTGATTGTGATTTGGTGCTTCCCAAGCACGCTCCTCTTCGTATTGACTTGGCATTATTAACACACCCTCCTATACTTTTAAGGTTTAAGGAAATAGAACAAAACAAGGCAAGAAACTTAGAAATGTAATGTAACAACAAATAAATTATTTTTCTGACCGAGACAATCAGGAGAAAACTGACACTGACATGACACTACTGACAGAGAAGACAGACATAGAGTATATCTTAAATGTTATTCATCCTATGGATTATATACGTATAATGACGACGGATCATAGAGTTTAATACGACTAACCATCGACTAACTGACTCTAACTCACTATATAACTCTAACTAAATTAAAGACAATTTCGCGCATATGTTGTACTTTATGGTTGTGGCGCGCTAAACCTCTTGGTTGGTTAGTTGGTTACCCACTGATATGATAAGATTTATATATCTATGTGGTTACCACATCTATGTAACATTTTAGCACATTTAAAATCTGTTTTAAATTAAAAAAAATTGAACGCCTTTATTTCATAAAAGAATGAAAAACAATTTAACATAGTCTATTTTTATAATTTAAAAATAAATCTATTTTTCTTAGTTTGTAGGTGGTTTGTAGGATGAACTCAGTAACTTTTTTCATTTTTGGTCCATAAGTTTCTCACAAAAAAAAGAACAAAATATGGAGATATAAATGCTGCAAAGGCAGTCAAAGGCGTGCGTGGCGCGCATAGAAAATAAATATTCAGTAAAATCCAAGTTTTTGTATCATCAATCGGTATTTATTCATTTTGACGATTTATCCAAAAAATCCCCAGCCCCACGCGCCATGCATTGATCTATATCATATAGATGGAAAATGATTGTTTATGAGTAGTATTTTAAATTTAACACGACAATAAATTAATATAATTACTTAATGCTGTTTCTTTTTTTTTAAGTTTTATTCTTACTTGTTATTATGTATCTTAGCCTACTTAGGCAAAATACTTAATAACTGGTCACAAAACATACCTACAATAATATTAAACCTTTAATTTCCAGAAGAGATAAACAGAACCAGAAAATATTACATTTGAAGCATTTTTTTTAATTATAAGGATGTTATTTTATTGAGTAATAGCAATGTGCGGTAATAAGAAAGGTCCACTCTAGTAAAAAGTCTAAAAATGAGATTACATTATTATTACCTCCGATGTTTACCTATTGTTTGTGATCGGTTCTTTAAGTATATTGGAAAATCACCGTTCAAAGCGAAAACTGGTCATACTTTTAAACGGTTAAGAATCGGACCCCTATTCCCAGAGTAAAAATTATGGAATGACCTCCTCTAAGCCCCTATTCGATATGATCCATACTTCCAGGGACTTCCCTGTAAAATAGTTACATAGGCTAAATGCATTGAGATATACATTCATAATATGTTTATTTGTAAATGTGTAATAGTTTCAAAGCTACGTCTTTGTATGTCAATTTCTGCTCCATATTTCTCACTCATTTTTAGAAAATGTTAGTACATAAGTAAGTTTCTTTCTTCCTAAAGGTAACATTATAATAATTAAGTTCTGTTAGTAGGTATGCCTATCTATTTGCCCTACATATTTTTATTTGTGTTTGGGGAAATGGGCACAATGGCCAATGACTTAGCATGTCCACTCCATAGCCTCGCAGCCCTCGTAGTATAGCATAAACATACCATAACTCATTTTTTATGATTATCGTTTGGCTCCATAATGAGGCTCGATGTGCGTAGTAACATACTTACATAGGATTTTTTTATAGTAAGCACCGATGGAATGTTTCAAGGGATCGTCATCATCGTTAAGGATTATACAATTTCACATTCCATAAAGTTCCAAACCACCAATTTAATAAATCTAAATATCGGTGATATTCAATGAGGTAGGTCTAGGTGATATTTAGGTACCTACTTATAATGAAAAGATGCGATGTGTTCATTTGTACATTTACCTTTATGCTGGCATATCTAACCCCGTTTAGGTAGAGGGACTAAGCATGTACTAATATTCCCTAAGTGTGCACGCTGTTAATATTATTTAGGATTTTTTTAAGGGGGGATAATCATGGAATGACTGCTCCCGCCTGGGTGAGGCGGGAGGGAGTGTCAGACTCTTACTGACTAAAAACCACTCGTTCCTTCTCCTGCACGTCGAGCCGGAAACCCGGTTACCCGTTAGGTTCTCCGCGACAATATTATTTACGATAGAAATACAAAATCGACGAATTTAGCTTAACACCTACTACTTACTTACCCTTCGTATTTCAGTGACATCAATTTATTGCAGCTAGTAGTTTCGATGTAATCACTATTGACAAGAAAAATACTAGCGCGATGTTATAAATCATCATTGATTACTTACACATCGACAGCTCGAATTCCGAGGTAATGATAAAGGTACCTTTACATAATAATATAGTTTCAGTAGGTCGACACGACAGTTTAGGTCTAGTAAGTACTTGAAGGTAGTTTGCTCATGTATCTAAATTTTTTTTAATGGGCACCTTGGTTCTATATCTTTACATACAATATATTAGGGAGTATGCTAGCCTTCCAACAGAAGTTTAAAAATAAAGAAATTAAGGAAATAATTTTAAGGTGACAATTTGTTTTAATTTAAACCAGCTCTATTGCGCGAAAATATAAAAATGCTTGACAGATAGAGCTTGGTATAGCACTGTTGAAAAACTAGACTGAATGGGGATTTTCTAATGTACAGAAAACTCAAATGTCTGTGATGAATTTATTTGTGCGGGCTCGTTACTACTTGTGTCGATTTATTTATTAAAACGAATCAATCGGTTTCGATCATTGTATTTGACAAGCGAAGGGTTAGTACGTGCTTAAAGTCTAGATATGTTCGGGATTTTAAGGTATTGTTAGGCCATTTCCCGGCAACAAGTTTTCGTTTTATCTATATATATATATTACTGTGAATATTCCAAATTTGGTCAGATTATGTATTTTTATTAAAATGTTAGTATTTTCATAAGTGGCTATTATCGCAAAAGGGGACCTCAAATGAAACTTACATCTCATTCAGAATCATATATCTAGGTACACTGTGCACATTTTAGACTATCGTGATATAAATATTGTTTTTAAATTGCGTATATATACCAATTGTAGCACCTGCAGAGAGAGGGAGAGAGAGATATGAAATATTTGAATTTATTTTCCTAACTCTATTTTTATTTCTTGTAGCTTGGCATCATTTACCCAGTGTTTACTTTCAGTAGTTACACTTCCACTTCAGGATCCGTGTACGATATGATCGACTTTTATAATAACTGTCCTCCAGGCAGGTCCAACCTGCCGATTGTGACTGTATTCTACGTAGTACTCAACTGTACCCTTAATCAATATTTACTTGATTAGGTGACAAAATAATGTGAAAAGTGAATGCAACGTGTTTAAAAATTCTGGCGATGTGACTTTAGAATGCTCACAGTAACATATAGATATATACGGTTGATTGCCAATAGTAGTAATTATTTCGATTTATATACAGTGTAAATTGACTTAGGTAAGTAAGTAATTCATAAACATATCACAATTCATAGATCTAACAGTTAGGCAATTAGTAGGTCCCATTGTATTTATTATTTTACTGACTGATGAATTTTCTCGCCTACAAATTAATGTGCTTTTGGATACGATTATTCATATTACAATAACCACTATTGATGTCATTATTAAAATACTGATAAAGCCATATCTGATGACGTTGGAAGCCTTTTCCGAGTATACAACATTGAATAAAACATTTTTCATTCTATACAATATCTTCTGTAGTCATTCGATATCGTGATCAGCATCAGCGATGACAATTTCAAGTCTGAATATTTGAAACATCTTTCTAAATATGAATGTTTTAAACATATATAAATACATATATACCAATATTTATAATCTTATTACTTATTCATTTGATTTTCAGGCAATAGTTTACCCTGCTTTTATTAAGAAACATGTCCAAAATTTCAAAATTGGTTCAAGAGTAGGACTTTACCAATAAATTAAAAACAAATACGATAGCACGCACGGCGTCGACCTACAGATTGGACTACTTTTACAATAGTACTTAGGTACTGAAATCTGCTCTGTGATGGTTTCGATCATCTAGTCTGTTTTGTTGGCGTGATGGCAAAACTGAATATCTATCACAGTTTCTTTGTCAATTATGTTATTATTTAAAATTACCTACTTATTTATTTGTAGAAATATTATAATAATTCATATTTCCTACATTATTTGCAAACGTCACACCTAATCCTGGATGTTTCCACTTATAAAATGTCTAGTAGTAGGTATGTATAAATGTTAGTTTAGGCATTATACAATATCTAGCCTAGATATCGAGATTGATGCTTTCTCTGGATTTCGTTCACGGCAAGTAACATTTCCTAAATAACTATACATTATAGATCTAAGTATAATAATTATTAAACAACTTATTACATACAAAAATATGTACAACTTAGCAATTATGGTACATTTTTATAAAGTAAAGATTTTCTATTTAAATAATCGTAAATTTTATATCTTTTAAAGCAATAATTAATTAAACAATGTAAGCGTAATAATAAACATTAGGTACCTACGTACTCGGCTCACGAGCCCTTGGTCTTTATACGTAATCGAGTGGAAGTGATTATCACAACATCAACTCGTTGTATATTTTATTTATTGGAGTTGCACAAGACGCCTTATAAACTATCTACTCGTTTTACCTAAACTATGATTGCTCATTTTCTCATTACAAGCACCTATTAATAAGGAAAATAAGTGAATGGACAGCGCAGTGTCAAGTCAATATTGTGCGACGGTATATTTACAATCATAATGGTGGTAAGTAGGTAATTAGTGGAAAGCCTTTTTTCATCAAGATGAAAATACTGAATAGTAAGTCTCAGACATCTGGTCGTAAGAGGTGGAGGTCGACAGCCACATCCCGCCGTTGGTTGCGCATCATGCGGGGTTGCGAAGCTTGTGCCGCGTCGCCGAGCAGTGCGGCGTCTTCTGCTAGAGAGTCTCCGGAACCGTAACCACGTTCCTCCGCAGCGTCACCCTCGCACCAGGATGCAGATCCCGAGCTCACCGACCGAGGTTCTGTTTCCGCGCCGGCCGAACAACTGGCGCAAACTTCTGCAATCATCTTTACGTTTAATATGCTACGAAATTTAATTATGCGAGTAGATACATAAATGAAGCTAACGCTAAGATTATTTATTTATATTTCTGGTTTGTGTTCTTTTTAGTTCGCAAAGAGACTCTTATAATAGATAAAATAAACAGTGTGTACAATGTATTACTTTTTTTGGTTTGTTAAAAACTAAACAAAGATGTGACTGGCAAATAGCTCATAAAATGTACACTAGAGTATACATCAATCATTATGTATTGGCCATACAATTCCGAGGATTATTCTACTGCCTTACTTCCTATAATATATGTTCGACTAAAAGTGCATGTAAGTATAAGCAATAAGTACCATACACGACCTGGTTTATCAAAGGTTGGAAAAACCAACAGGAACTTTATTTGAATGTACTGATTTATGTGAATTACAATTTTTTGTGAACAGTTTTTGTTTGTTTTAAACTAGCCACTCCCGCGCCGTTCATCCACTACATAATAACATATTAACATAACAGCCTTTTATCCCCGAAGGGGTAGGCAGAGGTGCACATTATACCACTGTACAATGTAACACCCACTTTTCACTATTTTTGTTATGATATAGCATATATTTAGCCTTCGTCGAAAAATGATAATCAAACACAAAAATATTTTTTCAAATCAAATAAGTAGTTCTTAAGATAAGCGCGTTCAAACAAACAAATTTTGCAGGTTTATACATTATTAATTAATTAATTAAAATTATTAAGTATATATAACAATCATAACTAACCACATTAACATTTACAGACACTGGTAATGTATTCAAATATACAGGGTGTCCAGTAAATAGTACAACATACGGTGAAGAGTGATGGCTGGGATCAATACCTACCTAGATAACTCAATATCCATATGCTCAGCATACGGTTTCAAAGTTATACTATATTTTCGGAAATATCGCAAAATCACTACCTCGAAACAGATCTTTTAGTATATCAGCGTGAAAAATTATTTTTCTTCAAGTAACTTGTTTATACAATAACAAATTATTCAGTAACATCACATTATTTGTAGATAGTTATTCTATTTATTGGTAAATTTTTTTTATTTCAGGAATAAAATAGTTTTTTAGGAAAGCTGTTTTTGTGTCAATTTTCGTAGGACAATTTTCTTATTGTTTTACCTACCAACGAGTAGAATCTGTCTTCCCCCAAGTCGAGCGCGAAGCAAACATTTCATTACCCTTTTAGAGATAAACTAGCAGTCCATCGAGACTTGGCTAGTTTTTTACAGAATGTTTTTGGTGGGATATAATTTCCTACAAATTATTTGACGTACATAATTACCTACTAAACAAATATTTTACGGAGATTATGCTAAAAGATGTGTAGAGGTCATGAGGTAGTGATTTGGCGATGTTTCCGAAAATAATATATAACTTTAAAACCGTACAATTTCGCTGAACTAATATATTGAGTTGTCTAGGTAGGTCTGTATTGATCGCAGTTATTACCTTTCACAGTATGTCTTACTATTTACCTACTGGACACTTTGTTTATTGCACACGTACCTATTATAAAATGTCTATATTAAATACGTAAAAGAAATCTACATTACATATTCATGCTGAAACTGATGAGAGGTGTTGTAAATGAAAAAAATGTTTTATCTTTCCCCTATCATTAGAGAAGAAGGCTGAAATCTAGCATAGTATATAGTAGGTACAAGTTTTATCACTGTTTAATGTTTATGTATACTTCGAACTTACAAAGTGACTTTTCTGATAAGAAATTTGTATATATTAATATGTTACAAAAAGTAAAATATTATCTAGGTACTTAGTTACCCATTTATTATTAACGAGTGAGTTAATGAGTGAGTTCACTGTTTAAAAACTTATCGCACCTACCAAAATACTAAGTTTTAAAGATAAGTAAAAACACCTAACTATAGGTGCTTTTACTTCTTACAGATTTCAGCCTATGCGTGTTTTATTAAATACCTAAATAGGTAGTTTCAAACATGCTACAAGTTTTAAGGGTGGTATAATCTACAATATTGTGGGCTATTCCTTCCTTAATTTATAAACGTTGTGCGTCAGTCGGCATTAGTCAAAGGCACGTTCAGCTGTAATTTGTCGGATAGACGAATATACAGGTCGTAACACTGGTATTGTGTGTGTGATCACAAACAACTGCAGCTATTGTCGAGTTAATTTTTCCATTTCAGTATAGTTATTGGTTTAGAAAAAGTAAGTAGATAGTAGTAAGTATGTACTCGTAGCATAAAATTTGTGGCATGTTTTTATGGTAGAGTCGTGTAAAAGGCAGAGATCCGTACGTATATTTATATATTATGTTTCATCGTATTAATATTATATAATGTTTTAAATTTAATTTGATAAAATGAAATGTAAGTAATAGGTACTAATATGTAGGTGTTGAAGTATTACATTGCCGTCTTATATTGAAAAATCGTTTACAGCTTTTAAAAAATATGTTCGTTGCCTCTATTTGACTTTGTCTACTGAGTACTTAGGTACTAATGGTGTAACAGAAAACAAATACGGTGCTTACGTTTCAGTGATATAGGTAGGTACGTTTGTTAATTTACCAGATTTCGATTTATAAATACAACAAGGATGAGACGCGTCGTGTTCATCAAACCAAACGAGATCATATAAAATAAACGTAGTACGGTTAACGTTTTAACGATACATTACTAGGACGTCAATTTAAGAAGAACTCCCCACGGCTCAATTGCCAAGATACATTACTTGCCAAGAGTCTATCAGTTTAGGTTGGACATCACATGGACTTGGACGTAAATGTATTTTATAAAAACAAGTGTTATTTCAAAATTCAATATAAATCGGCTACGTGATACTTTAACCCCTACCAGATAAAAGATTAGATTGGATAAAATAAATCTAAGTCTACAACACCTTCATTAGTAGATACATTCATGTGGTCGGAGTAAGTTGTAGGCTTGTCTAGGAGGACACAGAGAGATACTATTAAATAATAAACATTCCACACATCGATAGGGGTAGGGTTTAGGACTCACTCAGCCGGCGGCGGCCATTTACTATGGGGCTCTCCCAAGTCGTCGGTCAGAGAGAGGTCGACGACGAATAATCTTCATAAGATGCTGCAATTTTGTAATATTCGCATATTTATACCTATGGCAACGACGTTTAATTGGTTAAGTTAGCATCACATTCACTACAGCTTGCTAATTCATACTACTAATCTACTTGTGTGTGACTAAGTTAGTGTTAGTTGATGATATGTGGGGACAACTTTTTCGGTGAAAAATGTAGAGATTGACCGGATTGATTAAGTTATAAAAATGCAAGTCAACACTAAACAATTATATTAGTTATGCATCCTAAGTCTAGTTACATAGCACTCCAAGCAATCTCTACTAATACAACATGACAATATTGTGACTTGTAGGAGTTGTATAGTGGGGCAGTTAATTAAGGTTGCCTTTACAATGAAAATGAGTTGATGCTGGAGTATGTACATGTGTGTAAGTGTGTGTGTGTGACATATACCGACCTGAGCTGTCGGTGACGAGCCGGGGTGGTGTGACCTCACGGTCCGGCACTACGATAACTACTTCATCGTCTCTAGGGGAATCACCGTTGCGACTTGAACTTGCTGTCCTGTTAACATTCATTATTGAACTATGCATCTACACTTCAGGGATTGACGACACGAAAACAGTGTACGGCTGCAATATATTTTATTATGTATGTGATTTAAATATGTAACATCTTCCTAGCTACATTTATGCTACGCTCTATCCGCTACGCTCTATGCCATGGACTTAAAATAAATTAAAAGTGTGAAGTAGTTGGTAAGTTATTACAGTGTCATCATGATATCAGTAACAAGATGCCCACTGATGAACATAAATCTCCCCTGTGAATTTCAGATCGGCTGGTTTGAAACAACCTTCATCCAAGCTACTTCCTATGACCCTTATCAGGGCGTCAATCAACCCTCTGGGTGGATGTCCTACGCCGTGCTTGTCCGTACGTGGCCATTCGACAACGTTCCTGCCCCATCGGCTGTCTGGTATCCAAGCTATGTGCCCCGTCCGCTGCCACTTTAAACTGCTAATCCGCTGGGCTATGTCAGCGACTTTTGTTCTTTTGCGGAGTTCCTAGTGTCGACACCGGTCTCGTTTCAATCTCGTTAAACGTAAATCCCCTCTGATTCGATCTCGCAAAGAAACACCGAGCATAGCGCCCTATTGCGTAAGGATCAATTATTCACTATTGCAAATACCAACTAGTTACTCAAGTCAAGTCTCCGGTTCGAACTAGACTTTAATTTAGAAAATAAATAACCTACTACTACTAACATAGAGTTCAGAATTGTATATATTTGTAATTAGCAAAATAAGTAAAGGCTGATAGATAGACATTAAGCAGTAGATTAGAGATTAATTTTTTTTACTCACTTCACGATAACTTTTTTTTTCATAAATCTGCTACCTAGGTCTGAATACCCTCGGTTCATAGGCCGTTTGTAGGGGACGAGCGGCGCAGCCGTGGTCGGAGGCGGCTCGAAGGTGCGTGACACCGGCGAGTTGGGCTCTGAACACTGCTTGTCTGTCAGCGCCGGCCTGTTCCTCAATAACAGTCCCCCCTCTCCGGACGGACCGCCCTCTCCTCCTCCATTCGTACTACTGCCCACAAGTCTCCGAGGCACCCCTCTGTCCTCCTTATACATTTCTAATAAATGATCCAACTTACTTTCTATATCATCTACCTGAAAGAAATGTATATTCTTATCTATACTATATATCGCATCGTCTACCTAAATCATGCACTAATGATCTGTTGACTCGTGTTACTCGCTGTGAGTAATTTTTACAGAAAAATGAGTAAGTAAGGGCATTGGAATTAATAATCAAATGTAGCTCTTACTTGTCTTTCAATTTTAACTACTCTGGAAGCTAGGCTGATTTTCGATGCATAGACATCTTTAGCTTTAGATCCTTGTTTTCCAAGTATTTGGTCTAACCTGTGGGTACATTAAAAATAATTTTTATATTATAAGTAATTTGATAGCGAACATATAAATATGATGGCAGCTTTCTGGTTGATTTGTATATGTAAGAACTCTCAATACGTTACGACATCTATTAGTAATAAACAACCAATAATTTTAAATATGGTAACACGGTTCACAACCACGTACAGAAACTACGATAAAACATAAAAAATAGGTTACCTATAAACATTAGCACATGCTCTACTCTCGAGTGATGAATGAAATAAGGCGTGACATCGTTACTGGATGTTATTTCAATATAATATAAGTGATCCATTTAAATTATTGCTCGTGACCATAATTCAAGTTAAATGAAACAGGCACTTGAAATATTACTAGGTAGGTAATGTAATGAAACATAAAGCTTTGGCGCAACAATTGTGACATGTAGATTATTCAATAGGTTTAGAATTCGACGCCATCTGAGCACACTACTTAGGCCCAAAATAAATTATTTAGTACATAAACATAAATCGGTAGGAGGTAAAATAACGAATTCACATATTAGTATACATAATTAAAAAAATATATATTAACAGATAATGAATCATTATTATACCTGCCATACGAAAATATGATTTGAACAATAAATTACAAAACATTATAAATGTAGAATTTAAAACGTATATTATATTACAAATAGAATGATGTAAAAAACAAAGCTATTTCTATGAAAAATAAAAATATTTTGCATCTGAACTATGTATATCCAACTATAAATAATAAGAAAGGAAGAACACAGCTTACTCACAATGTGACATCATTATGACACATCCAAATAAAATGAGCAGTGCTCAGCCAAATGCTGTGATTTTGACTAAATTGAGTTGAAAGGAAATGCAAGCAAAAGAAATGCTAAGGCGATGCGAAGTGATGTTTGCATTAATAGTTATAAAATAGATAGATTAAGTTAAAAATACTAAATATTATTGTTAGTTTAACTCGTCGAGTACCGTCATTATACCTCTAGACACAATTATAGAACAATAGGTTGCGGTCACCGGTGACCGCTTGGTGTTTGACAGTTTAAGTGCCAAAATAAGTCCACGAAAATATGGGTAGGTAGTCGGCGTTTATATTAACCACTAGTTGTTGCCTGCGACTTTGTCTGCGTAAAATATGAACTGTAGGACATAACGTTTTATGTTTCAATTTTCCAAAATAAAAGTAGCCTTTGTTACTCCTTAGTACATTAGCTACCAGTCCATAAAAACGCGTCAAAATCGATCCAGCCATTCCAGAGATTAGCCATTAGCCATACATACAAACAGACACTTTAATTTTATAAATACAGTAATTTCTTTCTGCCTGCGACTTCGTTCGCTTGGAATAACGGCTTCTTAAACAGATTTTTTTGAAAACGTATACCTACTACCCATACTTTTGTGTAACAAAAATCCAGCATTTGATAAAAGAATGTTTGAAATCAATAATTCTTGTGTGTGTTTTAGATGTTTAACTCGTCGAGTACCGGTTTTGTAGACACAATTATAGAACAATAGGTTGCGGTCACCGGTGACCGCTTGATGTTTGACAGTTTAAACGCAATCAATAGTGTAAAGTTCATCTTTGTAATATTGATTGCGAAACACCGACTCACGAACCGAAATACTTATATGGCATTTGATTACACACACATCGTTATTTTATAGATAAAAAAATAATATGCTAATTTCATACACGTTTCCTGATAAAAGAACAAAAAAGAAGTAGTTTTAAGGTGACTGAAAACTTTTTTCCTAAAGTTTTTCACAATGAAATTAATAATTTATCTACGTAGATTTAGCTAGAATCCTAAAAATGTTTAATGACTGCTTGCATATAAATATGTAGAACCTTTTTGTAAAATAGTCGCGAATTGTTTCGAGCGGAGAAAGGTAAGGTGAATAAATTAGATCATGAACATGAACTAAGTACTGACTACTGTATCAATTATGCTTTAGGTACTCGTGTATTAGAAATAGGTTAGGTTAGAAAGAAGTGGGAAGCTTAAGAAAATTGTGCTGTATTACTGATCGTGTAGGTTTATGCTAAGTATTGACTCGGTACATGCATATTATCTTTGTTTGCTTCAAAGATGATGTTCATGCATAATATTCGAATGAGTGATCTTCTATCCGCGACACATCTCTAGGTAGGGAATCCAGTGAAGGACATGGTTATTTGGTAAAACTAATTATCATGCAAATTGCCAGTTACCTAATGCTCGGCTGTCTAGATATAAGTTTAGATAGTAAACAAATATATTTTGTTAAACTTTATGTAAGATAAATAGTGTATTTTTTTACAAGGCGGAACACAGGCCCAATGACAACTTACATTATTTCTTTCGTAAAATATCTACTATAAAATATCTACTAGTATTTACATTCATCAACAATAAAGGTTGATTTTTGTATTTAAATTCTATTTAAAGATTTCCCTAATAAAGACAGTCTACCTCTAAACTAGAGAATTAATCCTACATTAGACTGCTCGTGATATCTTAGTCTTACAACTATTTATTAAAACGATTAACGTAGGTGAGAAGGCAGGTATCCCAAACTGTAAGTCAACATTTATAAAACCGTGAAGGAACACCAATACAACTAACTTCATCTATCGAATACTTAACTACACACAACATCTATACAGGAACGTGGTGACACAATGCAAATACAGTAAACAATAATACTAAAACCTCAAACCACATAAAACACAATTAAATCACAGTGTAAACGTCGCCCTTCTCCACAACTAACTAATTTGATACCTACCTAAGTACATGGATGGATGTTATGTTAGTCAGAGAGGAATGTCTTGTTACTGGTGAGCCGTTCATTCAGTAAATTTGATTAGCGAGTGGCTGTACAAGTAGGCGGACGGGCTGATGATGATCAGTGAATGAAGCAGCGGCGGCGGCGAGGACCGACGTCAGTGCGTGTAGCGCGGCCGCGGCGGCTCATCTCACCTGTACTGCAGGTTCTTGGTTCTGTTTAGCAGGTCCGCATGTCCCGACGAATATTGCTCTATCACATCTTTGACGTCGTACGGTTTCAATGCTTCTCTAAATCTCTTGCGTGCGACAAAATACTTGAGCTACACGAAAATAAAACATAATCCTGATAGCTAAAATTGCAAAAGTTCTGCACACATTTATAATTTTGAAAGAATGAATGATCCAAATTAACTGGCTCGAGTATAGTTATCTTCCGCACATTTTTATAGGTAAATGTTCACCTAGTAATTGAATGCACGAGACGTGAAGTGTTTCAGGTTGTTATACTCTTAGTAAGTGTTGATAGTAGAATCTAATTAACATGTTCTATTGAGTCAAGTACAGTTTATAAATATGTCACGCATTAGTTATTTAATCACAAATTAAGAGTGGCCTACTTTAGATCATATATCTGATAATTAATTTAATAGTGCCTCTACAGTATTTTACTTACATTGTATTTGAATAGACAATCATGCAGAAGGTATTGGTACCGAGCAGCTAATCTGTTAGATAAAACTACCTGTTGGTTACATTTTTGTTAGGTAAATCGATAAACCATTGTTTTGCCTGTGTAATATTTGGATTCAGCCACAGGGGCGCACCTATCAAGAACGGGTTCTCATATATAAACTATCAGGCATCTAGACTAAGAGGCAGGGAGCAGTTTTCACTTATAGTTTTCAGTGTAGAGACCGCATCAAAATCGCTATAATTATAAGACATTTAATTGAACTAACGAATTTTTGAGAAGCAGATAGGTAGATTGTTTGAACATGTTGTAGGTAACTGAGCTATAACAAATGGAAAGAACGCGACTAACTGAATATCAAATAAGATACCTAAAATTCTTAATGAGTTTTCTATGGCTACCTTATCTGAAATAATTGAATATGACATTATCACTCAAACGAATAACATACAATGGAAATACATGTGTTCTTTGAAGACATAAGAAAAGATTTTAGCGATTTCGAGGCAGCCAGGTAATGTACTGTAGTTATGCATTATGTATAGCGTTGCACACACTAACTACGGAGGTAGTATAAAGGTAGTAAGTTTAATGCCAACTTTGACTACGAAGATAACAAGACACAGTCGGTACACAGTCCAGATGAAAAGTACAGTAGGTAGCTGGTAGGAATGTAGAAAGTCAATGGCAGTGCATGGTGTAGATGGGTTCGCTGGTGGCTGCAGTACCTAGTCTGGACGTTTTTCACCCGGCCCAGCAGGTCCACGTGGCCCGCGGAATACTGTTCAATAACGTCCTTGACGTCGTAAGGCTTTAGCGCTTCTTTAAACTTACGTCGGGCCACAAAATACTTCATCTGTCAGAATTTAATAAGTCAGTAAGTTACGAATTTATTTCTATTACACAATTCTCATGAACACGAAATGCCAGACTAATTCCCAGATTTAAATTAAACTTTTCCGCTTTCTCGAACATTTCAATTAAACGTTGGAAGTCAGTCATTAAGAGCTCATTATTCAGGTATCGAACGGAACTGACACAAGAGCTAATAAAGTTGGAAATTAATTTTGTGGTGCTCTTGCGAATTACTAAGTTGTGTCTTGAAAATTTGTTATACCAAATAGTAAACACAATTCTCATATTTTCTCTATGTTTGTGATATTAAATATCACAAAGTCTGTAAATAAATGTAGGTAAATGGTTCATTTGTAGAATTGAAATATTTCATGTAATAAAATGTTCTGTAACTAGCTCTGTTATTTGTCCTTGTGATGGAATGTCTTATGTTTACAAGTTTTGTCTGACTGGTTTGGGAGTATCAAATTGGCCGTGAATTTATAATAGATGCCATTAGTCTCTTACAGACGTCTGAGGGGAAAATCTGTTAAAAATATTAGCTTTTTGTATTTATCACAAGGATAATTATAGAATGTTGAGAACACTGTGTAGTTATTTTTTGCCCCGCTAGAAATCATGAACCTTGAACTAAAATTCTGAAGTTATGTAAATAGTCGACGATATTTTGTCTGTCTCTGTTAATTTGCGAATGTTTTCAAGATCATAAACGTGATATTATTTCACAAGCACACGCTGCTGTTTCATAATTGTCTTAGCAGTGCTGTTTTCTCTTTGCATATACATACATATATATTATACTACGTTGTGAGTCATTTAATATTTTTAAGAAAAAAGTTCAGCAAATTGTTACGTACCTTTCTTATAAATCGTATGGCGGCTTTGTGGCGCGACGTCAAAGTGACACAGCGCGGCTCCTCGTCTTCATCTGCACAAAAAGCTTAGCTTTAGATAAATGTGTCAAGTGAAACTATCGAGTGAGACTGCCATCTGAAGCGGGTGTTTACTGGGAGTTTTATGTTAAAGCTAAAAACATGACCTTTATATATGCTTTTTAATGAGTTTGCGGTTTGTTTTTCTTTAGATATAAACATACAAGTACAAGACTTGATTACATTTTATTATTCCGCGCTAGTTTTCCATATTATAACATCGAAAAGCAATCCTATATTACATTTGTGGGAAAACGCCTACCCAATTAATTGAGTAGCAACGCTATGTTCCTCACAACATCACAGAGTAGTAAATTAGTGAACCGCATAATTGACCACACGAAGTGTACGAACGCCCGTGTACTTTGGGTGCCAGTCGATCGCAGTGTGGCTTATACACTATTTTGAAATAGGGTTCCGAATTAACATACAATAATTATTATTTCTGTTAATTAAGATCAAATGTGAATTAATTATTTATTTCGTTAATACAAATTCATTTTGTATATACAGTTAGATTTTTATACTTAGGAGTAGAAGTTTTAGCATTTTTTATTAGGGTATTGTAATAGAACCGCAGTACAACCGCCCGTCGTGGTTAAATTCGGGCCTAAATATCATTTTTATGGTTCGGACCTTAATAGTAGGCTCACAACAGACCTTGCCTTGTAACAATGAAGCCTCGGTCAAACAATAACGGCCAATGATGTCATAAACAACACGGACACATAAATTCTTTCAGAGAAAATAACATTACTTACAATTAATTTGTTTACTCCGTTAATTACTTAGATTGTGAGTTTTATTACCAACGCAGGTCAAATTCTCGAGATTCAGGTCGATAATACGGGTATATATACATAGAAGTTTTGGTGAAAGAAAATAAGGTCACTATTAAAACAAAATAGGTGAGTTCCTTTTTTTTGTTCTATTTAACCTACGAGAAGGCAAAACCTTGCCATTATCAATCAACTATGCCTCCTATTCTCTCTTAAAATGTGCATTCGACCGTGATTTATATAATCTATATACTACTTATACACATATATAAAAGAAAGTCGTGTTAGTTATATTATTTATAACTCAAGATCAATTTGAATGAAAAACCTAGTTTATTGAGTGAAATTCGGTACAAGCAGCGACAGTTTTAAATTGAGGTAGTTGTGGAAAAAATAGATGGATTTGTTGTTAGGAAAGGTTACCCCCTTCCATTATATATAGTTCACTCCATAATTTCACTTACTAAATTTGACCTAAATAAACAAACAAACAGGAAAACCGGGGACAGCTAAATAAAACAGTTTAATAAAAAGGACGTAGGATAGTTTATATTCTTAAAATTTGAAGACACGTTGTAATTTTTAGTAAACACAGACTCCGGTAAGGAAAGACTCCAATAAGTCAAAAGCCCCAAGTTCTGCTGGAATTTATATTATTTCACGCAAATGAAGTCGCGGGTAAAAGCGAGTAAATATTATATAATTAAATTTAATTTAAAAGTAAATACATATTAAAATAAATATTTTCAACTGTGTGAAACTATTTCAACAAGATAAGTATATTCAATGTTATAATTGTAATTAACTTATATATTAATTAGGATGGAATGTTATATATTTATATCGTCACGCCTTACATCCTTGAAGGCAAAGGTATGATGTACCTACACCCTTGTAAATATTAAAAAAGATAAATAAATCTAACAATATAAAATCCTTAGTTTTTTATCACAATTAGTTTTAGGATTACTTTATTGGTGATCTATTGTTAATAACATGAGTGCCACTCATGTTGATTTGAGCCCTATGTTAGGTGAACTGAATTAAAATAAGTGTCAAAATTAATAACGTCCCTAATATAATATATTCTAACATAATATATACAGAGTTTACTCAATATTGTGCTCTGGTTCCTAAACTGGGGCAAATTGTACGTAGGAGTCAGGAGCAAACAAACTTTTTTAATGTAAACAAATTAATGAGCATCGTGGTGAAGTAAATATATTGGATAAGGAAATGTTGTAACACACGGATTATAAAGTACTCGTCACACGAAAATGTTACTCCGAGCGGACGGAAGGATTTAGCTTTGTAGAAAAACGAGACCCGTTCCCCTTATTTCGGGAACAAAAGCCCTTGAGCATAGCTTAGCCTATGGGTTATTTAGGTTGACCCAAATAATTTAGCATTCGTAAAAGAATTATAAGTTCGTACAAATAGTTTAGAGACAACATAGGTTTATCAAAATAACAAATATGTATGCTTTGAAATAAAATTCTTCTATTATCTTGTTTCTAATCTTATTTTATTATTTTTAAAAGGCACGGTGTTTTCTGACATTAAACAGATACACTTAAAGGAAAACAATTTAATGTAACGCTGTAGTTACCATGGTGAGCACAATACACCCTCACAAATTTTGGGTTTGTCAGCATACTCTCATTCGCCAAGTTTTTGTTGTATAAAAATGTACAAGCATGTGCGCGCCATATTGTAAATATTACGCAATTTCTACCTATTCATATTTACACTTTCGTTTTCCTTTACGCAGCTGTATTTGTATTAGGGAATCTGCACAATAAGGACTTTCTAAATTAAACAGTTACAAACATTATGAGGTCGGATTATTGTTCATTATCAGCATTCCTCAGCATTTATTTCTATAAAAAATGTTCCTTTGTTATCATCAAGAAGTTATTTATTTACACAAGTAAGCTGAGATAGTGATTGCTAATGTTCGTCTTATTCATAAATTAGATTTAGTTTGTTGATACGATGATCGTACTTACACAAAGAATTGTGAGAGGAATTGTTTCCGCCTTTCTCTCATAGTACCAAATCTTCGGGGTTTATGTGCTAGCTAGTATATAGCGTAGGCACGAAGGCCGTAAAGATTAATGTAACACAGATAACAGGATATTTTATTTGTTTAGCTATTTCAAGTATAACATAAATGGGTTAATGTAATCAACGACTGGAGGTTTCGCCGCGTGCACAAATGATTATTTATAGTAAGGAGGAAAGTTAAGACTCATGTGATTAGCACAGATAGGTTTCGAATATTCACGTTCACAGTCCACACATTGCATTTCCATATAGTAGCATGCGTTATTGTGCCTAAGGAGATCACTGATCCATGCTATTTGCATTATACATATACATATATATTATAGAATGCGTAATGCAAACAAGTTATATGAGGCCTATTCACATATTACATACCTACATTAAAACTATGTGGTATTGTAACAACATTTTATAGGAAATGTATGTTCTTACATTAAAGTCATATAAAATGTTGCTTAGAATGCATAGAGCTACAGCACTACACAGCTAAGTACATTTATGAACATTGTTGTGTAGATATTGTACACTCGAACGTACACAATCTAACTGGAACATGTGCATCCGATAGAGAATTTACAATACTATCCATACCTTACCAACACATAGGTAGTTTCCAATAGCAACCAACGATGTCTAATATAATAAAGCGCGTGTCAATAGCTATAAAATAATACATACAATATACATGACGTATTTAGTTAGTAAATATTTTATACGGATTATAATTTATCGAATCTAAGTGGAAACTTTAGTGATAATACATTACTCAATAGTCTAGGTGTCGAAAAATACAGAGTGAAGTTATAAAATGTACACAATCTCATCAAACCACATACACTACGTATGTACATACATACATACACCTAGTGAAGAAATGTTAATCTACTCGAAAGCAACAGGAAGAGCATGTCAACAGACAATCAGTTTTGTCTAATACGAAATACAGCTATTTGTTGCTTGTCCACTTCTTACCATCAGAGTTTTTCTTGGAGAGCGGTGTCTCTGCGACCGAGTCCTCGCTGTGTGCCGGTTGGACAGGCGGCGCGCGCGCCGGCCGAGCCGCAGTCGCGCCTGCCGACCCACACACACACGCTCACTTCAACACTGCACCCACACCAGCTAAACTACCTTGGCTAGCTGACCTGCACGACCCTACCCTGTGCCGATACTTCCCCGTACATATTCTCGTACATTTATGTAGTCACCATGTGATTGATTGTAATTAGAGCGATCTATGCGCATTCCAACATTAGGCATTTCCCTGCTATGAACATCAAACCATCTAATGCCTGTCTGCCTGTCAGCCGCACGTTTTGTGATGTTAATTTGGTTGTAGAGACGGTATAGACGATAAAGAATGGCTACACTTTTATTTGATCATTATTCAAACTACTTTACGCTATTGAAGTAAAACTTAAGTCTATCATTGCAGATACCTACTTCTGAGAACGAGTCCACGTAGAACACAGTTTGAGTTATGAAATGAATTTCTTTCTCAGTAAAATTAATTATGATAATTAATGTTTTAACTTTTGTTTTCAGTTATCCTATCGTCTTTGTAAAATGTCAACTAATGCAAAATGGTTTTAAACAATATTCTTCAAATGAAATTTTCCGCATCGCATAGCTTATGCTAAGTAGGATTCGTCTTTAATTTTGTTTTATATTACAGGGTTGCGGGAAACGTCTCGGACGGAGAATCCTTTTATATTATATTCTTTGAAGGAGAACGTTATCATTAGTCCTGAGCGCCAGTGGTATAACAAAACCGTGATAAACATGGTACAGTATCACTGACTTGTTTTGTATAATGTGTGTACAACCCAGAATATTTGTACGTAGACTCAATGATTTATTTGAAAGATTGAGGAATTTCCTTCTTTAATTAACTGAATAAAAAATATAAAGGCTGCATCAAAGAAACACCTAAATAATGAGGTCAATGCAGCGGTTGCCATTTAATGTCTCGGGCAAACTATTGATCCGTTCTTCGTCTCTTTCTGACTAATGTGCAAACGTTTTATGAATGTAGCTTATCGGAGACACCTAAATTATATACCTACATGTCAATCTTTAATTTTTTTTTTCAATTGATGTAATTACAGAGCCAATTTTATGATGACGATTTGAACTTAAGCTCTGTGTAATTCTTGCTCTTTGAAAATGTGGAGTACAGTAGGTAAATGTGGGATAATGGGAATATTGCCTTTTCTTTGATAAATAAATAAGTCTTACTTAGTCTTGATATAAATTGAACAAACAAAACGTGCGAGAATGTGAAGGGGAGAAATACAGAGGCTGGCTGTTTTCATGCCAACAAAAGTTGTTTACTCACACTAAAGGCGTTTCACATGTTTTTGTGATCACAGAATGGCAACTAGAGGATGATTATCTTAGTTTTTATTACGAATTAACTTCGAAAGTAACATAAAGACGTCAAATTCTTTTATGTAGTTGTTGACGCTGTTCATGACCCATTCGGTTTTGAGAATGAGAACACTGAACACAGCGCTAAGAGTTACATTTCGTTTTTGTAGTTTGCAGAGTAAATCTGACAACGATGTTTCAATTTATTCGCGAGACTTCAAATCTGCGATAAAAAGATACATAAAAAGTGTTGAAAAAGATCTCGATTCCGCAAAGTCTGAACTTGGTAGTTCTATGACGTTTTCCTTTCAACATAATACGTTAAGAAAACCTCAACCTATATTAACTTGAATTCAATTCAGTCGACTTATCGATACAATTTATACTTGAAACTCTAACTTTAAGTTGACATGTAACACTTCCAAAGAGCCACCAAGTGTTGGGTAACTAAGCAAGTTGTATGTTTGATTAAGAAAAAAGAACTAAATGAGGTAACGAAATCTATTTCGATTGTAAAACTGAAATATCGACTTGGTGTATTCAGTTAGTCAGTTATATTAAAATAATAATACCATCTATACATTATTAGAACTTAGATTAACAAATTCATAACTTGTTCATTAAGATCTTTGGTCAATATCAATAAAATATCTAATGAACCTAGATTAGTTTACTGCCTTGAAGTGAGAACAGGAGAAACGTTTGAGACGATGACAAGTGAAGACAGGCGGACGCCGACGGTGGCGGATGGGTCTACAGCCTACATATCATAAATTATACTATGATATAAGATTCAAATCTTGTATTGCATTTGTAACCTATTTATAAAGTTTTATAATATGATCATCACCCACATACTTAAAATATTGTGATGATAAAATACCTATAAATATTTTACAGGAATCCTATTAACTATCTGGCATGCATAATAAAAAATGCAAAGCAGTGTAAATACTTAGTTATTATTTATTTAAGATATATGTAACCGAACTTAAAATTACAAGCTCTTAAGGAAGCCATTCCAGTAACATGAGGTCGCTTGTATAATCTGGAAATTCATTGTGTGAACCGCGATCTATGATGCTAAATGAACGCAACTCTTGCAGTCGGTATAAATTAACGAAATTTAACATTTCCATTTTCCATTTCTCTAACGGTAGCAGTTAAATACGCGGAAGCAATTTTTATTTAGAAGCCACTCCGTCAAATGTAGTAATATAAAGCTTCTGACTGCGATACAAGTACAAGTAAGTACTGTAAAGTTTTCGAAGCGATATTTTAATCTACGCGGGTGCATTTTGATTCCAAAAAAGTGAAAAATAATAGAAAGAAGTAGAAGGTAAGTAGGATGTCAGCAATCGTGTCTGGAGCTAAGAGACGTAGCCATTATCGCCGGAAGGTTGACATTTAGTCCGGACTGAAAGCTACGTCAACATGTTCGCTTTTCGTGTATTCACATATTTCTGGAAAGTTTTTACTAATAAGAATCAACAAGAAACGCAGCAGAAGTTTATCGACTGTAATTGTCATGCCATAGTGCCGTCTAAAATATTTATAACAGAACCTTTAAAGCAGCTTTTCCAACAATGTAGTAGACAACACGCACGGTCCCCTCCCGACGTATGATTATCTACGGAACAGGGCAATAAATGACATCACACTCCATTCCACTAAGCTCTTCACATGTCACACACACTGCACAACACTGCGCTAATTAAAACGGCTCGTCAATCTACAGAGTGTTGATGAATATTTGTCCTTTTTGTTGTGTTAGCAATTGAAAAAAGTTGCGATTCGAGTGCACCATGTTAATGGCTTGTAGTATGTATACATGATGAATGTGACGGCGAACATTTATTATTATAATGTATTCGATTGGTTAAGTCCCAGCTTGTCGTATGTTTAGAGATCTGCTCGTTTTGTTTATTTCCCGATAAGTCTTTTGTTTGTTCGATTTCCTTCTTCATTAATTTCTTCGTGTTGTTCTATGGTCTCGTGGTTAAACAGCCAATTTGAATTCTTGTTTTTAATTTTATAATCTTGTTTATGGCATCCAAATACTTTCTGGATTAGAGGTTGAAGGTAATGTTAGTTATTTAATCTGACTCTTGTCGGTCATCATCTTTGTTGTGTGGTGTTTACCAATGAAAGTGAGCGAGATCGTGCGGTGCCTAGTTATGGGTTCCCGTGTTGTTTATTTATGAAGTGAAAATATTTGGTGGATTCGATTACCGCGATTATGATCATGTTTTGTTTATATGTACCTATGTATATTATATTGATATATATTAATTAAATTTGGAAACATTAGTTCGTCACTTACAATGTAGGTTAAGGCAATTTTACATAAGTAGTGTTAGGAATAAACATGATACAAATAATCTTACCAAGATTTTCCGCGCTGGCATTGACATCGTATCTGTGCGCGGGCTTGGAGTGCGGCGCTGGAGAGTGCAGGGACGTACTCTTGTGGCGGCGGATAGTCGGCAGGCGCGACACAAAGGATGCATTGTTCTTGAACGACGCACTCATCACTCGACTGTCAAATACACACACACTCGTCACTACTCGCTGTTAAGCCCTCCGTCACGTTTTATCGTGTAAGTGGGAGGGCACTATTGCTTGTTACATTTTATTTTTGTCAATAGAAAAGAGGAATAGTTGTTACCCTATTACCACAAAGATAAACAATTATATCCTTTAGTACGCATTATTTAATTATTTTGGAAAATCGATTGTTAAACTTCTTAAGATTACAATGATGATAAACGTATTTTTTTTGAAAATTGATGTTAATAATGTGGACAGATATTTTTTTCTATTTTGATCTGTAATTACTATTCGTTAAAAATCGTATGTCGAAGAAGTCGATTGTGTGGTTATTTTATAAATAGGTAAAATGTTGAAGCGGAAAATTCTAAGAATCACAATTGATTTACTGTTGACGATGACGATGACCTACCTGGCTTGCGGACTGGGAAGAGGTACTTGGTGTATTTTCCAAGTGGCCACACTCATGGAGTGCTCGTCGGCGGCATAGCACCGCCATAGCGCCTGGATAAGTGTTGCAGCTGGCTGACGTCGCCGAATCATATGTTTCTGACGTTGTTGTTGTTGAACTTTGAGCGCAAAACCAGAGCCCAGTATTCCCTGTTTATAACATATATCTATATCGATTCCACAAAATATTGTGGGTACACAGGAAATTGCCAAACATGTTAGTGACACATTAACATCCATCTATAAACGTCATTCAATACGGGAAATTGCTTTAGCTGTATACTAAACTTGTAAAGGAATATAAGCAGTGATTGAAAGAGTAGGTATTAGTTAATGTAAGTGGTTCTCACGGCGGGCAGCGCGAAGAAAGAGATCCCGAGCAGGGCGCAGAAGGAGGCTATGAACTTGCCCTGCCAGGTCTGCGGCACCATGTCGCCGTACCCCACCGTGCACAGCGTGATCTGAGATTACAATAACATCTTAACACACAATCGGTAATTAAGCTAGCTTGGCAGCTAGTCGCATATCGAACTTATAGCTTCTGTATTTTTTTTTGTTATTTAATTGTATGTTTTAAACTACACTAACTTATAAAAAACATTGAAACATTCTTATGGCTCAATGTCAACAAAGAAAATGGCTTGACAACATATGCGATTAAGTATAGGAATTAATCTGCTTGGGTAGACTATGAAATGTTTTTCTTTTTTATGGGATAAACTTTATCGATATAGGATAAGCCGGCAAATGAACAGACGGTTCATCTGATGGTAAGTAATCGCTCTCGCCCCTTGACACCCGAAGCACCAGAGGAGTTACATACAAGTGCGTTGTCGGCCTTTTAGGGGTTAAGGATTTGAGGATTGGGGATTCGGTAATTGGGCCTTCTGTGATCACGCTAGTTTTCTGTGAGGCCGGGGTTGATACCCCGGCCGTTGTGATCTCCAGCCTAGTCGGCCTTTCCTTGCCAAAGCACGGCTTAAAAGATTTTGTAGAAGATATTTTTACATTTATGTCTTTTGTTGTGTATACATTTTGTGGTGAGATCCATGTTGACCACATTCTTTTTTAATTTATATTTACCAAACGTTTCATTATTTAGCTTGACCTGGTTGTTTTTTGGATAAAATTTAATAATTACTCACACCCCCTTTCTGAAGATAGATCGATTGGATATTTGGTAGACACTCTTAACTCGTCGAGTACCGGTTTTGTAGACACAATTATAGAACAATAGGTTGCGGTCACCGGTGACCGCTTGGTGTTTGACAGTTTAATCTCGATGACCATACAATATAATCAATTCTTTTCTACAACTACCGCCATTATGAATATCAAAAGAAAGGGTAGCATGGTGATCATTAAAATTAGATAAAAGTAAAAGTAATTAACATAAAAGAATACCTGTTTAATATAATAAGTGAAGATTTGTAATTCGTTATTTTAATATGCTCTTTTTATCTTTTGTTGTTTGCGGTTAGTTTTCCTTTGCTATTAATAAGTATGTAAATATTTTATTTTGGACATGTTGTATATTCTTTAACAATTGTAGTCAAATATCATTCAGATAAAATAAGCCAATATGTATGTTAATAAACAAAGATATGTTTATTTAATTAGGGATTGTGGTTTATTTTATTATATATCATCTGTCTGTGTAATTAGGTATCTATTGTTAGATAAATCTATGAACAGTTGTGTTAGTACGCTACTATATGAAACAAATATATAACGTAATACTTACCACACCCCACCACAACGCCTCGGCAAAATTTTTGAATTTTGTGTCCGCAACGTCTTTCTCAGCTAAGTATACCAAAAATGAGGCGAATATCAGCCCAAGGAATCCAATGTATAACGTAGTTATTAATTCCTGAAAGAAAATTATTGCTTATTCTATTTGTTTGGGTTTTCAGACGTAGGTAGGTACGTTAGCATCAAAAGTTGATGAACACATTTAGATTTTTAAAATCCCTGTACAGAGTACCTATTACCTAAATCGGACATCATGACAAACGTCACAAATAAATAATTATATTGTGTTGCATTTAAGGTGCTTCGATTTATAAGGCTTTTTAAGGGTATATTCTCTTTAATGGGACCAGCAAAAGTTAACAATTATTTTCAAGCAAAAATATGTTTTTGCTTGAAAATAATCATGAAATAATATTGTGACACAAAAGTTGATCTAGGTTATTCTAGACTTTTAATTAATAGCCACCTATCGACCCATGACTATCGAAGAGTATACAAACCTGTTAGTCGTTAATTATACGTGTACGAGTACATGCCTACCGTCTATTATCACTTAAATTCAATGACTACCTTTTAAAATGAACCTTACACGATATAAATGACCAAGACTTTCAATAATTATAATTTTTCAACGAGAGGAAATTAAAGTATAATGCTGTAGTGTAGCATGACGTAGTAGAATGAGACGTGGCGTAGCACGACCGTAGCAATGCCTTTCGTAGACGACAGTCGGCGCCGCGGTCGGCGCGGCGTCCTAAAGGTCAGAGTTCAAAGATGCCATTGCGATTGCGAATTTATTGATATCATTTTGGTTTTAATGATTTCAACTACATACCAAGTGGATTACATTCTTATTGCACAAGTTTTTAAGTCTCAAATTGAACTATCACTGAGCTGAAAATGCGCTTAAGATGGGACTGTGATAAGTGCGCCCTAAAATATTTTATAAGTTAAATTGTTTAAGATTAAGCAGTTTTTAGGAAAGAAGGTTGATTTAGTTTATATAATAATGAAGATTACATAGCACACTACCAATCCAGCATAAAACTTCAAAGTTCACGTACAAGCAACATTTTGGTGACTTGTGCTCTATAAATTTTCAAGTTGAGTAGGTAGTAGTTTCACTGCCCCCACTTCAGGACAATATCATCTATTGTCTTGAAGTGGGGGCAGTGCTCCTATTAGTAAAGCAGGGTTACTGAATAGTGTAGGTGCATTCTGATTACATTCCCAGATCGTGTGTGCTATTACCGTGGAAGTACCATTGTCGGAGCCAACACAAAATATTTATCGTTTGTTCGTCGGCGAGGAAAACCTACTAGGAAATTTACACGTCAATAAAGAAATTCAGGAATATGTCAAATATGTACTCGAAGAATGCGAACATTGAGCGCCATTGAGCGAACGACGTAAGAAGGGATACGAAAATCGAAGAATTCTAAATACCATGCATTTCTACCGCGCCGAGTTATTTGATTATTCCATATGTTACATTTCTCCGAATGTACATTGATGTCTCAGAGTATTGAATGGGAATTATAACATTACAGACGTAATGAAAACAAGCAAAACCTGCCTAGTCTACTGGGACACACCCGACATATTTGTCTACAAAACACCGCACTTATTTATTTTATGTGCCTACTAATGTTTGCGAAACAAACACAAATTGCTGCTTGTGACAAGATATTAGTCACAATAGACTGAGTAAAAATGTTGGCAAACTTAGTCAGTCTTAAGTAACAAAAGCTTTTGTTCATTAATCTGACATGCTGTTATAAATTTTCATCGCCGAGCTACGTACGCTGACTAGGCAAGTTACTGCAACATTTTTAATAGAAACATTTTCCTTAAAATAGTAGATGGCGACTCGGCTTTATTTTTAAGTAGTTCTAAGTGAATGAATTTCATAAATTTTTGTGGTAAAAACCAAATTGGAAATAAAAAATATTTACATCCATTTCCTGAGTGAAGATCTCAACAGCCGTAAAGACGAAAAGCTAAATTTTGTGGCTCAAATTGTTACTTACACTAAAATATTGCGCGAGCAGTTTTGGTATCGAGAACGTCCCTTGAGGGTAAGCAACTCCGCACACATATAAACTATTCATGACGTAAACAGCCGAATAAAAGTCGTCCGTATTAAAGCTGATATTAGATATTAAATTAGCACCCAGCTGCATTGAAACGAGATGCCAGCGTTTGTGTTTGCTTTAGAACGAAGCGTTCCGAAAGTCAATATTGTAGAAGCGAGGAACGCGCCAGTTGCTCCGGTTTATTTGCTCTGCATTGTGATCATGCAACTTTAACCTGAAGTGATTGTGAGTAGATATTGAGCCTCGTTGGCGGCGCGCCGACAGCGTCACTACCTACACTACCTCCACTACTATACCACTTGGACGGAGGAAATTGCTACGAGAGCATTGGCGATGCTTGCTCAGCAACGCTGCCTTGATATAGACGTATTTCTTTTTCTACATTCCTTTCCTACACACCTTTATTAAAGTATGATGTTTTTGCAGGCGTTGTAAAATACATATAGGGTAAAGTTAACCTTTTCTACAACAAACTATTGAGAACTTAGGTCTATTACTTCAATACAATAATTGCCAGAGTCTAACCATTGCATTGAATTTTTTTTTTGACAATTACAGTAATTGGATAAAAAGTACTCATGCTAAATTAGCGCCATAATTATTATTACGACCACCGCTACGACTGCGACTACAACTGCTACGCGCAAGGACGATGCGTGCTACGAAAGTCTCAACGCGCTTGCTACGAACACCATGACAACTACGGACTATCTCGTGCGTATATTTCTGATGTGTAGTTATTTCAATTTACTAAACGTATTTTACCTTCAAATTACTAATTTGAAAGTAGAATACGTTTTGTATCGAAGACGACACGAACAAACATACTAAAACAAAATAATTCTTATTCTAAAATCCTTTAAACATGAATCTTAATTGATAGTGAATTTGAAAACTGTTATAGTCAGTCACGAACATAAATGTAGGATATTCCAACTTATTTTATTTTTGTTGCATAGATGAACAATGTTGTCAATTAGCGAATTTCCTCTCCAATCAAAATCTAATTCGTTTGAACTTGTTAAAATATTAATAAACATCCGACTTAAAAAAAATCAAAAAAAGGGAATCTTTCCGTGAAGAACATTTTACTTTGAAGTCGTTGAAATATAATTTCGCAGCGAGATCATTTTGTGACGAGAAAACACGGAAATGAAAAGCAGTGGGTACTTAATTTACATCATTTTTCTTTTTAGCGCTATCTCGGTTAAACGCTCGACTTTTTAGAAATTTCTTTTACATTTTATATTTATTATTACCTCGTTGGTGCAGTCTTCACGAGCTGAAATCGAAGTCCGCCCTTATGCGATTATTATTACTTGTTCAAGGAGGAAAATGTTAATTCGTCTATTTTAATCCAAGAAGGCAGAAAGTTAATGAGGGATATTTTATTCCTTTTCCCTTTATTCAATCAATTATTATTTTTTCCTTATCGTCCCTTAATTATTGCTATGAACATTTTTTGTACGCTACCACTAGAATGATTTATTCAAAAATACATTTACAATAGGACTGTTTAGTACAATGTACATAACTATGTTATATCACTTAAACTACCATAAAACGAAATAGTACGGTTTGAAGAGGACATTACCAACGAATTGTGACTAGTGACAAGCTTTGCGACTGGCCTCGTTCCATATACATTCGTCAACAGATACGTCTCAAATATAGCGCAGTATCTTCTCTTACATCCATTAAATGTAACCCTCAAGGGTATGGAATAATTCTCATAAATATTAATGAACATTCACAACAATAATTGTATGTGAGAAGTGTATTGATGACCTTTGAAAGGTGCGGTAAAAGGTGAGGTGCTCAGTATTTGCAACCGGTGGCCCTCATTTATGAAATATGCATGAATGTGAAACAAGCAAAAATAGTAGTTTTCTCATGGGATAAGTGTGTGGTTATATTCATTACCGTCCAATAAAATCAGAAATATAGAACCCTTTGTTGTGTAATTAAAATAACTACTTCACAATCACTGTAATATGAATTAATTTTCTATTTCTAAGTGTTAATAAAATAAGTTCCTGATTAGTTACTGACTTAACGGTTAATTTTATCTTTGATACATACAATAATTTATACGTATGTGTTTCTTTGACCTTTACGTGCTTAACGTCGAGGTGATAATTTTCTAACGCTCATCGTTTTACTGGCTTTTTACGTCATAAGTGCATATGTACATATATCATAGGTGTATGGCGTCAAATGACGTTTGAATGTTTAATGTATTATTTTATTATCATTTTATTAATAGCATGTACAAGAATAGAAGATATTTTATGTTTAGTACCTAATTGGGAATATTTGGGAAAATAACGTGCCAACAACGGAAGTACCTACCTATAGAGTTCAGTTTGTTGTTTGTAGGTAGAAAAAACACATTTATTTGTGTGCAGTGTGCACACATTTCAACGTTTCTTTGCCCAACAACGAAAGCAATCCTCCAAGTAATATATTATTAATAGATTATTAATATACCATTAGATTATATTACTGTATTAATAGGTTATTAAATAGTATTAATACACACATTTGTATAACTATTTCGCGATGAATTGACGCGAAATATTGCATGAATTTAGTCACCCTATCACGTTATAGTGTACCTACCTATATGTTAAGGAAAAAAAAGACTCCCATCATATTATGATAATAATAGAAATAGTTTGTAAAATGAGCGTCTCTCGCCATCAAACGTCATAGTTTGGCGAGTTTAGATTTAAGGCAATACCTATGTAAAATTTCAATGAATAAATTTGTTAAAAAAAAGAAACTTTAGTATATTTTGTATTCTATTGTGATGTAGACTAGTACTAACAGTGAATTTATAAAAGTTTTTATACTCTTTATGTACACTAAAAACTACTTCCAAATATTAAATTTTAAATCTATTATTAAATATTTCTTTTGAATTTAAAAGTAGATGTGACATTGTATTAAAAGGAAATGTACCTATATGTAATGGAGAATAAACAAGAGCCAGATACATCTGACGGCGCATGCATCTAGAATGAGATACACAAAGCGCATTATTCAATGGTCGTAATGATATCACTTCGCAATACATATTATTTATTTTGTCTAAGAAAAATTACATTATCAAAGTAAATTAGTTGTGCTACAGATATAAATATCTGCAATGAAATATTATTGACACTTTTATGTTGGTCCTAACATTCGTTTATTTATATTTAGGATCGTGATCACTACACTTCATTAGTATCTCGTTAAATACCCGTTACGTAAATTTTTATAAAAGTGTTCCACTCGGCAATCTATTTACGATTACTCACGGATAGAAAAACAGTTTGTTATTTGTAAGTTTAGTAATGTGGAGAGCCGTGTTAGCATACTTATGTTTAACGTCTGCTAATCAAAAGTAATTACGTTCCTATATAACATGGTGTAGTTATGTTCGGTGTTTTATGAATAGGATAGGATATTACCTAATTTGCTTTTCATAAATTAGTACCTATTTAATTAAATAAGGGAAAGTTAATTTCTGTTGGGCAATTAGGAGTTTTGTGATAAATATACATAAGTAAACGTATAGTAATAATGAGTAATGGGCCACAATAATAGGTGGGATGTGTGACTAATTGATGTTAAACGTAGCTGTATGAAATAAAATTTGATTGTGTATGAATTCGGGCGCTTATCATAACGGAACATGTCGTTAAGCTCGGATGTAGGAATATATTCTCGCTACGTGAACGTGGTTTAGTTGTCTCTGTCTGTCATTCATTCAATCATGGCGTATTTGCAACGAGCTTTGTATGTAGGTGGCCGAGATTCATTGTAAATATATTTAATATTTTTAGTAAATGAATAATATTATAGTCGGAAATCGTTGTAAACATGTTTACAAACGTTTAATTTGTGATCAAGTGACAGCAGAACTTTGTATTTTTTTGAATCAGAATATTGTTGTTTTATAATTTTTAGTTATGAACAAAACAAAAGAGTTGAATAGAGATACACCAGCAAATTTATGAGTATTTCGTGCTTGTGTCGGCGAATAATGGATTATATGCATAACAATGTAGTTTTATATTAATCCTGAGAGTGGACGAGACCGAACTAGTCCGGATTCACTCAGTTCTAAGCGGTCCGTGATTTTTTGCCGGTTAGTGCGAGGAAAATGAAGTTTAATTAAAAAAGAGATCCATTTGTAAATACAAGGGTCACAGTTTTTAGTAAAGATAATTTGTCAGTGAATTCATAATCCCTGGAAAATACCCAATTGAGGTCAAACCAAAGTTGGACGACGTCAAACAAAAAGGATTCGGGAATTTAAAATAATACGAGAGGTATTTCAATATTAATCCGTTACATTTCTGATCTAAAATCTGCCCAGAACATGTGTCGAAGTTGTGTATCCAGCTCAGTCTACCTTCGTCATGGCCGAAGTTATAAATGTAATGTATGGCGCCTATTGTATGGCGGCGGCGAGTAGACTAGATTACGGTTCCGTTCGTTTTTCCGCAGTCGGTCGTGGCCTAGCTATGCAAATTTCTTGAAAACGCTATCACAAAGAACTGCCTACGACATACGTATAAAAGTAAGTATAGTCTTTAGTAGCTACACGTTTTGCGCTTTAGTTGATAACTTTATAGATCCTCCAATATCGACTGACATTTGATTTTATGTTTTTGTTGTTGTTCGACGCGGAGCGGCCTGATTACTGCTCTGGTTTTTTCGTCTCTTTATTTACTAAGTAAAACATCTCCATTTAGGACTGTAAGCAGGTTGATGAAAATGTTTATTGTTTACCCCTACGAAAGCTATGGGTGTGTGAATATATATGGCAATGATTCGCAGTGGGACTCGTGTAACGTAAATCCGCTCGAATCAGTTCTATTAGATTACGAATAATATTGTACAGCTGTGTGCCCTGCGGGTGATTTTATCGAAACTATAGCTGTATGGCATAATTATACTACTGTGTGTTAAGCAGGGGGAGAGATAGATTTTTATAGAGATCTGTCCAAGCAGGGCAGTATTCAGTGATTCCAGAGTCCGTTTAAGAGCAATGATAGATAACAATTCGTATATGAGTTGTGGCTTCAAGATCAAAACAAACAGTCTAGCCAGACTGTATGTCTCGTTCATTCCTAAATTATGGTATAAAATAAGAAAGATATCTGCGTTCAGAATAGAACAATTGATAGAGAGAGTGGCCAATTCAGTTTTATTATAGCCAGTGTTATTCGACAAAGCGTTGTCATTTTTCATTGTTATTCAGCGAGTGAGTCCATTATCTCTTTGTGTGTTTTGTAACCTGTCATTAAGGTAAAGGAATGAATGTAAGCTATTAGTTAACGCGACGTTATCGGTATGGTTAATTAATTACCTGCCGATGTGCGTACACTACGGAGCCGAGGAGTTTCCAAGTGCCGCCGCGTCGGTCCATGCGCACCATGCGCAAGATTTGGAAGAATCGCAGTCCACGCAGTGCAGACGCGGCGAACACCTGCCCCGATGACCCCATACCCAGCACCACTACCGATGCCAATATTGTGGTTACATCTGTACATAAAACGCTTTATAAATTCTACCATACCAGGCATCGATGTCGAAATAATTTAAACAAGGAATACGAATTATAAGAAAAGACGAAATAATAACATTTTCTGAAAAATAAAATAGCAGAAGTACCCGATAGTCAATGTCAAAAATATTTAACAAGAAATCTGAGTAACAGAAATATTTTTCAGTAAATTTGAAACGTGATCAAACAGCTTCTACAAAATCATGACGTACATATTTTATTGCTTGTCCATAAATTAAATAAAAGAAAAATCGAACAAAGGAAATTTAGACAGAAAGTGTTTTATTATTAATGCAGGGAGCCGGGAGGTATCCCATTTTATGTCTAGCTACTGGTATGCAGGAAAGAGGAAAAGGGGTAATTACGTAGTAAGTTACAGATTGGGGTTTCAAAGAAAAACAAAGCAGTGAACTTCTATGTTCAAGTTTTAATTTTTTCTGGTCCAAAATTTAATAGGTAACTCAAAGTTTTCTTATAGAAGCTGTTGTTACTGTACTAAATGAACCCTATGAAGTTTTAAGTCAAGTGGCTTCGCCTTCTATAATATTAAGATTGACTATTAAGCCTCCATAAATTTATGAAAGGCCCATTCTTCGTTAATTGGTTTTGCAACAGAAATCAAGTTTTTAATTTTATATTTGAAACGAACGGCCCAAACGGCAATGTTTACCACGCGAATGTTTGTGCTTTAACATTAATATATAATCAGATGTAGGAGGGCAGTGTTCATTTTATTGTCGTCGGCGGTAATATCGTGCGGCCATGTGTGGCGGCAGTGCGGCCACTACGGTCTCGAGCGGCCGGCTCCCCAGAGAGCGCAAAGCGGTCGCACGAAACTGGTGTCAAGGGAGACCAGCCCGAAAATGCGAAGGTCATAGCGGATTGCTCGCACCTGAAATAGGGTCACTTCGTCACGGTTTATAGACAAAACGTGACTTTTACTCGGAAATGTTGAAGATGAAAGTACACAGGGCGCATTTTTCCAACTCCCTTCTTTTATGATATTTGTTGGCATTCTCTAGACATTTTCTTTGACGATTCTTGGAGGTCGTTGAGAATTGTATTTCTTCTGTTTTGCCCTTTGTACGCCATATTTGTTTATTTGATATAGTCACCGTGAGTTTTGTCTGTTGTTTGTATTTTAACACGCCACCGGAGCACTTTTTATTCCGGTAAACAACATTTGTTATACTGTTTCTACATGGTGTATTATATAAACAGCTTAACAGCATGACAAAGTCAACTTTAATGTATCGACTAAATGCTATACTAGCTACTTGTAAAGTTTTTGTTAAGTGCGCTGGATGCATATCTATTATGATTTCAATAATGTCCTAAATTCTTGCAACTCCCAATGATTGAGGACTCTCTGAGGACATTCAGCTAAGATAGATGGATCAACAGTCTCTTAGTCTGGTAATATACGATCTTATTCATTAGATGTTTGAGATATCCTCAAACATCTAATGGGTTTTTAAGGTAAATTTTAAAAACTTTCTGTAGAACTCACCTATAATACAAAACGGTCGCCTCAAAAATTTGAGGCGACCTATTGAGCCTTGATACCGGGATCTGCATCCTGACGACCATAACCTATAAAAATAGTACAATTAATAGAGGCTATAAAAAGTAGAATAATCGTTTTAAAATTAAACAAATTAAGTAGTTATTTACAAATGTGCGTCAAATTAATCAATCAATCTTTTTGATGCGCCGGCGCTGGTACAAATCGAAAAGATTTCAACATAGAACCGAATAGAATTTGTGATAGCCGCGAATTTTTCATAGACATATTGATTACTGCGTTTCATGCAAAATTAGCTTCGTTATTTTGTCGTTAGACAGTGAAACCCAATCATGTAATAACAACGAAAGGAATTCTGAGCTCGTTGGCGTGTCACTGCCATTGAGCAGCTGACCCGTGTTACTGAGTTACTCTAGCGCTTGATAGATAGATAAAATAAATAAAACAAAAGAAAATATTGGACGGGGAGCCCACTGTAGGCAGAGTAATCCGTCTACTTTGAGTGACGAATTACCTACTTCTGTACTTCACGAGCACAAAGCTCTCAGAACTTATCTATGAGAGTGTTGTTTGTTGTGTGAATCCACAAACTAAACACAGCCGCTGTAAAACGATAGTCGAATTGAAACTTCGAGATTGGCAGCTCTTTGTGCACCGTTTATAGTATTGAAAGAGAACTTGCCTACAGCGCATAAACAATTCAGAATCCAATTTTCATCACATTAATTTAACAGCAGTTTGGCAGTTGTATGCTTAGTAAATCTTACCTTAAAAAGAATTCGATAGCGAACCAAATTACAACTACTGTCTCCATGTAGAAAAGGACAATTCCTGCTTTTGCTTCGTATTCTTCAATTGTTGAGAAAACTGACAGCGATAAACACATGAACACCATCAGAAATCTGTGCAGAGAAAATTTGCCTTTAAACTTTTATGAACATAACGTAAATACGTGAATGTAGGACGTTGGATTGCAGGTAAAGCGATCAGAATCTGACGTAATCGAATTTCGACAGTGAATATGTTAGTTGATTGTCGGATGGAATTACGAATGTTCCTATTTAACTCCGACGATTTAATTCACAGCTGTAGCGTGTAACTGCATGAATTTGATTACATGGAAAGATGCCGAATCTATAATTAAGGTGATGTAGTAGGTAGTCATAACTTTATTCCTTGAATATTATAAATCAAAAACTATTCAAACGCAAGTTATTTTATATGGAATATTTAATATTTTCACTTTTAATTTGATTTACAAAGACTTACAAATATATTTTCCTTATTGTGATGGCCAGACATGACGTAGCAGACCATTGCTGAGACACACATTGGCAAATACATAATGTTAATGAAGAAACAATGACGCTTTAAACGAAATGTATTGTTTAGCGCTGTTGTTATAATTTAAGTATAATACATACCTATTTGTATGAATAGTGGAAAAACCAACAAGACTGTTAGCGGAATGGACAGTATTGTCACTTTAATTATCATAATAGTTGAAACTAATGAACACGCTAAATAATTCTAAAATGAGAAAAACTTTTTGAAATTACTTCCCTTGATATTTGTAAACGACTGTTTCATGATAATATGTTTGACATAAAATACCGGATAAGTAAGGTGATTAAGTTTTATGCGTTCTAGGTCATGCATGTCCACACATGTGTTTATTCCACACGTGTTTATTGTGTCATGATGTCATAAACCACGATACAACTGTAACCCAACATAGTTTTCTTGCCAATATTTTAACATTGAATGCTATTTTAGTGTTTTTTAAATAACAATTTTCATTAGGCGTCTTCTTTTTTTAAATTCACACGCGTTGGCGAAATGAGACGTCTACACATTGATAAACACATTAATGGTCTGGAAAACTGCGTGTTTGTTTTATGTATAAAGTGTATAGAGACTAGTTTGACTCAAAGTTTATTAAATATTGGTCTTTTACTGAGAGGATACACAGCTTGTTTTAAGATTTAAAAATCCATTGTAAATATTTGTTAAAATAGTTCAAGTCTTAGATCTAGACTAAAGAATTAATACTTAGATTAACCCTTATCGAGGATTGAGGAAAGGATGAATTCGTGCTATCCTATAGGAAATAAAATACATTTGTGGACATTGCCAGGGTGTTAAGTATCGTCGTGTAAACAACGCGTTACAATTCCGTTTGTTTGTTTTACGTATGATTGATGCTATAAAACATTGATATTAGCTGAATTTCCGGCTTTCATTGAACATTAATTACTGTCTGTGAACGATCAGATCGTTAGTTCACGGCGATTTATAAAATCCATATAAAATAACTTACGCTGTGGTGTGAGAATGTTCAGAATGTTAACGATTACAAAACTTACACGATCATATGATAAAGGACAGCTTTAACACCTCTAGGCCGTTCAAGGAAATTGTAGAACTTGGACTGAAGGCGGCGGTAACGCGCGTCGCGTCGCGTGGCGCGGTAGCTGAGCGGTTTGCCAAGTAGCGACATCCGCGGCGTCGCCAGCCGGTCGCCGCCACTCTTACACTCACTGCAACCAACGACACCGCAACTACGCTCAAGCGAGCCGCACCACATATTGTCATTTAGCATCAATCAAATCAAATGCTGGCAGAGGTGTCACACTGCGCACACAAGTGTTAGGTAACCCTTACCGCAACTTTACAGAATCGGGTCACACCACTCCTCAGCTAAATATTTGCTAATAGGGTACTTACAGACCGACTTAACTGGCGGTCCATGATATGCATCTGTTGTAAGTCTATTGTACAATTATAGCTTGTAGGTACTTAAATTACGGTTGAGTTAAATATCAAAATGCGCAGTGAAGTCGGCTCGTCAGTACCCTTATACCAATTTGTGATTTTACCAGCAAGTTCGTTGTGTATGCCTTATTAATTCGAACTGTAAAAGGAATAATAATTGATGCCTGCTTTCACGGCAGTTACAATTTAAAGGGTTGGTCATTTATTAAAAGAGTATTATTTCGGTATTATAAGCAACAACGGTCTCTAGATGGTCTGTATCTAACAATGTGTTTACCCATTGTACATGTCAGCAATAATTCACTCCTAATTATGGTAAATAAGTATATTATATCTTGTAGAATGCGTGCTATTTAATATGAGAAGAAAAGGTGCTAAACAGAAAGCCATGCCTGATTTGGTGTGTTCATGTTGTTATACTTAGTTGGTGAATTGAAATATTATTATACTATTATGTATATTAGATTCTAGATGTGCTTTATTGTGAGTTAATACTGAGATTAAAAACAGCGCACATGTGCTAACAGGTAAATGTAAGATTAATATCAGATAACCAACTCTGACAAAGAATTAATAAAATTCACGTCGGCGCCAAAAGCCGTCTCGCCATTTTATCTTCTATGTAAATTAATCAATTCTCTTCAAATTTTGTTTCACACACAAACACACACACAGAAATACGTTTTCAGTGTTTACTGCGACCCGTGGAATAATTAAAAAGTTTAAATTTATGCTGAATACCTGTACTACTATTATGCATGTTTATTTATTTGGAACCATTCAGTAGGTATGTCATTTTATTTTTACTAATTTCAATTCTCTTAATAGGTTCTACGTAATCTTTATACAACTGAGAAAATAAATTAGAATTGACTTTACAGCTTAAACAGCTTTTTTGCAAAATTAAACTCAATAAAATCGCGTGCCGCGTGGAAACTCTGAGTGTTTTGTTCAATTAAAACGATTTTGCTGCCGCGGCGATGTACGACACAAATATAAAATACAATACTAAGCAAACCGACCTTACAGAAACATTATTTATACACAGCTATAAAATTAATTACCACCACACCGACCCAAACTTAATCCTTTTTTAACATATAAGTACTAAGCACAAAACAACATTTACCGTCGCATTATGCAGTTTGAAGAAAAACTGAGTGAGAGCGGTTGTTACATGTAGTTAAACCTTAAGATTTTAGTTTTACTGTAAGTATGAGGTTGAGTTTAGCTGGTTTGGCAACAATTAATGTTGATTCGTTGTTGTAGTGAGCCATACGATCACAAGTTGGTGGCGTTACGTATCGTAAATGCCCGCTGGCACGACTACAGTTCAGTTTATCAACACGGCGGAAAAGCGATGAAATCGCGACGATAAACTTGCCTCTGCTCGACGGAGACGATGCTATCCACAAACATCATATAACTTCTAGCTACCAACCGCTACGCGTCAGCTTTCATTTTACGAAATTGGATAGTTGCTACCCTTTACGAAGCGTAATGTAACTTATACGTGTATAAATAAATATATCCACAGCTGTACTAAAATACCTTTTGTGTGAATATTGCAGAATACTTTTTCAGCAAAAATGTTCTATATTGGTTCCATAAAAGGTTTTGCATAATTAAGTTACTACTCAGTTACGCTACGCTTCATATAGGAGTCATACACAAACATTCCCAACAAAAACTACTACGAACACAAACAATCTATGAAGCTAGAACAAAGGAATTCAATATTCAATTCACACAATAAGGAGTCGCTGAGAAGTGAAGGAGGAAGCACCGCTCCCTTTTTAAATCAAGTAAATCTATTATAATTACAGTTTTCAAACTTATACAAATATGGTAATCATAACGATTGGACTTCTCGTAGGAATGAGGCGTACATGACCTTTGTAACACATGTTCCTATCATAACGGATCATACGGCGCATAAAAATATATTTCATACTTGTGCATCTATAAACTTGTAGTTAATTACGTAGGTAATCATAAATAAACTAGTTTTTTTTGTTTTCGCCCCATGGGATATTGTGTGAATATTTAGTAGTGAATGTATAACGTGACCTCAATGTGAAATTAAGCATACGAAATTAGCCACAATTTTGGGTTAAGTATAAGCTGTTTTCATGACATTTTATGGTAGGAATTTATTCAGTAGGTGATTACGAAAGTTTAGGTACTTGCTGCTATGCTCTGTTCGTAGATACATAGACAACTTTGGAACTGACTTACTTAGTTGCTATACTGATATTAAAATAGATAGGTACATGTATTGAAAGTTTCTAGTTACAGTTATAGGATAAGTCCTCTTCGGGAACAGCATAATACTTAAACAAGACGAAGACGGTATACTTACTTAAGCCGACATCAAAGTCCGTGTCAAAGTTTTGCCCTTAATTCAGCTCACGATGAATATAATATCGTGTATACGTAGCAAGTTAATTACACTGGCGTGAAAATTAGCCATGCTTCTAAATGAGTTTCTGTGATGGCGTGCATATGTTGTAGTTTATTGGAGATGTCGATATTACGTGCGTGCGTGTTATTTATTGTCATTATTGTTATTGTTTATGATTTGGTATTAAAATTAGCGCGTTTGTTTACATTGCTACAAGTCAAACGTTACATCAGAGCTCATATGCTTACTTATTCGTGAATATAGGGTTTTATGTCAGAACTAATGTAATTTTGGCTAATTGACGTAGGATGTGCATTCCCCAAGGCTTGGTCGCCACTGGTGGTAAATTTTGTACAGTCATATTCGAATCTACTTATTCAATATTGTAGTAGTACTTAGAAGTTATTTAATTATTTAATCTTAATAAATTAATTTAGTTATTTAATCTTTAAAATAAAATTTAATATGTTATTTACATAGATTCTGATCTTGCAGCCGTAAGCAGGGACGTTGAGTCTGGCCCTAAGTTCGATTCCAAGGTCTGGCATAAGAATAATTGCACTGTTCTGTAAGAAAAAAAAAGCTTATTTGAGACTGGTTGAAATGACATATCATTTCCATATTTACGATTCCAAGTAAGAAAATAGTGTTGGTTCATATGCCAAGACCTTTGAAAACAATATGAGGCTGACAAGTAATATTTATTTAGGTACATGAAGATAATAATTCCAAACTCTTGTGTAACTACTTCAAAAGAACGCTATGTTTTATTTCCAATGGCTCTCGATTCTTAGTGTTAGAACAAATTGTTTCTGTCTATAACAACGTCTTCAATAAAATAAATCATTAGTCGAAACGAAACAACATTCGTACAGTGAGAGGTGATATAATAGATTATTTCCCGATATACCTACTAGAGGGAACAGACTTAAAGCGTAGGTAGTGATAAAACAGACACGAGTCAATGGTTGTAATGACCTCGTGCCGATGCGATCCCTAGGGATCACGTTTTGATCCAATCTTATTTTTACTATCCATAAATTATATTGGATTCCATTTTATGCTTGCCCGCAGTAATTGTTTGCAGATGGTCACGCTATTATTACGCGGTGATCTAGGTCACCTGACTACATCCATTAAGGAGACACCACTCGTTAATAGATCAATTCGTAACCCTTTATTAAGTCCTGTGTGAATAGTTAAAAATCGATTTTAATAGACATTATCGACACCATATATCTCTCTGCTCGTAAATAATGATGATCAATTACACGAATTAATCGTGTTTATTGCTTTTTATTTCGTTTCGAAAAACAACAACTTACAATTTCCGCATACTTAAGTATTTCTACGTAATGATACTTTTTAAAAGTACTTAAAGTATTTATTTATACAATGAAAGAACATAATATTGTTCACTTAAGGATTTTTTGTCCCAACTTGACAAATTGTCAAGAACCGGAGAAAATTCTCACAAACATAATTTTCCAATAGACGATCGTCGAGTGCTGACGGGTCACTATTCAATATTTTATATAAGTTCTACAACCGTTTTTATGAGTGAGAGACCGTCAGAAACAAACGTCACTAGTCCCTTTTTTGATTGGCCACCGTGTACAATATTTCAAAGAAGTCGTAATCTAATGTAATTACTTACGCATGAACAATCAACTTGGTTTACACTTCAGCGGATGATGAAACAGATTTAGCGGTAAAATGTTCTTTTCAGTGAACGAGCGTCGACAAATTATACCTGTGACAAATCGCTCGTTGCCAAATTGAATGTCGTTATAACGTCCCACAGTGTGGTATTTGAACGATCTGGGAGGCAATAAGTCCATTTTACAAAACTTAATGTGGGTAGAAGTATAAACTATCTCGTAAATGTTTACTTACCAATGCACCTCAAACTGTCATTATTTTCATCTTAGTTGCAAAAATTTACTTGTGTGGTCAGTCGGAATTTCGTTGTCATCTAAGATACATTTTTCTTGTGTTTTATTTAAAAAAAACCGTTTACTTATAATAGTCAATTATTTTGTTTTGGATTATAATTTCAAGTGAAGTGATATGTATTATTTTATGGCAGGTTAGTGTCTACACTTAACAAATATTTTTAACAGGGTCGATTACTTTATGACTGTTGGACAATATTATTTACGTAACCCTTTTACAATATCATAATTTGCATATATTTTGAAATATCGAGGATAGTAAGTAATACTTCCCGGGGTTTCCCGGCAAAATAAAAGAATGTACAACAAACTTTGATCATTGACGTATAAGATTTCGTTTAAAACGGTCACGGAATCACTTGATTTTTGGAAAACAGGGTGTCCAAACTTTTTAATGTGAAAATGTTATTTATTTCATACATATTATTTTTTGTATCTTTAGAAAATTTATTTATTGTAGGGCCGTCCAATGTCAAAATCATGACTCGATTGGAGTTATATGAGTTGATGCAGCGACAAAATTTGCCGAATATCAATGAAAAATTGGATTTCATCGAAAATTATCTCATTGGTTATGATGATTACACTGCTGACCAAATTAAGGATATTAAGCAAAATTTCTCACGCTTCAAGTCCGAAATGAAATCTAGATGGGCTGCGGCATATAATAAAGAGCAAATTTTCATTAAAAGGAATCAAGATTGGTTGAGAGGTACATTTACGATTCCAAAAGTAACTAGCCGGCCGGGGCGTCCGAAAAAATTATTCGAAGAATCAGGTGAAAGAAGCAAAAGGCAAAAAACTGAGGTGAGGCAAAAAACTAAAGTGATTTTAGAAACAATATCAAGTGGGCATAAAATCAATTTGGAGAAATTTGATAGCTACACAAAGAAAACAGCAGAACTGTATGTGCAGCTTTATTCATGGTGTCCTATGACCCCATAAATTATTGATCCATGGTCCTGATGTAATTAAGCACGCTTTACTTCCAATCGGGCAACTGTCAGAAGAAGCTGCGGAGGCACGCAATAGACACTTTCGTTTATTTCGTCAAAACTTTTCGAGAAAATTCTCAAGGGTGCTTGCAATCAAGATGTGCTCAACAGGTTACTGCTGACTTCCGATCCTGTAATAACAGGAATGAGGAATATTTCAAGAAAGAAGAGTAAACCATTCTTAAAAGAAACCCTAGAGATGTTGCTTCCGATGGAATCTTATGCAGAATCTCACGGTGGTAATGAGGCATCAGAGTCGGATAGTGAGGGAACTGCTGATGATTCTGAGTTGTGTCATGAAGATAACTCATTTTCTGACTGATCTGTGTCAAAACATTTAAGGAAAATGCAATTATTTCTGTTTAAAATATTTTTGTAGATTAAATATTGAGAATTTTTTAATTGTAATTAAATATTTTAATTTTTTTTCAAAAATATTACGTTTTTCATTATTATTTACTTTGTAATAATTTTTTTTACTACATGCTAACATAATATCATAGTTACAATCTCTTTAGCCGCCAAAATAATTTTTGCCTCCCAGATCGTTCAAATACCACACTGTGCGTCCTCCAGATAAATTATTTGCAAACACGATGGCGATGTATTGGTTAACCAAAATTTTTAGTGTGTAGTCAGATAATGACGGTTTAAGATGATTGTTTATATTAGTATGTACAGCAAATATAAACAATTAAATGTTTTATGAATTGCGATTTTATGTCGCTAGTTAATTATAATAGTTATTAACGTAGGTAATAATTATATAATTATTAACTACGACTACGTTTACAGTTTTGTAATTGCTCCGTAACTCCGAACGCAACGCAATGTCACATATTTTTTATTTTAGTTGCTATGCTATTTACTCTTTGCGTTTAGTTTTAAAAGGTGAACAATAATTATTTTAATAATTTTTAACCAACTTCAAAATAGAATGAGTTTTCAGTTATCTCCATTCGGTACCTATCTTGCGATACACTGAACCGATTTCGAGACGGTTTTCAGAAAAGTGTTTGCTGTAAGGTACCTAGGAGCAGGTTTATATTCCAACTTACTTATAAAACGATATAAAAAAAGACGAAGGAGCTGGAAATCGGTTTTTATTACGTAGTTTGTTGAAAATTATAAGTATTTCAATGTTGAGGCTATCACAAAATCCTTATTTTTTGGAAGCGTTATACTGAAAAATCTACCCAAAATCCTAATAGTGAAGTAATTTTTTTGGAAGCCCGTAAGTAGTTTGTTGCGCTGAATTTAAAGAAATGTTCAATTTGGCTGTGTTTAGAACGTGAACATAACCGGGTACTGAAGTTAGTTAATAGCAATATAAATCCTTTTGTAATTCAATAAACAATGTACCGGTATAACAGCCCCGATAGGTATTAGACGAGGCTCAGATACTAGCAATATTCATTAGGTAGGTGTATGTCATGTTGAGCGCGGTGCGGTGCCCAGTTCTGAATAAGCCTACTCCCATGGGGGCTTTAAGAAATTACCCACGTACAATGTTAGTTGGATTGGCAGCTGCTATCACTGGCAATTAGGAACAAATTGTATCAAACAGCGATCATATCTAAGCCTGTTATGTATCAGGAATGAACGACACAGCAATATCCTATACATAACGGGGAAAGCTTCCGATTACAAGAGGGGGACATTGACTTTTATGAATGAAGATATAGGCTACTCAAGATATAACACTCAAACCTTTTTTGCAACAGGAAAAGTATTTTTATTAACGTATTCAATATCAAATCATATTTTTTTATTTCCTCAATTCAATAGCGTAAGTACTGAGTAGGTACGAACTGAAACATCAGATTGTGTTCGTACTTTTATTGCGGTCGCCTCGGTCTACTTAATTAAAGCGCTGAAAATTACAATCGGAACCCATAAACGTCCACTGCTAGATATGGGTCTCGGCTATAAAACGCTTCCACCAACGATCTTGGGTAGATAATGTCGTAATCACAGAGCCTGCCAGGCAGATTGCATGTTAATCGCAAAAAGATAATCAGTGAGTACTGATAAAAATCTGTAATCGGTTTTGTAGCACCCTATGGCAGGGAATGCCCTTCTCGGAAACCGACTTTTATTAAAAATAAACTGATATTCTACATATAGGTAATGTGCCATTTCCTAGTTATTTGTAAAAATCAAAGTAATCCCAGCGCAAAGTGAGTAGTGTTATGAGAGTACCTAATGCATGCGATGTGTTTGAACACGTTTCGCAACACTTCGTAGTACTATTAGCGCAAAACGAACGAATGACTCTAACACGTTTTTAAATAATTTCAATTGCGGTATATACACAATACATGTTCGAATGTGACTTTCACGGTAGTACCTTGGTTTCTACTATTATTATTTTGAATATACTGAGAATATTATTAACGGAGAATAATTTTGGTCATTAAAGATTTACAAAATTTATTTTAATGTTACACGACGCTATTATAACGAATACGTGGCGATGTTTCAGCCAACATATATGTATAATAAATTTTATCTATGTTACTATACAAAACTGATCCGCGAATGGTAAAACAAACCCTCATGGTAGATTGTTATACATATTTATAACCGTGGTAGCCTCCGGCACAATAAATTATGTAGCTATTGTAGTGCTCTATATGTTATATACTGTGTATATATTTGACGGCTAAGAATTTATGAACCATTTGCGTAAATAAATTGTTTAATAAATTAATTTGTTGGAACTAAATTACCTGACATCTCCAGTAATAGAAATGTGTGCTACAGTTTACATACCTTCTTACCTTGCTACTATTAGGTAACGTGTGCTATTACTAAAGTGCAATTTATTGATATTGCAAATAAAATATACAACGAGACGTTTGTTCAGATTGAAATTACAGAAGTTGTGTTTCGATTAAAAGTTTATTTATTATTTTATGTTATTTATTAAGTCCAGACGAGGAAGATACAACACACTCTGTGAAAGTAAAGTATTGGGTTAAGTGATTGATAGCTTTGAATATAGTTTTATGTACAAAAGATAGAGTAGGTACATTGACATAGAAACTTGACTGAACTAAACTTGAGGGATAATAAATTATAAGTAAGTATATTAGTACATTTCACATCTTGATGGACGTGTGCTTTATTTCATGGGTTTTATATTATAGTGTTTCTAATCAGTTTTTATAACTTTACACTAAATTCTACAGCAAATAAAATAAGTAGATGTTAGGTAAGAAGAATTATTTTCAAGTTAAAATATTTCAGCTAAGGACCAAAATAATTTAGTGGTAAATAAACAGGTAGGAGGTATTATCTTGACTACGCAAGGTCTACGATTAGAAAAATAAAATAAAAACTATGGTAATATATTACCTATGGCGTATAGCATCTTCATGTACCCGAACACGCCTTGTCGATTTCATTTTCACCTAAACATTTTATGCCAATGAATATGTTATTTTAAATAACAATGAAGATTTTATTTTCGATTTTTGCAATTCATATTATGTCGTTTAACTCTTGTGTGACATCAAGGAAATGATGTAGTAGTAGTGAGTGGCGGTGAGTATGTGGAGTGATGTTATTGTATGGTTTGTACCTGTCTAGTTCACTAACTGGAAACTTAGCAATGAAAGTAACTTAAAGTATGTGGGCGTAGCGATGAGACAACTGCATGGTGATTATATTTGAAAAAATGAATAAAATGTAACAAGTAAAGTTAACTACAAAGTTTATAGTCTAACTAATAAGTTTCAATAGATTTTATTGTGCTTATTAGCGTGAGAATATTTTTAAAGAAAGTTATGCAGAAGCCAGTGGAAATAAAAGTTCAACTGGTGTGACTAATAAGTATTGATTGAAATTCATTAAAGTTTACGAGAGCTTTTAAATTGTTATGAATATCAATTTGGCATGTTCGCGGCGGCGCACTGTCGTTTACCGCCGTCATATTTTAATCACGTAATGTAATGCGAAAAATCTGTTCGACTAATGCTACCTACGTTTAATGGTAAACTATCGATCCAAATATAGAAGGGTACTTCGAGCGCCATTAAAATCGAAGTCATCGTCAGCAATTATGTACAAAGGCACAAAGCACAATGCGATATTGAACGGACATGCTATTTATTAAATTTAATAATTGACATATTTAGTCTATTCAAACGACACAGTCATTGTTTGTCTAAAAAATGTCGTGCAAAAATCGAAACACCAGACATTAGTTACGTACCTTAAAATTCACAGCCAATCTAAACAACTGAAAACTGACATCCATAAATATTTACATTCCGGTAGACGTGAGACGTGTAATAGCGTGCGTTATGTTGTCGGCGCTGTAGACGCTGTAGAGGGTGGTGTGGTGCAGGCGGCGCGCGGCAACCGCGGCGGCGGCGCTGGCGGCCGGCGAGCGCGCTGGAGCGGCGCGGGCGGAGCGGGGCTGCG